GGGAGGGGGGGGGAGCCCAGCGTTCATAAAGCCATCTTCAAAGCTTAACCGGTCTCTCCCGGCATCCTGCGATGAGAATAGAATACGCACGTACGTATCTATGGAATCTCATAGCGTACGGCGGGCAATGTCAGATGTCCCTTTTTGGTTGTCATTTGAGAGAGACACTGGAATGTGACGATGCAGAAATAAATTTCCAAACAAAATCCGCTACATTAGCCCTAAGCCCGAATGCGGTAGGTGGCTGCATGCGTTGGGAATACATCGTGTGACTAGTTAATTAAACTTGACATCCGCGGAAGGATTAGCTTTTTCTTTTCTTATTTATTGTTTCTTATTGTTCGCGGTCGAGTTTTATGTCGAGTAGTTTATGTCGAGGAATGAATGCATTGGGCTTTGCTAGCAGGGGTGTATTAGATGGCTAGTGACACAAAATCAACGGTGAACTGTCACAGCATGTGACATGCAGTAGCTAAAAAAAAAGACAAAATCAAAAAATACCATGAGATAGAGGCGTTGAAAAAAGTGCTTTGCAGATTTAGATGGTTGAAAACATATACGTAGAGCTAGCTTATCTATTTCATTCATTCCGACAACTACAATTTCAGCCTTCTAACTGGAGATTACAGCTCGCCGATATGAGTCCACTCGTCTACTTTCTGGAAATCTCTGACAGTCTCATCGCCGCCATGTCTGTGTTGAGTGTCTCGCCAATCCCGATCCACGGCTGTCTCAGGTCGCCATCTGAAACCATGCTTGAGCTTGGGCTCAATCACTCCCTCCAGCACATCTGCAACGGCAATTCCTATGGCAGGCATCATCATGAACCCATTCCCGGAGCCGCCCACAGCAACAACAAGTGATTTGTACTTTGGGGGCCGGTCAATCAAGAACTGGCGGTCGGGGGTGTCTGCGTCCCAGCAGATGCGTGCGAACGAAAAAGGCCTTTCGGCGATCTGGGGCACGGTTTCGCGCAGAAATTCGCGCGCCTTTTGTTCGGATTGAACGGGGATCTGATGTTTGGCGAAAGGAATGGACTTTTCCTCCCCTGACTCAGGATCCCGGACAAAGTTGCAGTAGCCTGGGTGTTCATCGACGAACTTCAGTTCTCCATTTTGTGCGTCCGGTTCCTAGTGGTTCTCGTATGAGCAGCTAATCTGACACCGTGTGGATATAATGGAGAAGGGAGGGGCAGACGCACAATAAAAAACCCCGAGTTCACGTTAAACAAGACAGGGAGGTCTTTCCAGAGGCACCGCTCCTCCTCGGTCATCTGGATATGAGCCAGAGTCCAGGCTGTCGGCCGGAGCTGTCGCTCAAAATCGAATAGCTGGTCGCTATTCGCGCCAGCGCAGAGGATGACTTGGTCAGCTCGGTGTTCTCGGCCGTCAGCTGTCTGCGCGCCGATAACGTCTGTCGACGAGTATATCAGGCGGAGCACTTTGCCCTTGACGTGGTCCGCTAGAAAGCGCACACCAAGTCTTAGTGCCTCGTTGTAGGCAGCCTCGACCGCGCCACGCGCAAACACCCAGCCAGCACCGGTCTCTTGGAGGAAGCCTTTCCAGCCCGGAAAGGATCCGGTCAAGACTCCGTCGGGCATGGTGGCTTGGAAGTCAGCAGGCGACGCTAGCGGCCGAATTTTGCCCTTGCACGCTCGCATGGAGGCGTCGATGTCGGGATAAGTCGCCTCTTGAGACGCCGCCATGATAAAGCCCGTCGGGTGGTAGAACGGGCGGAATACAGAATCTGTCTTCCACGCGTTGGTGGCCAGCTGATGCATCCGGTTCCAGACGTATTCTTCGTCCGAGTCTGAGGACGAGGGCGAGCCTGGGCGAGGATTAAGTACATTAGTTGCCAACTTCCACTCCGCATGCAATGCATGTGCAGCGCACCCTCTTCCATGATCTTGTTCACGTCGTTGCCCGCCGCAATGGGCGACGGAATGGGGTGTGAATCAAGCACGGTGATGTTTTTATAGCCACGCCGCGCGAGCTGGAGCGCCACGCTGCAGCCCCAGGTGCCGCCGCCAACGACCAGGACGGCCGAGTCGTGAGTGAGCTGCGACATGGCGTTGTATCGACGAGCGTCTTGGGCGAAGTTGTTCTCCGGAGGCAAGCATCTGTTGTTATTTATCTGTCTTCTATCTCCCAACGCCTTTTACCTGATCCGGCAGGTACTTCCGAAAGAACTTTACCTTCGGATTCACCTGCCCGCTGCTTGTGTGTAGCGTTGGTGAAGGTAGTACTTTTGATCATTGATGCAGGATTTGGTAGGTAATTGATTAGATACAAGTAGGTTGCAGAAGCTCGCTCTCAATTTAGTCTCCTCCGTCAGCCATTCGCACAGACTGCGTTACACTGTATTTGCTTCTTGCCCGGAGATTCGGGCCCCATCTATAAAACGCCCAAGGAATGGGAATGCACAACACAGCAATGCCGCCCAACAGCGTGCTGGCCCAATTGATCCCCAGCGACTTGAAGAGTGACTCGGCGAAAAGAGGGAAGCCCGCGCCACAGAGAGACCGGATGATGGAACTCCCTGCGTTCACTGAGGCAGCACTGTGGAATAAACATAAGCCAGTAAGAACGAAGTTGATCCTCTAGAGGAGGGGTGGAAGAAAAGACTTACTAGGGTAGATAGGTATCGATCAAGAAATTCAATAGCTGCTGGAATATCGTCAACAGCCCAAACCCAGTAAGCAGACCAGAGAGCACAGGAACAATCCAAGGGATGTCCGCGCGATACCCCGACCATCCAAACCATAGTACACCCCCGGCAAAGGCCACACTGCCAACCATTGCCGGCGGAAGACGCCATTCAGGGAGGATAACGCCGTGGTTGGCTTTCAGCTTTGCGTAGTACGAGGATTGCGTGCAAAGAACAAAAACAGCTCCAATCACCAGCCCGCCGGCAATTCCAAAATATGCCAGACCCGCGATTCCCGCGCTGAAGCCATGGATCGACTGGAAGCAGAGCGGATATGCTGTCAGGAACAGATACATGAGACCGTATACAAAGGCGAGATACACCGAGATCAGAAACACCAGTGGCTCGGTGAAAAGGAGGATCAGTGGCCGGCTCAGGTACTTGGAGACGAGAGCACGCGTGTCAATCACTAGCATCTCGTGCTTTGCATGCAGAGACCAGTTCCCAGTTTCCAGACGCAGCCGGTGGGCCCTTTGCGCCAGAAGCGTGGGTGCAAACGTTTCCTCGAGGAGAACAATGCCTAGGATGAGCCCGGCAAACCCCATCAAGGCGCCGAGCCATGCCGTCCAGCGCCAACCAAGATACGATTCGCAGATGAAGCCACCCACCGACGGAGCCAGCATGGGCCCCATGAGGGTATTGATAGAGAAGGCCGTCGTCGCAGGACCGCGCGCCAGCCCGTCAAAGATATCCGCGAGGACCGCGGCGGTGAGCGTCATGGCCGACGCACCGAAGATCCCACTCCAGAACCGACAGATCAGCACGGTCTGGATGTCCTTGCCAGAAGCAACTCCAAGAGAGAAAACCGCAAATCCGAACATGCCAATCACAATCGGCATCCGTCTCCCTTTGAGCTCGGACAAGGGCGCCCATGCAATTGGCCCCGTGGCGAAGCCCATCACGTACAGCGAGACTCCCAGAGTGCCAACCTCATGCGAGACGTGGAACTCACGAGAGACTTGAGACACGCCGGACGAGAACAACGATGAGTTGAAGCCCACTGTGAATGTGCAAAACGCAAGAACGAGCGCGATTGAGAGCCTGGCTCATATTTAGCGATGCCATGCATTCAAGAGGGAGGGTATTTGGGCTTACTTCTTCTTGATGGACCAATTCAGCGGATTTCCTGCGTCGTCAGGGCCATCGAATTCGACGATATCGCCATGCACCTCGGCTGTGACGTCCACGCATTCCTCCAGCCTCATTTTCAGCTGTGATTTTGGGGGATTGGTTTATGTTGATTGTGTCGAGCTTGACTTGGATGGTGATCCTGCTTGCTCGTTAGGTGACCTTGAGTGCATTTATATAGAATGTTTTTTTGAGCTTCGTTCGCACCCATGAGTTGAATCCCTAGCTCGGCAATTTCAAGCTTCGTATTCAACCGGTCGGCTTTTTCGTGACGAGAGGGTCTGGGTACCCATAATGTCTCATTTCTTACATGTTCCATGCATACTAGTAGTCGAATCATGGTCGTGGAGGGTCGATTGTGCGAGAGAATTTTGCACTCAAGAGGTTTCCACTCTTTGAGACGTGAACTGATTAGATTGAAAATAGGTAGCTAACTACATGCTTATGCTTACTCCATTACTGCAGGTTTTAACTCCTGGAATTACTTTTTGCTGCTGCGCAACTCCAGGTATTTCCATACAACTCCTGAACGCCGGCAGGGGTATTTCTGCACACCCCGGAGGGGGGTGAGGTGGAATAGATATACTTACATAAAAGTCATAATTTGAAATAAGAATGATACTTATGTACATGCAGTAATTTAACTCATTCTAACTCGCGTGGAAATCGCGTTTGGCCCCTTCACTAATTCCGGACTCAGTCAGAACCCTCAACCCCAACATTGCCAATCCCCTCGCGCAGATTATTGCTTCCTCGTGGGCTTCGTCTGTTTTCGCAGCCTTTGCAAACTCCGGGTGATGACCGGGAATATTGGGAGCTGTTGGAATACCAAAAACGCCGTGGAAGCTGGGGACCACGTGGGAGACGTTTCCTGGAGCCGAGTTGGATTAGTATGGTGTATGTATCGGAAGAGAGGAAGAGAAAGAAAAAGACTTGCCCATATCCGTGGAGATAGTGGCTATATCGCGCTCTTCTAGCAAAACCTTGCGATTGAGTTGGCTCATTTCCTCCGTGTATGCTCGGCACAGCGTGCGGTTCACTCGGAGATCTTGGTAGGTCGGCGCGCTTGCGAATACAGTCAGCCGGTAATGTGCTAGGGGAGGGGTGAAAATAATCTGAAAAACACATACGGAATATACTTGACTGAGCAGCCCGTTGCTAAAGCGGCAGCTTCAAAACAGGCTTTAGCCCTTGCGAGCAGCGAATCGGCCCTCGCAGCTGTTGGACTGCGAATATACCAGTTCATGCGTGTATAGTCCGGGATGACATTCGGAACAGTGCCGCCGTCTTCAATCACGCCGTGAATCCGCTCATCTGTCTGAATCTGCTGGCGAAGCATGGACACAGAGGTATATGCTGCGACCGCAGCGTCAAGCGCATTGAGGCCATTCCAAGGATCGCCCCCGGCGTGGGCACCGCGGCCGCGGAACTCAACTCGGGTTTTATGGCTTGCCACCATCTTGAAGCCTGCTATGCCGTGGTTGCCGTCCTTCATGCCATGCAAGGACATGGGATGTGCCATGATGGCCGCAACGATGTCTGGATCCTTGAAGGCTCCGGCTTCGACGAGCCTCGCCTTTCCGCCGCCGCCTTCTTCAGCTGGAGTGCCTAGTATGCGCACGCGGCCAGCAATGCCTGGCGTCTTCTTCACGGCTTCTGCAAGGCCGAGAAACGCGGCCATGGATGAGGTGGCAATCAGGTTGTGGCCGCAGCCATGTCCAATGTTCGGCAGGGCATCATACTCGGCGCAAATGACAACGACCGGCCCAGTGTCGCCGCCCAGTTCAGCTTCGAAGGAAGTGTCCAAGCCGTAAGTATGCCTGCGCACGTTAAAGCCGCGCGTCTCCAGAAACGCAGTCAGCGCATCGTGGGCATAGACTTCCTCGTACGCCGTTTCGGGATGGCTGTGAATGTCTGCATTGAGCTGGCGCAAGGCAGTGGCATCGCGATCAATGGCAGCGAGGATATGTGCTCGTGCTGAAGCGAGATCTATGGCAGACATTTTTAAGGACACTGCGTTTTCTTCGTCTGTCTCCAGCTTTTTCATGTTTGGACCGTCGTATCCTCGGTCTTTATCAGATTTTGAATGTGCAATTACCGTCTTATCTACAATGTAGCGAGATTAGCCGGTCGGCAAATTGCCTGTGTGGGTTGATGGAAATGATAAGCTCGTCGGACTTTGACAGACTTCTTTTCCCTTCCTTTTTCATCTCTACCCGCGGCAAAAGAGATTGATGGATCGATCCATGGCCAGTCTGCGATCGAAATCCGGCTGCTGGACGTGTCGCGAGAAAAAAGTCCGATGCGGCGAAGAGCGGCCACAATGCCATCGATGCGTGCGTTTGGGCCGATTCTGCGACTATACACCCCGGCCTCGCAAGCCCTATACACGGCGCCAGCGGCATGCCAGAAGACCGCCGCCAGCTCGTGACCCGGAAGAGGGCGAAAAGGATGAGGACCAGGACGAGGACGAGCGAGGTCCAGCGCATCTGGAAATCGAGTTCCCTGGGCTTTCATCGGTCGACCAGCAGGCAGTGCACTGTTTCCGAACCACAGTCTCGGCCTCGATCGATACCAAAGATCCAGAATTCTCCGTGCCCTTCGTCATCTGTCGCCTGGGACAGACCAGTCCCATGCTCATGCATATGATCTGCGCACTCGGCCACCAGGAAATCTTCTACCAATGCACTGAGGACAGCAGCGGCGGACCAAGTTCGCATGCAGTTGAGCACTACGGGGCTAGCATGAGGCTGCTTGCCCAGACTCTCAATCTACCGTCATCGGACGCTCCGGACCTTGACGCTATCCTAGCCACGCTGTGGCTGATGGTTCTATACGAACAGAAATTCGGCGATGGGTGCGCGCTCGGGCTCATGACGCACCTCCAAGGAGCTGCATCGGTGCTCCAGTCTCGCCTGGGCAACCTCCGTCGTCTCTTGGAGGCCAACTTCAGCGACCCCGAGGAGAAATGGCATTTCTCTCCCTTTGCCGGCCGCATGATTGTGTGGCTTGCATTTCTCGATGGCGGCGCGGCCTTTGTGAAGCTGGGCGGCGACTTCAACCGCGCCCTGGGAAGTGCAATGGTCGATCTGGCTGAGAACGCCATTGCTTCGCGTCTGCGTGGGTTTACTGCTATCCACCGATACTCGGCTTCTTTATTCCGCTCGGTTTGGGGACCAAGCTATCCTCAGCAGCAGCTACTGGAGGACCTGGAGAACCGCAACTTATTCTACCTCTACGGCGAATGCGGCCAGATGCGCTTTGTTCTTTCGCAGCTAGAAAATGAATTACTGCCCCCGTCTTCTTCTTCTTCTTCCCCTTCTTCTATACCACTGTCACCATTGGTCTCTGGTATTACTACGACATCTACCGAGCCCCGGCTCGATCCGCTGGCTGTCGCGCGGACCCTGCATGAAATCAGCCTGCGATACAGCGAAATCTTCGAGTTTGCGAGCCATCTCCGCCTCGACCTGGCGCATGCCGGCGAGCGGCGCAAGTTCATCATGAACATCCGCTTCGTCGTGCCGCTGTACCATGCCACTGTGCTGTGGTATTTCCGCATCACAGCGCATGACAAACCCTTCAAGTTCAAGGAACGACAGCGCGAGTCCTTCCGCGAGATCATCAATCTGGCGTACCAGGCGCACGCAGATGAAGGCGAAAAGGCCATGGCGCGCATTGCCTGGCCACTGTTTATTGCCGGGATTGAGGGCGACGACCCGGTTCATGAAGAGTGGGTGCTCAAACGGTTTTGGCATCTTCGCCAGCATGGCGAGAATTTTAGTCGGGCGTTCAGGGCTTTGAGCTTCATTCAGGAGGCGCAGCGAGCGGCTGGTCGTCGCGTGCCTTTGCCTGGCTGCTTTGACGAGGGGACGCTGGAGCGGTTTGCCATCTAAACCTGGATATACATGCCCATATAATAAATCTCTATACTTCTCTTTCTTTTTTCTTTTACATTTTTCTTCCTTTTCTTAATGTAACTATTTTAGACTTTCTCGGTGAGAAGCTTATCTCTCCATTTGAATTAAGCGACTGCCGACTAGATAAGGGTTTCTCTTGGATCAAGCCATCAAACGCGCATTCGGAGTGATAAGAAGATAACATGTGAAAAGACGAACCTCTATAAAATGCATGGAATTCGTCCCAGTTGAGCAACTGGCACTGGCTGTCTTGCATACACATAATCATACATAATCATACATAATCAATCGTCATATATGGCGCCCAAACACCCCGACGTCGGCATCGTCTCCGCTGATGATGGAGTCGATATCGAGACTGCATCCTGCAAGGTTGTCTCTGAGGCCACTCTGTCGCCTGCAGAGACTCGCCGTCTAGTGCGGCGCATTGATCTATGGTGAGCTGCCATGCAATATATCATGCATGCATGCATGCAGCATTGAAGGCTGACTCAAGGCCGAACAGCATTCTCCCCATCCTCTTCGTTTCCTACATGCTTCAGTATCTCGACAAGTCGGCAATGAGTAACACTGCAATTCTTGGGCTTCGGACCGATTTGCATCTGAGCGGCAGCCAGTACTCATGGGCATCCAGCATATTCAATTTTGGATATTTGGCCGCCTCGGCTCCGTTCGCGCTGCTCATGGTGCGGTTTCCCATCGGGAAATTCATGGCTGTCTCTGTGTATGCTCGACTCCTTGCTTGCTGTTCAAAGTCTGATAACTGACTGTCCACCTCTCAGTTCGCTGTGGGCCGTCGTTCTTTGCTGCACAGGTGCCACTCAAAACGCTACTAGCCTGATGGCAACTCGATTTTTCCTCGGTTTCATGGAAGCCGCAGTCGCCCCGGGTTTCAGCATCATCACTTCAACGTGGTATACACGTTCTGAACAGCCTATTCGCCACGGCGTTTGGTTCTTGGGAAACGTCGTGTCGGGCCTTTTTGGTAGTCCTCTGATGTATGCGTTTGGGCATGTCAACAATTACCCAGCCTGGCGGGTATGTATCTGTTCCTTTTTTAAAATAACAAGCAGAGGTAGCTCACTGCTCGACAGATAGTTTTCTTCGTCTTCGGTGGCATCACACTACTTTGGGGCATTGCGCTCATCTTCATCCTCCCAGACTCCCCTAGTAAAGCACGGTTTCTGACCGACACAGCCAGGGTCCAAGCTGCTGAACGAGTCCAGAAAGACACCTTGAGAGGCAATGAGGATAACAAATGGGACATGAAGCAGATGTGGGAAGCCCTACGTGACCCAAAAGCCTGGTTTACCGTGATAATCATGCTGTGCGCAAATATCCCCAACGGTGGCATTGGCAATGTAAGCGTACCCCGGCCAAACCCCGAGACATGATTCGGCCTATGTATACTGAATTTGATTGAATTTTAAAAAGTTCGCCGCCATTGTCATCGAAGGATTCGGATTTACCCGAAACGAGACCTACCTCGTCAACATGATCGTCACCGCTTTCCAAGGCGGCTTCATCGTGGTATTCACACTCGCCAGCTCTTATCTCAAAAACATGCGTACCATTTCCATGGCTATTTCCACTGTCATTGCTCTCGTGGGCGCCGTGATGATACGGCAGATTCATAGCTCTAACCTTTGGGCTCGCTACTTTGGATACTGTCTTTTGTCTGCTTATACGTCCAATTTCCCATTGATGCTGAGTATGAATGCCTCTAATATTGCTGGCAAAACAAAGAAAACCACAATTAACGCTATGGTAAGCATTGGTTGAAGCAAATATGATAACAATTATACAAGAAAGAGAAACTGACAATTACAGACTTTCATCGCCTACTGCGCCGGCAATATTATCGGCCCCCAACTGTTCTTTGCAGATCAAGCGCCCAGCTACCCTTCCGGGTTTGCATCTATGCTGGTCTGCTTTGCAGTTGGTATTGTGGCTATTCTCTTCTTGCGATTCTACTTGATTTGGGAGAATAAGAGGCGCGATGCCAGAGAAGGGCCTTTGGATGTCGACGGTGGAGATGCTGAGAATGAACAGACGTTGGATTTAACGGATCAGCAGATCCGTGGGTATCGATATTTGTATTAATTGATGCGATTGTCGTCAATTGCACACCTGTTGGAGGAATAATTTCGTGTTGATCCAGTTAGATATACCGACAAGAAGTAAATCATCCGAATCAAAGCTTTGTGATCTAGAGAAAGGTAAATCAGAGAAAATAACGCCAACAGGCATAATCTATGGAAGTGGCCTCAAGTAGAATCATTCATGCCTTTACGTTTCTGATTGCCAATCGCATATCCTTCTGTTCCTTCATCTGATCTCTGAATCTTTACCAAAGAAAACTCGACACCATCCAGAGCAGCAATCCTGATCGGGACAATTGACAGCTTCTGGCGAATGATCTTCTGCTTTGCTAGAGGCAAGCTATCGACCAGAGCCTTAGGAGGTCCATGCAGCTTCATGTATACTTGAACTCCGCAGACTTTACAAAACCGATGACCAGTAAATTTCCTTGCAAAGCGGTACTCAGTCATGTTATCATCACCTACGATCGAGACCTCTGATTGATCGGGGTAGATGCAGACGTTGGCATTCTATTCCGGTTAGTACTTAGAAAAATGTTCCTTCTTAGTAAGTGATAGGTAGTCAAGTAAGGAGAGACATACACGCTGACAAATACTGCAGTTATCTTCTTTGACTTCTATCTCGGGCAGTGGTTTAGTCTTGACCATCAGCGTGACAGCACCGCAATAGCAGCCGCCTGTGTAGACTTCTAAAAATTCGCCAGAGACTTCAGGGATTGGGCCCGAAAAAGCAGGAGGGGTATACATGGATGGTAGGTCAGCGTTAAGGCTAATGTAATATAAGTATTTTTGTATCAACGAACACATCATATGGACATTTCCAATCATACCTTTCAACCCTCAGGGAAAATGGATTCGTATTAAGCAAAGCCCTCGTCTTTAAATGTGTTAGAAATATACTGGTTCTTTTTTTTTTTTTTCACCCCCGAGACAGTCACCTACGTTGACAGCCAGGCCGCTCCCCCCTGTTGGTAGAAGATGGTTTCTCGCTAAAACCGCAGTACCGCAAGCAGGACAAAACTGCGAAAAGTGAGCCTGAGAATCAATAATCGAAATAAGATTTTACCAACATAGTGTTCACTGTTATCTCCTGGCTTGTAGCTGGCCAACGTGTCATTGCCACGAGTAACTACACAATCTTTCTCTCTAGGGAAGACCCAAAGATAGCCCTTCTTTGCGCAAATGACACAACAGCACGTGAAAGCAGTCTCTAATGGCGTATTCATGTGCAGTTGGAATTGAAAGCTGCCGCAATGGCAGTTTCCTCGATAAGTGGTACTTTGTGTTGCTTCAGCCATTTTTCTCATAACAAGCTTGCAATTTGTAGGAGAGAGAGTATATAGAGCGGAACGTGGAAAACGGGGTGGGCCCAGTAGGCAGTAGAATTGTTATCGGGGCCCCAAACATGCCACCATCGGCAGTTATCATCCGGTTTTGGTTGGTCGAAGCATCTGTATTCGCCAATTTGCGATGCATGGCTAATCGTTGGGGTTAGGGTTAGGGCTTGATTGGGGTCCTTATCGATAAAGGCGGGGAGCTACGTCATTGTCCGAAATTACGTAGAGACTCCACCAGCTGACTTGTGACAATGGATGAAAAAAAAAGTAAATATATATATATATATATATAGTTATACGTTTGTGGATATGCACAATGAGTTAGATGGGTGCAGACTTGGCATTGCTCAATGTTTGAACGGCTTCGCTGCCATGGACTCCAAGCGGAAGGGCAAGATTTTGCCCAAGAGTTTGACACGCCCCAGGTCTGCATCTGTAGACTCGCCCTTCGCCAATCATGACAATAGCAACGACGATCTGGACATCGCATACACTTTTTCGCACGACTATCTCAAGACAGACCCGGCTTTCAGTCCCGCAGTGGTCTCCGGACAGAAACCCTATTCCATAACTACCGCCGCCACTAGCAGTCCGTTAGAGGTAACAAAGGAACTTGCGAATAGCATCGTGCATCCTAGGCGCACGCTAGTGCAGCATTTCGAAAGCAAGACTGCAAAGAGCTTGTCAAAGGCCACGCGGCCTTATATCACCCCTCAGGTTGATCGAGAATTTCTCGCTGCGCATGATGCTCTCTTCGACGCGGAGAGGGCAGCCGAAAACGAACCGTCTCATAGAACACGCAGTAGGAGAAGGACGACTAGTGGGGGTTCAAAGAGAAAAGACCGACAAGAACTAGATACGAAGACGATGATTAAGAAGGAGGAAAATAGGGGCAGGACTGCTGTCGAGAATGCTCCAAATCAGGATCTTGATCAACAACAACAACAACCACCTTCAACCGATGCCGAAACACAAAGGAGAAAAGTCGAGTTGCTCGAGGCTCATCGACAAAGCCTGGCAGTGGCGTGGATTACGAGCAGACATCTAAAATGTGTACGACTGGCGCCATCCAAGGTTGTAAGCTTTCCAACTTTTGAGGACGACAAATTTGTTGAGAGGAACGACAATGGAGAAGAGGTTCGTTTCATGTGGGAGAAGTATATAGGGCAGGTAATTGTGCTTCTTTTCGAAATTTTTGACTAGCTGTTTTTGCTTCCGGGCTATATTCATTCTAATTCGACGAACAGCTCCTTCTTTATTATTCTCAGCCCTTCATGGCGCGATATGTGGACGTCGGGGTGTATGAGTCTCCGTTTGACCTTGTTTCTCTAGTAGAGAGGCTAGTCATGGCTACTGAACCATGGCAGGCATGGTGGATGGGCATTCGTGAACTCTATCGATGGGAAAAGCCGTGGCAGACAGCATTCTGGTATGGGGTATTTTCCTTTTTATGGTATACTCAGCATGTGGTGGGCTTTCTGGTAAGTAAGCGTCTCAATTCTTTCTCTGATGCGGGTGTGTCATAACGACATTAACGAGCCGCCTAGTACGTGTATATCATCTTCATGGTTCTGAAGAGTAGGCTGTACCCGATGGATGTAGTTTCCATGCGAGAATCGCTAGATCGAGTGCTGGACAGAGGTGCCCAGGCATATCGGTGTGGCGAGCTAGTTGATCGGCATGGACGCGACAAATGGCTTCATTCTCTGCTGGATGACATCGCACCGTTTTTACGACTACAGCTTGGCGATTTGGCAAATTTTCTTGAGATTCTACGAAAGTACGCACAGGCCTTTTCTTTTTTTCTTTTTTTTTTTTTTTTTTTTTTTTTTTTTTTTTTTTTTTGATTATAAAAGCTGACTGGCTACGAACCGAACAGTTTCTACTCCTGGCGCAACCCATCGAAGACGGCGGCGACTCCGTTCTTTTTCTTTTCGTGCTTACTTGTCAGCGTTTTCGCGGATATGGAGTTTTGCATGAAGATGTTTTGGTTCATAGCAATCAACACCTTCTTTCTCAGCTGGCCGGTTTCCGGCCGATACCCACGATATCGTCATATTGTCAGCCCGATTCGCTGGGTTTTCTGGGATATACCCTCTTATCGTAAGCTCATTTCTGTTTCTTGTCTCTGGCATTGACGCCGTATGGTTGAGCAGCTGTATATACTGATCATTACGCAGCGGAATGGGCAATACGTTTCCTCCAACAACATGAGATCCTCCGTCGACACGAAATGAACAGTCAGAACCTGTCCCATGGCAGCCACACTTTTTCTCAACGAGACCACTTGACTGATGAGGGAGACGGCAATGATGAGGTATTTTACGATGCTCTTGAGTCCCAGAAGCAAAGTAAACAGCCGGAGCAAGCAAACAGCAATGCCAACTACAGAAGTAGAGACAGCACTGCGGCCATCGTTCATTCTGTGTATTTTACCTGCTATTACCATGGTCATGAGGGACGGCTTATAGTATCCTCGGAGGGATTGCGGTTCGTCGAAAACCCGCGCCTTCTCAGGGCTCTCAACGCACCCAAGAAACAGAAGCCTCGGCTGAATCAGAAACCGCAATGGTCGTACAGTTTCGGGCAACTAGTGCAAATGACGAAACAGCAGACTCCCGCCTTCTCGAAGCTAGCAGGGCTCGACCGCAATCTAGGGCGGTTAGACCTAGAGTTCATGGTGGGAGAGCAGGGGGAGGGCGGAAGCAAGACTCCGTCTGCCGGGGAGATTGAAGCGCCGTACGACACAAAGACGCGGATTGAGAAGCTTGATGTCGCCCGGGCGGAACGGGATGAGATTTTCAATTTGATTGTCGGATGGAGCAGGAATTGCTGGCAGGCGGCGGGCGTGGACAAGTAGAAACCTCACCATGAAATGAAGGTACATGTACATGTACATCCCCATATTTTTTATTTAGCTTACACCTAGGTAGTGAACGCTATCTATAACGAACGTGGCCAGGGCGCAGAATAGCCCCACTTCGATTAGCCAATCAGACTATCTGGGCTGATCGTAATAACAAGGTTTATTCTATATCACGGAATCGGAATGTCCCTCAAAATTGCTGATGTGGGATAGTATACTGATATTCGCTAGAAAAGAATTGCCCAATAGGAATACAGTATGTGTCTTTACACATATATTTCTCTATCTATCTATCTATCTATCTATCTATCTATCTATCTATCTATCTATCTATCTATATCAACTATCCGCTATATAATGGCTCACTGTAGTCGTACATTAACTAACCCCTGTTTACGGAGTATAAGATACACTCTTACTGGCCGAGACATATTCCATGTCTACGTAATGCGCATGACGCATGCCGTGCCGTGCCGTGTTTAGTCTGCATATGGTTCTGTTTACCGCGACTCGTTCCTGCTCCTTGCATCAACACCCCCTCCGCCATCCATCTCCATCAAACTCGCATCAACAGCTTTCATCTCGTCACCGTCGCTCGCGTCACAGTATATCGTTCTGCCATATATATCCCATCTCATAGTAAATCGCGCCATCCACGCGGCTGACTGTTGCTCTGACGTCGCAATGGCGTACGACGCATATCAAGGGCGGGAAACGCAGTATCCAAAGACAACAACAGAATTCGCGCTCGTCGACCAATCGCCCTTTGCTGACACCAACGTGAGCGCAACCTATGGCGCTCCCAGTCAGCAGGCTCGCCCGATAGCCCGGTTTTCCAGATTCGATCCCCGAGGATGGAGCAATCGCACCAAGCTCATTGCTGCTGGCGTCATTGCCGTGGTCATCATTGCCATCATTGTCGGCGCATACGAGGGCTGGAAAGCCAACCGCTATCCGGATTACTCGGCACTCACCTACTCACTGAAGGACACCTTTGAAGGCGAGAAATTCTTTGACAATTTCTGGTTCTGGTCCGACGCAGATCCAACGGGAGGATTTGTTATGTGGGTTACCTCTGATTCATACAATACGATGCTCGATAAGTCTGACTAGCATCTTATCTTAGCTACATCCCGAAAGCCAACGCAGCCTACACCAACCTCACGTATGCGACGAGCGACTCTGCCATCATGAGGGTGGATACCCAATACCACAATACCATCGGCGGGCGCAATTCCGTGCGAATCCAATCCAACAACACATACAATGACGGGTTGTTCATCTTCGATATCCTCCATACGCCGTTTGGCTGCGGAACATGGCCGGCATTGTGGCTGTCCGATACAAGCAACTGGCCGACAAATGGCGAGATCGATGTTCTCGAAGCCACCAATAACGGCACTTGGGGAAACAGCATGACGTTGCATACTACCAACGACTGTAGCATGAGTGTGAAGCGCAAAGAAACGGGGACCGTCACATCAACAAACTGCTATAATGGCACCAACGGAAATGAAGGATGCGGAGTCAAGGGCTCCGATGCCTCGTTTGGGCCTGAATTCAACAAAAATGGGGGAGGCGTAAGTGTTTCTTTTTTTTTTTTTTTTTTTTTTCTCATTTGCGTCTTGGTTGTTTTCAGTCTATAGTCCTAATATCACATCAACTAGGTCTATGCTACTGAGCTTCGAGATGCTGGAATCCGTGTTTGGTGGTTTCCTCGCAGTTCGGTTCCGTCTGATATCACCAGTGGCAGCCCGGACCCTTCTACTTGGGGCGAGGCCGTCGCCGACTTCCCCAGTACCGACTGCAGTATCTCGTCTCACTTCAAGAATCAAAGCATCATTGCTAACATTGATCTTTGTGGCTCGCTGGCTGCTGCAACCAAATACTATGACACCCAGGCGGAATGCCCGAGCAACTGCACGTCATATGTGGCTGAGAACCCCAGTGCATTCACTGATGCGTACTGGGAATTCAAGAGTTTCAAGGTTTATCAAGCATCTTGAGTGGTTTTGTCTTTTTAACCAGAGCGAGAGGAATCAAGAACGGGAACGGAACGGGAAAAGATAATAATAGTAATGATATATATGTTTACGATGGCTAAGGTTTATTATTAAGAGGACAGTGCACGCTATTGGGTTTTACGTTGGAAGAATTAGATTTCTCTATCTTTCTAGAGCCAAGACGCCACCACAAGACGTTATACATGACGCCCTACTTTTGACTTTTCGTTATCTTGGGGCCAGTGAGACCCCACAAAAGCTTCTTTTCTCAGTAATAATCATCGCCAAGTTTAACAAAAGTCTCATCGTGGCTAGGTAATGGTGGTGGCGGACCTGTTTCCCCCCCAGCACATAATTGCCTCGAAGCGGAGGACATGACAAAGTCGGGCGATGAATTTGCCATAAACCCATTATATCACACACAGAAAAGCAATATCTCATTAGTCCAGGGATATTTGCATGTCCATGGTCCGACATCTGGTGTTTTAGTAATACGAGGCAAGACATGATGTCAAGCTCTATCATATGGCGAGTGTGAACGACGGACAACATGTATAAAGAAGACGATAATCCAGCTGGACTTGAAGGCTTTGAAACAAACTAAACAATTCAGAAAATTGCAAAAGACAAGTTTTCTTTTCCAAAACGAGAAAAAGAAAAACCAACACCAAAAAAAGTTGTACCTCGGCCAACCACGACAAAACAATCCATCATGACTAGCAACACCTACGGCAGCAGCTACGCCACTGATCCCTACGGGACCAGCACATATGGCACCAACACCTACGGCACTGCTAGCGACTACAGCACAGGCTACGGATACGGCACCACAGGCTACGGCGCCGGCACCAACGCCTACAGCACATACGGCGACACGACCGGCGGAGGAGCCAACCGCACCACTTACGATCCATCCACCGGTGCCTATGACCAGCATATCGACTACGATGCCAATGCCGGCACGCGTCGCCATCACCGTGAGCAGATGGATGATACCGGCCGTTACTACCATCGCGATGTAGACCGGGATACGACTGGCTTGGACAATACTACCCGCGTGCATAAGGATTACTCAAATCCCAATACCGGTACTAGTTATAGCAGGGATTCGTCCTATGATCGCAATAATCTGGTTTGAGTGATTGATTTGATGAAGATGGGGTTTGAGGAGACGTACTAGAGGTTGGAGTTTGGGAGTTGGAAGATGTTTGAGTGTAGTGGGAGATTTGGAAAAGTGAAAAAAAAGGGTGGAAGATTAAGTGGATTTGGAATAGGATAGGAATGAGGAAGAGGAGGATATGATGTTAGATGACTGGCTGGTTAGTTCATCAATTTCACTGACATTACTCAGTGTGGTTGGTTGGTATTTGCATGTCCCATGTCTTTTACTTGTATATAGGAGAAAAAGACATCTGTCGCTCTTTTGATTCAGGCTTCGAACCTGGAAGTGCTTTTATTTGGTTTGCATTCTGTTTTGTGTGCTTTTTTTCCTTTCTCTTGTTTGTGCTTTGGTTTTAGATCAGATTCTGAACTAGGACTACTGAGCAATGAATCTATACATTTATGATATATGACTTGGGATTTGCACCAATATCGTAAGTAGAATACAAGTTAAAAGGTCGTCTAATGGTACTAAGCACAAAAAACTCAAGATTCAAAGAATTACTATTGCTTTTCCAGAGATAACTTCACCGGCTGTAGCTCCTCTCACACCCTGCCTTTTCGAAGCCTGAAAAGGTTGACTTAACTGCTTGACCTTCTGTAAGCCAGATGAGCTCTCTTGGATTGGATCTGTGTGAGCTACTATCAAGCCATGCACACATAATTTGATGGTGCAATTCTTTTTGTCTTTAGGTATTGGCACTAGATTTCCCGTGGCATCCTGGGCTTCCATCATGGTAGGATCGAAGCGCTCGCCTGGCTGGAATTGAATGACCTCGTATCGTGTACCGCCGACTGGAAAGCACCGGGATCGGAAAGAAAATGCACTGGATAGGAGATCTCTCAGTTCTCGATGGAAATTCACTTCTTGTTTCTCCAGCTCACTAGGGTTCAGCAAAGGATCTAGCAGGGCCGTGATGTGTGCTTGCAATTCTTCGACATGTGAATCGAGAAAACACGTCTTGAATTCCAAGTCGTGTTTTAACATGTGCAGAAGTGTGGCTCTGTGAAATTTCTCAGCGAATTCGCTAGTAGCTGGATAAATCGCAACGTCAGAATAGGTAACAAAAACAGAAACCCCCCCCACACTTGAGAGATGGACTAGGCCTCACCACCCCGTTGTATTGTTTTCTGATATGCTCGCAGCATGTAGCCTTCCGTGTGTAGAGCCGTCCACATGTCAGAATATATTATTTGGTCACAAACAAAACGAAACAGCAATGCCCGGAGCGCTGGACCTGGCATAGAGGTTAAGGTCTTCATGCTTCCGGTGACTTTGAGAATCATATCCCCGAGGTCAGGGTGTATCTGAATTGAGAGAGTTAATTTATCGAGAGGGTATAAGCAGTTGGAGATGTATTCCGCGGCACGGAGGACACGGAGCTCGATATCCTCCATCTCAGAGGCGAAGTTGACATTAGCAGTGAGCAATTCTTGATCTTGAGAAGTGGAGAGAAGCATATCTAAGTTCAGAGCACTTCTTAGACTGGAATGAAGATCCCTAATTGTAATATTCTGCTGCTCAATTTCCTTGTCTTTCATTTTAATCATCTCGGGTTCGTCTAGATTGGTGTCCGAGGATGATGATGCCGGATCGAGAGATTTAGAAATCAGCCAATCGATTTTCTTGTTCTGTTCAACTTTATGACTCTCCAGTCGCTTCACCTCGGCTTTGAGACTTTGGATTTCTTGAGATTCGGCAACAGCAAGAAGGGCATTTTGCATTTTCAGGCGTTGCACCTCTCGCTCGAGCTGGTTGTATTCCTTAGAACGGATCCGCACCCCAACGCGTATCTTCGCAGGTCTAATCTGCTCTCGCTTGTCTTCAAGTGGCGGCGTTGCCTTTCTCTTTGCAGTCGGCCCAACTTCCGTTTCACTGCCAAATCTCTTGGTTTGTGATCGAATACGCTTTTGTCCATGCGGAAGAATGTTCTGCTCCGGCGTGCCTGGTTCCGGGCCCTCTGTCCATGGAACTATGGCCCAGCCTTTCATGCGACGGTATGGCACTACCACTTCGAAAGAGGAATGGCTGTTAACATTTGGTGACATTTTTCCAGTTCGAGGAATGAGTGCTCGCTATCATTGCACAGAATAGACATCCGTAGTGAGCAAGATCTTGGATCAGATCAGGGGCCGAAACCAAGTTTCGACCATCTCGACAGTCGGACACGTCAACCACGCTAATGCAGGCTCTAAATCACCGGGCACGTTTTTCCTGCCAGAGTTATTTCCACAAAAGCAGCCTCGCAGGGCAGACTCCTGGTGAGTGGATGCCTTGGACTAAAGGCCGTGCATGCATGAGCTGAGAAGGAAAAAAAAAAAAAAAAGGGGGCGTGTGAGGAAAGGAAATAAAATCTACGCACATACCCGCCTACGTACTGTCGAACATACATCCAGGACCTCACTCTTGAGCTCACGATATTTCGCATGGCGCGTTCGTTGAACAACGGATCGCGAAAGCGACGCCGGGCCTCAACAACCATCAATCCACCACCGACATCAGACTCCGATGACACTGTGGGGATGGAAAGGCCCGTCCCGACCGTCCCGACCGTCCCTTCAGGAACAAAGTTCATCGTGGGCCTGGACTACGGGACCACCTACACCTCCGTCTCTTATATCAAGTTTGATGCAGCCAATCCCCCCAAAACAATTTTTGCAGACCAAATCAAGTCCGTCGACCGCTGGCCTGATTGCGGTGCCTTTTGGCGCTCCCCCGAGGTATCAAGTGAAAGCTGGTATCATGGCAACAAGTTCTACTGGGGATACGCCGCTCGCCAAGCGATAGAAGCTCTGAAGAATGGGAATCTAAATTACAGGAATCGGATCATTCAACACGCCAAGTTGCTTCTCAATGAACGTCCTGAAGATATACAGGCCCCGCGACGCGAGTTGGGGGGCACTATGAACAGACTTGAAAAGAATGGCAAATACGTTATCAAGGACTACCTCCGCGAGGTCTTGAAATACACCAAGGCGCATCTAGAAAAGAAAGATAAGTTCACCGAAGACTGCGAGGTTGAGCTCACTTTCTGCGTACCAGCGGGATGGCCGGCGAGGGCCTTACGCACCATGCAGGAAATCTTGCTGGAAGTAGCGCAGGAAATCAAGTTCGGTATCTTGGCCCCGTTATTTATCCTCAACGAGCCCGAGGCAGCCGCAGCATATATGCTGGAAGCCATTCCAGGATGCAACAAGTTGAAGGCAGGTGCATGCATGCTCTAATCAGATATTCTATATGCACTAACACCTATTTTGAAGGAAGGAGATGTGTTCATAGTCTGTGATGCCGGTGGTGGCACAGTGGTATGTCATAGACTTACCATGATATACATATATATGTATACATATATATACATCGAGAACCTCACCTAATGGAGTCAAGGATGCCATTACATACCGCGTCTGTCGAGAGCATCCATTCCGATTGGACGAGGTCGTTTCTCCGGGAGGTATGGTGATAGGAGTCTACTAATAGTGCGTAAAAGGCTGCTCTAACGACAAATAAAGGAAGGAATTGCGGTTCAAGTTACATAAACCAGGCCTTCAAAGCGGAGGCTATCAAAAGGCTCGAAGACACCAATCACGCCTCTCTCCAAGGGCCTTCATTCGAGTACATCATTGAATACAATGTCATGGACAAATTTGAAAAAATCAAGAGAGAATTTAGACCAGAAGATGGGTTAGAAGGAGATGCATCGATCGTTGTTCCTGGTCTCAAAGAGGATCCGACAAAGGGCTTCGGTAATTCGTTACTACATATCCCCAGGTGTGTACTTTTTTCTTTGTTGGCATGATTCCTGGCTCACAATGTTGTTTTATCTCTATTTTTCAGAAAGCAAATCCGGGGCTTCTTCGATTGGAGCTTGGATGGCACAGGCGAACTTATCCGAGAGCAAATGAGCGCGGCAGATAAAATTGGCCTGACAGTTTCGGTAAGTTCGACAGCATTTCAGAGATTATTCCTAGCCAAGATTCTGATGTAACTCTTATAGAACATTCTACTGGTTGGGGGCCTCTCTACATCGCCGTTCCTTGAAGACTACATACGCAATACGTTTAGTGGCCTCAATATCCTCAAGAACGAGGAGGGGTGAGTTAACTCTCGGTAATTTCGTGGCATTTGAAACTAGTCCTTGCTGAAACATTTATCAAAGAGATATGGCCGTCGCAGTTTCACACGGTGCCGTATTTCGTGCCCTAAATAAAGAATACGGGCCCCGGCGACAATTGCAGTCCAACTTCGGTTTTCTTCAGATAGTGGAATATAACAGAAAGCTGCGTGCTCATCGCGCAGGTTTCCGAACGCGTAACGGCATTAACGGCAAGGAGTATATGTACGACGTTATTGACTGGGTTATCAAGAAGGTACTTGGTTTAGCGCCTTTTGCTGTTCTTGCGTATCCCGGTCTTTTCTCTCACAAATCTTTGACAGAAACAGAAACGTGCCCTAAGCAATAAAGCACCGTTCGTGACACGTAACTACCAAACCTTCGGGATAGACGAGGAACCGGTGATCAGGCAGCGCATTTACGTCTCCGACGATGACAGGGTATATGATGGCTATCAAATGGATCATGGACATAATAGAGGTAGGCATAGCCAACGCACTTGAAGTGTATGATACCGTGACTGACTTGGCGTTCCCTAGGAGCTGAACCATACGGTCGGCTTGTGGTGGACTTACAAAAAGTGAAGGACGAGGGCCTGTTTCAGACAATTCCAGGACCCCAAGGGGATTTCTACCAGATTTACTACGACTTAATTATGGAAGTTGACGGTAGAACCCTCACAGTGAAGCTTTTATGCCCTCCTGGTGGACAATGTCGCGGAGAAACTCAGCTCTGCATTGCGGCTGCTTTTATTCCTGGAACTGAATAGTTCCCCTAATACTTCTGCTGGTTATTTTTTTTTTTTTGTCAGTTATTGCTCTTGTTGTAATCGCCTGGATTTGAAGCTTATCAGAAGCAAATGTAATATTACTCTATAGAAGATCAATCTAAACGCCACTCAATCCTCATCCATGTAGTCGTCATTCATAGATTCCTCGTCAGATGAGAGAACTATAGGAGAGTCTGGGGTTTCGCCAGTTTCTCCGATCAGCCTAGTCTGCTTGAGGCCTTCTATCCATTCTCTCAAAGAACTAAGAGTCTCCACATCTCTCCAAAGTCGACGTGATATTGTAGGCTCGTTGAGATACTTGAAGTACTGACCAGGGCGAAGATTGGGGCCTATTTGCATAGTGGAGTAGTAAAGCCCTCCCTCGGCTAGGCTCTCGACAATATAGGGAATAGTCGATGCTTCAAAATCACGTCGAGTTAAAATATACAAGCAGTACCTTGCGCCATTTGTATGAAGATTCAAGCCGTCAACTAAGGCACAGCCATTTGTATCCTGGCAAATATGGTCTAGTTGCGGCCACATGCAAAACTCCCTGCTCTTAATCGTCTGCGTAGCCTCATTCTGTGAAAATCGAATGTAAGGGTCCGTGGGCTCCCTTCTACCTATCTTGTGCGACTCATAGATAGTCTCGACTAGTTCAAGGACAGAAGGCGATCCATCCAAACTAAAGCCAACAAAATATTTACCTGACCTCTTGAGGTGCCATTTTTTGGGAATCTTGCCAGCCTGCCGGTAAAAGTGGCTAGATAAACAAAGCATAGAGGTGGCTGCTGTCAAGTTATCGACTATGGATTGTTCCATGATAGAAGCTACAAAGGCCTCTATCTCCGATTTTTTAATGGCCGGCACCCCAACGAAATCAGTTTGGAGGCCCGACGAAGCTACGGATAATCCAGTTCTGGACATGAGAACTTTGAGGGCCCCTTCGGAGATCGCGAGGTAGGTCAGTTGTCGAACAGGAACCCAATCCACCGATACATGCATGAGGATGACGATTCTGACGTGGAACACATCTTCCGGATCGCGGTTGTCTTCTCTTAACCTGACATTAGACCACAGGCCTTCAAGTCCCGACAGTGCTTCGGCTGTCATTCGCCATGAATGGTCCAAGCACTGTATCATTGTACGCACAGCATTGTTTTCAGCTTCGACTGTTGCGAATGAAAGTAGTAAGCTGTCTATGTCTTTTTCGGTTATTTGAAGTGACAAAAATCTAGATCGGATGGTGGAAGCATCTTTCACGATACCAAGGGACTGGCGACTGGTAATCAAAGGAGAGTTGGTGGCCCCTTTTTCATCATCATCATCATCATCACCATTGTCCAACACCCCATTATCACTGCCTATCTCCTGAGAGGGATTAGGCCATTCCGATGGGATCCTCGAATTCCTTCGCCCAATAGTGGAAAATATATCAGGGTCAGTAGACAGCGTCTCTCGGCCCGTCAAGATGTGCAACTCGGTCAGGATCGATTGTCTGTACACGTCACGAGCCCAGTCAAATATATAATCCACGATCAGCAAAAGCTGCAGAGCGCAACTTTTGTTGCATATATCTCCCTTCCATAAATCCACAGTACACTGTGCTCATTAACCATTGTCACAATACAATACATATTTGGCTGTAGGACATCGGAGGTTTCTTACATAACTTGGAATAGAGCTATCTCCGTAGTCTGTGAAACTAGCCTTGATGCTCCATTCATTGCCATGGTAGGCAAAAAACCACACCAGTGATCCTGCATGCCACCGTGACTTCACGCCAGTTGCAGCACGAAGTCCATCCTGCAACATCAGGAGCCGTCTAATGCAAAAAGCCGTCTGCATTTCTACCGCAGCCGAGTCCCCAACAGTGTCAGGTTTTGCCTCAACAATAAGAAACGGAAACAAAAGCGGCTCACGGTCCCTCTTGAACGGCGACGACTCAAGCGTGTGGCGTAAAATTCTTGTATCCTCATCCAAAGGCACACGTTTGTCGGCTGAATCCAGTAATACCTTGAAATTTTCCGTTTGGACCAACCCATAAACCCTGTCTGGCTGTTCATATTTCTTCTTGGGTCTGCCATATGAGCCAATAAAGAAGCTTGAATCATAGTGGATGGAGGTCTCTGCCCGGTCAGAGAAAATCATATTGACTTCAAAGTCATATCTAGATAGAATCAGCAACGGCGCAACCCAGCTCCCATTCTTGATTTGTTGTATTACTGGTTGTGACCCCATCCTCCGGGACAACGACATGGCGTGCGCTGTCTACGGCGATCCTCGAGAGTGGCTGCCTGCGCCTCGGTGGATTCGATGGCAGCTTCGATCTCAGAGCGCCAGAGTCTATCACGGCAGGTTGGACTGGTAACCTCAGCATAAAATGCAACCTCCTACGTTCAATCAATAAGAAATGGGGAGGTTCTTCTAACCATGATACCTCTACTGTAAACCGGTAGAGAACTTCATGCTCTATAGCTGCCCTCCATCCTGGCTCAGTTCTCCCTTCTTTCCTACACCTTTCCGCGAGCTTCGCTACCCTGGCCGATCTCCTCTTGATTTGGCCGCGCCATGGTTTTTCTATTGAATCAACGTTTGCCCCTTCATCAAAGTGATGGTATTTCTGGTGCCCCAATTTATTGACATCGAGAAAAAGCCGGCGGCGAATCTCAGGCCAATGCTTCGGCCAGTCCTCGGGCTCTTCTGGGCCCATAAAATGAATATTTAGACGGTCTGCAAGCTCCCTGCGACTTTGAAACTCTTCTGGGCTCATGGCTAGTGACTTGTATTAGGAACAAGGAGTAGCAATAGCCATACCCCGCCTGTGATGTGGGATATGATAGTCTAGCCCTACTGGACCAATCAGGGCCGTCAAGCTGATTTAGATCAATACCATGTTTTTCGGTCACTGGAACATTTCGGTCTGCTTAATATTGTCGTTATCCCGATAGCCTTTATGCTTTTATTCGCAATCCGTTTCTGTTAACTTCAGTAGTCTAGGTGGAACGTCCTGGCAGAAGTATTACTACATAATTACATTTGACAATAGTTACAGATGCATAGCACTGCTCCACGATATGATTGGGGAAAAAAAAAAAAAAAAAGCAATGAAAGAAAGATAGAAAGAACACCTGATTCTAAAAAGGCCGTCTATACTTGTCTTTGGGTCTACATTTCATTCAGACCAACCCCTCCATACTAGTAGCATACGTGGTCGTCAGCCTAAATAAGTCGATGCAACCGTAAGAAATTTGGCCCGCATAACAGAGTTATACAGTCATACTCTGACGCTTTGTTGCTGCCGGCTGGGATCAGCTATGAGTTCTTTAGGGCAAATCAAATCGGTCCTTTTGTTTACACTGCTTACTTCTACGTTGTTAGCCGGCCATCTTCATGCATAACACCGCGCGAACTGCGGAGCGCTAGTAGCACGTCCCTAAGCTTTATCGACAAGGATTTGGATTTATAAGTTAGAGTTATTATGTAGTTACTCGTGTGGCGGCTGACCGGACACTGAAGGCAACCCTAAAAAAAAAAAAAGAATCCTCCCGGATGTTTAGTTGCCTGAGTGGCTGGCTCTTTTGAGTCTCGACCACGAGCAAGAAACACGCGTCAACTCATGAGATAGGTCGTCTATGTAACAGCATATCTAATTATCTATCAATCAGTCTACTATGGGCCCACGATGATTATTTGGTTCCTGACTACTACTACTACTAGCACTAACCTTCCAACCTGTCAATACTGTGGACTTGGCTGATGCTGAAAGGAATGTGGCTTGAACGTAAATGCAACCTTGTTATAACAATGCGGACATATTTCTAAGGGATTGCGAGGGCACTTACAATGTAATGATCCAGAATACTGCTTTCAATGCCGTCGTTGCAACGCTGACACCGAGCAATTCACGTTAGAATCGCATGTCCCCCGTTTTTCCTGGTTGTTCAGTACCGTGCCTTTTCTCTGATCTGTCCTTCGACTTTCGAATAGTTTACTGTAGCCTTCAACCAAGGTGTCTATCTCATCAGCCAGCACGAGGATAGACGCTGCGTACGTTGGATGCTCGTCGAGGAAAGACCAGCGTTCGTGACTACATATCAGATAACTCTTCATCTCAGAATCCTTGATTAGATCCGCGACCTGCTTCTGCAGCTCCACTAGGCAAATTTTCTAGTAATTGATGCCTCCAGAGAGTCCGCATGGCTTGTGTGGCTCGTAGCATCGCGTTTCCACGTGCTGCCGCTATGGCTCTAGAATGTCGATTAAGTAGCATCTGCCTTGAGGAAAAAAAAAAAAAATCTCCGGTTTAATTTGTAGGATGAAGTAAGGACCAACTGTTGCTTTCACCTAGCCTGGTAATTGGGAATCGTTGCAATGAAGAGATGATCTAACCCAGGATGCTTTTCGTCCACAAGAAAACTCGGACATACCCGTATTGCCCGATTATGACTGCCCCTTTATTGGAGGAGGCCAAGCCCAAAGATTCCTGACCTGGAGAAGTATATAATGGTTGCATTGGTTCCTACAATACTGACTTCTTTTGCATTCATCTTGTAAGCTACTGTTTGAATCATCTTGTCTCTCCTTCACAAGAAAAAGACTGTAGCTCGTCGTTCCTTGACAAAACATATACAATCCGGCACATCCTATTATCAATTTCAACAAGATGAAGAACGCACTATCTGTTGCCACCGTTCTAGCTCTGGCTGCTACTACCTTTGCTGTGCCTACGGCCACCAGCACTCTCGCATATGGTACTGCTATCGGTGGTGCTGGAAGCAGTCCGACTGCAGAAGCAATCCTGAAAGCAGACTATGCTACTCCACCTGAGTACATGACCATGATCATTGTCAACAGCCATGGCGATGATATTACCACATCTATGAATAGCAATCCTTCTTCGCCTGCTCCAGTCTCCGGTCCATCAGGTACTGGAACTATGACTAACGGTCAAACCGCTTCGGTTATTTTGCCCACTAATTGGCTTGGAAACTGGGCTATTAACGATGGACATTATGAGATCACGGGCGATGACACTCTGATTGAAGCCAACTTCTCCGAAATTGAAGATGTAGCCGTGGTCTCACTTGATATCAGTTATGTGTACGTTCAACTCTCCTGATGGTCCAAAAAAATAAAATATGGCTAATGATATTATGACTCTAGTGACGGTTTCTCTGTTGCTATTACCTGTGCTTGCGACGGCACGGTTGTTACTGGATGTAACAAGAACCTCTTTGAATTGAATACCTGCCCGGTAAGAGAACACTCCCTCCTTTGCTTTTGAAAAAATGTGTCCTAATAACGATACCACCAACAGGATAATGATGGTGAAAACGCTTGCATCAACCCTCTCCGATCCGACCTTTCGGCAACAGCTGCTACCACTTTCTTTGCACCTTGTCAAGGAGCAGCTTACACTTTCCCCTCCGATAGCAGTGCTGTTAGCACTGGTGAATGTCAGAGTGGTATTGTCACTTGCTGTGTTGGCATGGACTGCCCGGCCAACCCTAAGCAGCCTTCCTGATTGAACTCGCTCACATCAACTATCATGCTAGTGGCATGAGCTGCAAAAGTTGCTCGAGCAGTGCTAGTACATTGGAATCACGTTGGAGAAAGTAAGTCTTGGGTCTTTTTGGGTACACTTTATGGCTTTTTGTACATAGATATTTATTTTCGATATTGATATGAACATATGGACAAATTGACCTTTTAGGATTTCAGAATTCGAGCTCTTGGTCATAGTCTTTTCACCTAGGCAATGGCATTTACAAAACCAGCAGTTCTATACAATCAATTCCTTCACACTCTACAAATGTAGATTTGTGTATTCATGCACAACGTCTATAAATGCAAAAACTACCAGAATAGGAGATTTCCATCGGGCAACCCTCATTGGCTGGCTGGTTGATGTGGGTCTGTTATCTTCCCCAACCGCGCTTGAATAGCTTCAACTTCAACCTAACCTCCATCTACACTTTCAAATCAGTACCTAGCTACTATACTAGGATTCGAATCACAGATACAGCTCAAACAACTATTTGCAAACATGGCTCCCATACATAGAGTTGCTGTTATACAATGGCATATCAAAGTCAGTAGTCAAACTTCCCCGCATCACAAGCCTGATAGCGAGTTTCTCTCTATCCCACGACACATTCATGCTGGCGGCTAATCATATATAGAACCTGGATCCGGAATACAATCATTCATACGCAGTCTCCTATATTACATCTGCTGCGGCTGATGGCGCCACGCTTGCTGTGCTTCCTGAGTATGTCTCATGTGCACCCCGCACATCCGGAACTTCCTATTGACCCTGGCTCTGTTCAAAGATACCATCTCTGTGGCTGGGCCCCGGAGTCACCACTTTTCTACTCGCTTGCACTTAAGGCACAAACCTACCTCGACGCTTACTGTCAGCTAGCGAGAGACCTCCACATCAACATCGTACCGGGGACGATTATCGAAGCACATAGCAAAAACGATACCGATAACACCAACGAAAAAGAGACAGATCACGTCCTCTACAACACCGCATACTTTATATCGTCCTCGGGTAATGTGGTTGGCAAATACGTAAAGAAGAATATATGGCATCCCGAAAGGCCGCATCTAACTTCCAGCGGCGCAGCTCCACATGAGGTTTTTCAGACCGAAGTGGGCAAAGTAGGTATGCTGATATGCTGGGATTTGGCATTCCCAGAAGCATTTCGGGAGTTGATTGCTAAGGGGGCAGAAATAATTATTATCCCTACTTATTGTACACCTCTCTCCCTTTCTTCTTTTTCTTCTCTCTCTCTCTCTTTCCAGACTCATTGCTAATGAATGCATGTAACAAAACAGGGGGCAAGCACGACGTTCCAGAAGAAGCTCTGAAACTCAATTCTAACAGTGAACAACTCTTCATCGAATCCGCACTCACATCACGCTGCTTCGAAAACACGTGCGCAATTATATTTGCCAATGCAGCGGGCCCAGCTGATTTTTACCTGGGCTTGTCGCGTGTTGTTCTTCCATTTATGGGGCCCGTCCAAGGGAAGAGCATGTCTGCAGAAGAAGAAGGCCATATGGCGGTAGATTTGGATATGTCTATACTAGAACTAGCGGAGAAAAGTTATAAAGTCCGACAGGATATACAGTCTGATGGGTGGCATTATACTTATCGACATGATCATGTCGATAAGAGACCGGCTGAGACAGAGAAATAAGCTGTTTGATATCTTGTACTTGATTCTACTCCCCCCCACCCACTGCTAGTTATATGGTAGGAAGTCAATTCATAATCAACCAACGTAACTCTCCATCATCCACTGGATCTCGTCCGCCACGACATCTGGCCGCTCTTGATTGACTTGATGGCCACAGTCCGGGACCTCAACCATTCGACTCTTCCGTGATAGCTTTAGTAGTTTGGTTTGATTTTCTCGACAGATATCTCCCATTATCTTCAGGAAATCACCCAAAATCTTCCTCTGTTCCTCGGTGCCATTGCCCTCCTTCAGCCCCGCCTCATAGACCCTTTGCCAATCCATCTCACGATGCGCTCTTATCACGCTGACAGGCCGATCTTCCAGCGCACAATTCTGCAACTGCCGCTTCGCCTCCAGGTCCTCTCCTGTCTGACGGAGTGCAGCGAACTCAGCTGCCGATGATTCGCCATTTCTAGGCTGATGTTCGCCTTGCTCAAATGCCTCCCACTCTTCAGGCGTAAGCTTTGTCCTCTTCACCAACCCTGTAACCTCAAAGATGTTTAGAGACCCTAGCATGCCATGCATCGCAGGATACGGCCAATCGATCTTCAAGTCGTCCTCCATGACTGCGTCCACAAACACAAGACCCACGCAGTCATGCGGCTTCAGCGCAAAAAGTTCACGCACTAAAATCCCACCGTACGAATGGCCGAGTAGAATGTACGGCCCAGCGACCCCTGCAGCGCGAAGCAACGCAGAAAACTCATTTGCGATGGCAGTAGCACTGCGAGGTCCCGTTGAGGTATCAATACTACTCGACCGTCCCCAGCCCGCGCGGTCGTACGTGTAGATACGCGCGAATTGCGAGACGAGTCGGACAAGCGCTGGCCAGGCGTTGGAGCAATCTGCAATGCCAGCCTCAACCAAGACCACGGGTTTCAGCGCCTCGCGCGGAGGCCCAGCAACAGAGAGGAAAAGCGAGTGCGTGCCAACAGAGACGAGGCCGCTGTGTGAGCGGGCGAGATTCCATGGGTTGGATGAGTCCATTTTGTGCCGGATTATATGTGTATACATATCATGATGTTCGAGAAGATGGAGCTACATATACTTGTTTGACCCCACTCACTCACACTAACCACTACATGTAATCGACACGAGGCAGATTCAGCCCTTTCCACTTAATATTTAGGGTCATGTCTCCAACAAATCGTGAGCCCTCTAATGATGTTGATTCGAATGGATGCATCTGCAGGCAGCCTCAGGCAGGTCTGATACCTGTAGCAACAACCACAGAAGTATTCTGCGTCGTTGCCTAGGCTGTATGGCGTCAGGGTTCGTAATATACTTGGGAAGCCCTTATCCAAGGCCAGCGCCCTTCTGACCTCTCTGTGTCCATACTTACCATGCAAAAATGCCTCTGGTCGATCTGTATACGAGTCGGCACTCCAAAACATTAGCAAGTATCGCGCATTCAGCACGAACAGAGGCAGCACGAACGCTCAATGCGAGCAATCCAGCATCTCTATACTGTCTCCCAGCCGAGCTGATCTGCGAGATCTGTGACTATCTTCCCACCGCAGAGACATTCTGCCTGATGATATGCTGTGCTCGCTTCTGGCATGGCCGAACCGGCATTCCAACCTTCATCAAGGTGCGCCAGCTGGTCTGTCAACCACAACCACCACGCGTCAAAGGTAAAGGTCGTCGTCGACTACTACTACTACTGCCACAGAAATTGAAGTGTCCACCATCATGGCCAAGATTAAAATACCCACGACGCTCGAGACAAGCCACTGGATACGAGCTTTGTGTGACTCGCTTCCGTATCCTCCGCCTGTTGGAGTTTGATGAAAGTGATGAGAAGGGCGTCATCTCTTCATTTTATTGCTGGAGATGCATGAGCAATCATCAAAAGCTGCACCGCTATAAATTATGAATCCAAAGCCTTAGAAAATATTTGCTGTAGCTTGGATTTATTTAATATATCAAATGAAAGTGTCAACCGTTGCCAGACACTTGTGACCTTGCCATCAACAACATTTCAATATTTCGAACTTTAGTATAATTCTACCCGCCTAGGCAACGTTGAATATTACAAATAGGGAGAAATCAGACGATTCAATGAATATTCAAATCAATTGGCTAGATAAAGTATAGAAGAAAACGAAAGCCGAGAACAAAAAAAGACAGTGCTAAACAGGGGAATATCATCATTGTCGAAATAAAGAAAAAAATAATAAACCATACACATGTCAACTTTGTCATCATGTAAAACAAACGGCACATTCATCAATCATGCATTAATTGACGATTCCACTTTCACATCACACACTCCCACGCAGCCCAAGAACAAGGGACAGATGGGACAGAACTAACAAATGCAACCAAATCTTTTCCAACGTCGCCAAGTTTTGACATGAAAGGGCAGAATAAGAAGCCGGAACGGGAGTGAGGGAGAAAACAAACAAAAAAAAAAAGGAACATAGGAAACGGAGGAATAGGAAAAGGAAACACGTCTAATAATCTAGTGCTCAACACCGACTGACTAACCCTAATTACTGCACTTGACTGACAATTTCGCTGGCTTTGGATAGAGACTCCACCATCTGTTGGCACTCCTTTCGGCGGCGGATGGTGTAGTCGCTCTCTCTGAGAAGGTCATCGAGTTCGTTGTTGCGGTACATATTCTCTAGCAGTTCACGTTGCATTTCGTCCTTGGAAAATCTGCAGTTAAAAAAAAAAAAATTTCATAGGTTAGGTCTGGAGATTGCTGATTTAAGAGACGGAGTCAAAATGGGTCAGCAGGCCAGACTTACTGCACGAGTGTATACATAATAGCCTTGGGGACCATATCGATCATCGTCCGCTTGACAATGTTGAAGTATGAGTTGATCAACAGTTCTAACCAAGTCAGCCATCACTCAACAAAACTAGATAAAGGAAAGAGGGCATACTAATAACTTCAACTTCAATGTTCTCCCGCTCGTTCAATGTGCCAGACGCCTTCAGTGTCGGCGGCGGAGGTTCCATAGCAGCCATCTTCTTCTTGTTCTTGGATGCAAAGAAACTACCAAAGAATCCAGACTCTTTCGTTTCCGCAGAAAGGTCCAACGAAGGACTAGCTGCGCGCTGTGGCAGAGGCTTGCCCGTCTTGGGGTCCACCTGAGTAGGTTTGCTAGCTGCCTGTCGCTCATTAACGATAGCCATAGCACGGTGTCCATTCAGGAAATCCGGGTGGCCAGTGTTGACATAGCAGGATTCCATGTTAACAAGATCCTTGACTAGCTTGTTGCAAGGCTCCATTGACTTCTTGAAGAACTGAATTACCACATTGTGGAACTTCTCCTTCAGCATCGGGTAACGTCGGAACAGGCTCTTGTTCAGCAATTGCCCTAGAATGCGGACAAGTTCATCGTAAACTAGTGAGACGCACTTGAGCGAAGGCTCTTCAAGTCGCCTTATTTGTTGCTTGACAATGAGCTCAAAAGCCGTGGTACCAACGAAGAGCGCAGGCGATGAACCAGATGAGTTGTATAAGATCGTCCGAATATCAACATCCTTGACCTGATCAAAGGGGTCGACTGCCTTGACTCCATTCGAATACAGCTCGTGGAACACAAAACTGATACGAGCACCTCCGGACAGTTCCATGCTAGACAGTTCCGTGTTGTTACCCTCCAGGACAGTTCGGTATTCATTACTGAACTCCGTAATGATATTCAGCACTATATTGGCGCTGTTGCCAAGGATCGAATCGCCTAGCTGATTTAACTCCTGGCTGTATTTTTGTAGCGACGACGAAATCCTAGCCTTGATGTCCGGGAGCGTTTGTTTGATGTGCATCATAAGGATCTGTAATTCCAGTTAGCATTTGAAAAACACCGATAGATCGTTGACGACGACGATAACGCACCAAGTTGAGCTTCCGAGCGAGATAAGGAGTACCGCAATAAGAAGCCTTGTTCCGGTACGCCTTGTGGCCTTCAAAGAAGTTCTTCTCGTGCTCCAGAGCATACGAGATTGGACGCTTGTTCTCAATGTCACGTTGACCCCGGTTGACAACCGGAACATAACCCAGCCGTAGAGGAATGATCCTGCCTGCAAGAATATCCACAACATCGGTACCCTCGTCCATCAGGTCGACCTTGGTCAAGACACCGATCGTGCGCTGACCTTCAGGGTCAACTTCACGTGCGAGCTTTAATCCATCCGAGTTGGCCAAATCCTGGTTGGCAGACGTGACAGCCAGAACAATGGCATTGGGCTTGCTGATGTACTTCAAAACCATGTCCTTAATCTGCTTCTCAATATCCTTCGGTTGATCGCCAACAGGCACCTTGGTCAGACCGGGTAAATCGACGAGAGTCAGGGTGAGAACGTTTGGAGAGTAGATGCGCAAGTTGATGGGGGCCGGGGAAATGCCGGCATTGCGGCCGACTTTGCTCTCTGTTTCGCGCACAATTTCCTCCCGAATCTTATTGAAATCATAGAACTTCTGCCCCGGAATGTGTAAGAACTCGCCGTACTCGTCGACGTTTGCTGCGCTATCGGTAGTACCCTCGACGGCCTTGTCGTCCGACGTGCCATTCGATAGTTTGTTCGGCGGTCGGTTGATCAGTTGTAGAACGAGAGGTCGACGAGTAACAATACCTGAGCCTCGCGGCAGACTGATCAAAAAGAACGGTCAACGAACTAATGTTTCAACATCGCACTCCCAGGATTCGGGTTGGACTCACAAGTCTCGCCCGACGATATTCTCCAAGACGGAGCTCTTTCCACTGGATTGCGAACCGACGACGGCGATCTGTGGCAAGTCTATGGGGTTTTGCACCTATGATTCCAGGACAAAGAGGGGTTAGCTATTTATGCAAGGTCCGCCACCGGGCAAGGGATCACGTACTCCTACGGTCGCAAAGACATCTTGAAGCTTGTTCACCAGGGAGATCAAGCTAGGGTCGTTGACGTTGATCCTACAGATTGACATGGTTAGCTTCTCCAGACAGCTTGGCTGCACGGGTTGGGTTCCAGAAGTGTTGCGTACGAATACCCAGAGGGGGTGGCCATGCTGGCGAGAATCTAGCTGGAGGTGTGTAGTCTGCTGCTCGAGACAGCTGAGGAGCAGTCCTGGAGGAGTAGGAGCAGCTATATAGAAAGGGAAGGTGAGTTGGGTTGAGGAGCGTTCGTTGTGTGGGTGGCAGACGATATGGATATGCACGCTGCAGGCCGCAACGTTCGGAGCGTACGTACGGGTAAATACTAGTCGCCCCGTTTGGGCCTAGCGCAACCGCTACTATCTCCTTTTCCTGACTACAGTCACGCCATGCTTATATTCTTGATTTTGCATGTCCTACGAGGTTCTATTAGAAGAGGAGGTGGAGAAGAAGGAGAGACGAGGAAGAATAACACAGCATATCCAGTCTATTGAATCGCTGCATTTGACGTGGCATCCAAAAAAGCTATCAGGCAGTTCGCCTCCCGCAATTCTGCTGCCTTGAGCGAACATTTAGAGAGACAGATTGTACAGTAACCAAACAGAAAATGCTAGAGGGAAATATATCGAAGTGACAGGGAAAAATAAAAAAGAAGAGGCAAAGAAATGAAAATATTAAAGCCATCGAGTCGGAATTATACTACAATCTACCAGGCGCGGTCTACTCATCAGAGACAGTGGCAAACCGCTCGGACATGTCTTGCAGCAATTTCTCGTACTAGGAACATACAGGTCAGTGTGGAGAACCAATTGAAGAATGAACAGATATGCATACCTTGGCTGTAACCGCCTTCTCATCGTCCGGAACCTCAAACTTCATGGTTCGTAGAGCAGCTTGAATATCTGCAGTGGCTTCTCGGACCTTGGCCCAGTTTAGGCCCTGGGAAATTGCCTTCTGTGCCTCGTCATGGTATCCCATGAATGCTTTCATCATATATTCGGTCTTCCACAAAGGACAGAACTGGTCGTAGTCACTGTAGCCGTTCTGCTGCAAGAAATCATCCTTGAGCAGCGCAGCCACATCCAGGGTGATCTTATCTGAATCGCCCAGCGCCGACTTTCCGACCAGCTGGACAACTTGGTCGAGTTCCTCGGAATTGGTCAGAAGCTCTTTAATTTGGTCGCGTAGTCGGGGGAACTCGGGGTGCTCCTTCTCGTAATATCTGTCCAAAATGGTGGTGTACTTGCTGTAGGACACTGAGGTGTTGATCGATGGAAAGTGCTTACGCTGAGCCAGCTTCTTGTCAAGACCCCAGAAAACTTGCACAATACCGAGAGTACTGCTGGTGACAGGATCGGAGAAATCACCACCAGGTGGACTGACCGCACCAACAATGCTGACACTTCCCTCGCGCTCGGGACTACCAAGAGCGGTACTCTTCCCGGCCCGTTCATAGAAAGATGCCAACTTGGCGCCTAAGTAAGCGGGGAAACCCTGGTCTGCAGGCATCTCACCAAGACGACCAGAAATCTCACGCAGGGCTTCAGCCCAACGAGAACTGGAGTCGGCCATCATAGCCACGTTTTTGCCTTGATCGCGGAAATACTCAGCGACGGTGATACCAGTATAGATGGAGGCTTCACGAGCAGCCACAGGCATGTTGGATGTATTGGCAATGAGACATGTGCGCTTCATGATTGGTTCCTTGCGACCATTGATATCAATAGAAAGCTGTGCGATCCGTTAGCACTGTAATATTTCGCCGTATCTAATAAGAGAGATAAGCTAACCTCCGGAAAGTCCATCAACACTTCAGCCATCTCGTTGCCACGCTCACCACAACCGACGTAGACGATGATGTCGCTGTTGGAGAACTTGGAGACTGATTGCGAAATCACCGTTTTACCACAACCAAAGGCACCAGGAATACAAACAGTACCGCCTTGCACACTAGGGAACAGAGAGTCCAGCACTCTCTGGCCGACAATGAAAGGTGAATCCGAGGGAAGCTTCTCGTTCACTGGCCGCGGGACACGGACTGGCCAGGTGTGCATCATGCCGTGTTCGGACTTTTTCCCGTCGAAATCGATTTCCAGGATCTTCTCATCGACAGTGTAGCTGCCGGGCTCCGCTATTCTCGTAATAGTGCCCCTGGCGCGGGGAGGAAGCAGGATTTTGTGCTCGTCCAATAGACTGTTTTCATATACTATACCCCAAATATCGCCACCAGTGACCATGTCGCCTACCTTCTTGGTCGGCTTGAAATCCCACTTCTTTTCACGGTCGAGAGCTGGCACGGAAATACCGCGAGGGATGTAGATACTCTCAGAAACATCCGAGATTCCCTTTAGCGGTCGTTGGATGCCGTCGTAGATTGTTTCCATCAAGCCTGGGCCCAGTTCAACTGACAGGGGCTTTTCAGTGCGGATGACAGGGTCGCCAACAGTGACACCGGCTGTTTCTTCGTAGACCTGGATGGTCGCCTTGTCTCCATCGATACGGATGACTTCGCCGACGAGCCGATCGTGTCCGACGTGGCACTAGCAGGAGAAGCGGTTGTCAGTAAGTCCAGATGCTGGAGAATATCCTTGATTTCATATGCATATCGCAGCTACCGACCAATTCGTACATGGCACATCCAATCATCTTCTCGGCGACCACGACGGGACCGGAGATGGAGAAGACGGCGCCAGTCTGGTCTTCGCCAGTCTGCTTGTTGCCGGCGGACGCCATGACGGGAGAAGGCGAGGGCGAGGGCAGAGACGCAGAAGGGGGGGGATCAACAGCGGTTGGGTTTGGGTGTGCGGTGGCAGGGGAGCTGGCGAGGAGGTCAGAGAGAGAGTCGTTGGAGGAGGAGGTGGAGGTGAAGGTGGAACTGGGAGTTGCGGGCAGCGGCGGTGGAGGCCCCAAGGAAGCTGCAGCTGCGGCAGAATCCAACAACAACGACTTGTCCAGCTCCGCCAGCAGCTCCAGCAACGACGGGCGGGCCTTGAGTCGCGGTCTGAGGCCGAGTCCAAGCATGCACAAGAGAGTTGGGCAATCGAGCGACTGCGCTGGCTGGCGGCGAGGGGGCAGGGCGAGTCGTCGTCGTCGGTCGTTGTTTGTTGGGCGATGGCTGGCTTACATAGGTACTTCAAGGGCTTGGCTTTTAGCGTCCATCTACGCTCGACGAGCAGCTTCAACGAGCATCATGCCTCACAATCAACTACAAACTAGTCTTCGTTCACGGCAGTACAATAGGGCTCTCACTCGTACCAACAGCCTCTCGCGAACAAAGTCGTTTCAGAAGAAGCCACTGTGCCCAGAGTCAGACCAGAATAAATCTCTCTCTGGAGCCAATCAGCCCCAGGGGACAAACTGATATTTGCCATAAGACGCTCGGAAGCACACAGCACACCCAGTGCAATCTGACGGCATGGCCGTCGAGAGTAGAATCAGGGCTGCAATCAGTCCAGAGATGAACTCGACCATTCGATGACACGACATGATGACATCACCGCAGCAAGTTCCTTAAAAAACAACAGCAACTCATCTCCTTCTATTCACTGATTCCTTCCTGCATTCACTCACCTCTGCAAGACTCTCCAATGGCCGACGCAAACAAGGGCTTGGTGCAGCCCTTTCTGGGCGCCCTTCAAGCCTGCATATCCGTTCTGCTGACGCTTCTGTACGGCGTGGTGACGCGACAAGCAAACTTGATCCATGAAAGCTCCATCAATGAAATGTCCGGCATCTGCGTGAAGATCTTCCTCCCTGCGCTGACTCTCGTGAAACTCGGCTCCGAGCTGCATTTGGCCATTGCTGTGAACTATCTCCCTGTGTTCAGTAGGACTCTCGTATACTAGCTACTCGGGTTGTTGTTGACCGGCCTGCTCCCTCAGCCTCAAAGTCATGACCGAGTGTATGCTAATGATGCTGCATCTGTGTCTATAGTCTGGTCCATTCTCTATACAGTCATATCGATAGCCATCGGAAGGGCATTTACTTACCTCCTTCGTCTGCCGCAATGGGTGACGCCAGCAGTGACTTTCAATAATACAAGCTCGCTGCCTCTTCTTTTGCTGCAAACGCTGCACTCGACCGGAAGCCTGAAGTTGATTCTCTCGCCAGGACAGACCGAGCAGGATGCGCTGAACCGGGCGCAATCGTATTTCCTAGTGTGTGCGGTGGTGTCAAATACCATTGGATATGCTCTTGGACCGCGGATGTTGAGTGACAAGGGTAGGGGTGATAGGAAGCACGATGACGAGGAGGATCAACAGAATGTGCCACCAGAGAATCTAGCCGTGACATGTATGTCTGTAGTATGATTTTAACGAAAAACAAGATTGACCTGACTGACCAACTGCGAGCACCAGCCGAAGCTCAGCAACAATTCCGACACGACATTCAAAACGGCCAACCCGATCACTCAGAAACCGAGGGCGGTGATCAGCAACCAGACGAAGAAGAGCTGGACGAGCGGACCTCCCTCCTACCAAACCCGGCCCAAAAAGCACGCCACAGCATCAACAACACAGCCCACCACATCTTCCGATTCTTCCCTCGACGACTCAGACGAGGCATCGACGCCATCGACTCTCCTTTCCTCGACGTAATCTTCATCTGCACCGCGACGGGCGTCCTTTTGGGCCTCGTACCGAAGCTTCATCGCGCATTCTTTGCTCCGTACGAGCAAGGCGGCATATTCAATGCATGGTTTGTCACGAGCATCCAAAACCTCGGTACATTATTCACCAGTCTGCAAGTTTTCCTCGTTGGATGCAAACTAGGCGTGGGATTTGAGCGGATGAAGCGCTCGGGGGATTCGGGTCAAGTGCCGATTAGGGCTGTCTTGGTGGTGTTTTTTGTGAGACTGGTTCTTTGGCCGGTGTAAGTTTTTTTTTTTTTTTTTTTTTTTTTTTTTTTTTTTTTTTTTTTTTTTTTTTTTCTTTTTTTTTCTCTTTTTCTTATCTTTGAATACCTTCACTGACCAATTTACTTCCTCTCGCTTAGAATAAGCATCCTAGCGCTCTACTATTTCATACGCCTTGTCGGAATCTTCCCCAACGACCCTGTCCTCTGGTTCATCATGATGATGCTGCCTACCGGTCCGCCAGCACTACTCATCTCCGGCCTCGCAGAACTGAGCAGCGAGGTGACGAAATCGGAGAAAATCGCCATTGCACGAATGTTAGCTGTATGTTTAATTCTCTCCATCCTGCTCTACTTTTTTTTTTCTCTGACATCGGGCGGCTGACAACAATGGAACTAGATAATGTACGGTCTCTCACCGCTGATTTGTTTGACGGTCACCGGTGCGTTGAAGGCTACAGAGGCGATACGGAGTTTGAAGTCATGAGATTAGAACATATATCACTCACTTACCCTGCGTGAGCACCTATTATATATAAATGTAATACGTACATAATGGTATATTCTGTCTGGAAGATAGGTAAAATAAATAGATACATACTGCACAGCTCACTAAAAAGGAAGGAAAAAAAAAAAAAAGAAACGCAAGGCAATAAATATACTTGGATATACTTGAAGTCATAAAAAATCAAATAACGAGGACACAAAGGAAAAGATAAATTCTAGCCCGGTGTGGGAATATTCCTGCAGCGCCATTCTAGCCGATCCGTGCAAAATGTTCAAGAGAAAGGTCAAGAAAGAAAAGATGAAGGAAGGAGTTGCTGCATCAACTCGTCATTTGGAGATTCATGCGGAATGATATAAAAGCTGGGGAAAAAGATCGACTGACGATTGCCGATGCTAAGAAAAAGACGTTAAGAGGACTAAAATGTAAGCGTTATACGTCTGGAGATATGACCCCCGTTGTTAATGATGCTATTCAGATAATTATAAAAATATGATTGCGTGCCCTCCCCCCAAAAAATAAACATCATCAATAACAGTCGCTAATCGCTCGGTACTGCTTAATGTGCACCAGGAATGTCTGCGTTCTGATATTTCAGATGTCATACGACAGGACTGGTAATATATGTGATTTCAAGAAAGGCTCGTTGTTGACCGAAGAGCACTCGTACGCGTAAATTCGGTTGGCGTTGTAAATCCGCCTTTCCCAGCGGTACCTTTATAGGGATTATTATCTTGTGTCCAGCTAGAATGACAAGTCAGTAGATTGTAACCATATCGATGCGATAAACCAGCAACATAACATACATCCGCACAACAAAGTCGTCGCCTGCTGAAGCAAACATGCTAGGGTTTTTCGGGTTCCAAGAAACTGCGTTGACACAGCCTTTCGTGTGTCCGTCCAATGTCTCAACAAGGGTACCATTCTCTTTGTGCCAGATATAAATTTGGGAGTCTAGATGTATAGCAAGATACTGCCTGTCAGCCACCATGCCACTGTGAGCTATTCCATACCATCCGGAAAGCGACGTACCTTCGCTTCCACTAACGATAAAGTTCTCGCCAGCACCACCAAAACAACTTCGAATGACCCACTCTCCCTGCTTTTGGCCGTAGAAACGACGAACAACTTCGGTCGTTTCAATGTCGATAAGTTGTATTTGATTGTCAATCAGGTTTACCAAAACGTACTTCGAATCTTTGCTGATGCTAACCGATGTGATCTTACTCTTGAGGCATAGACAGTATTCTTCGACCCGTGTCTCAAGATCATACACATATAGCTTGTCCTTTTCGTCACATGCAACCAGTCGAGTTCCGTCCGGTGTGATTGCACAGTCTACGGCTCGAAAACCACCCGGCCACACATATAATGGGCGGCGTCCCTGCAAGCCCCAATGGCAGAGCTGTGCCTTGATATCCATGGATGCCGTCACAAAAGATTCACCGTCGGGCGCCCATGCAGCCGCGGTGACCGCCTCCGAATGTTGCTCAATGGTTAATAAACAACGACCGGTCTATGATTGTATTAGTTTCTCATGCAAATATGGTACGAGTAGGGGTTTATGTACCTGGACATCCCAAACTTTAGCTGTTTTATCTTGAGAGCATGTGATAAGCTTCGAGTCATCGGGACTCCAAGTGGCATATGCAACTGGCTTCTGATGTTCAAAAAACTTGTGAACCACAGAGAATTTGTCTGTGGCATCATAAATTATAACCGACTTATCTTTGCTGGCTGTGACAAGTTTCGTCCCATCGTGAGAAAATTCGACATACCAGACTTCATTTAAATGTCTCGTCAATTGATATGTGGCATGTCGAGGAAAAGAGTTGCGGTCACAGATATGGTCACAATAAAGGGATGGTGGTTGGGCAGTGTTATGATACAAGCATTGGTTGATCTGATTATGCTTGACATAGTCTAGAAGAACGGCTAATCGGCGGTCAGGGATCATTACCGCTGGCGATATGAAAGCTACAAGGTGTGGTGTAAGCAGATGAAAACCTCAAAAGGGCACGACTAGAGAGTATCAAAGAAAATAAACCTACTCGAGAGTTCTGAAAGTAACAACTTTCGAGATGACCCAATTGATCCATCATAACCCCAGTACGCCCGAATATGCTCAGCAGGGCTCATTAAGAGACTACAGGCTGATTAGCTACCGCCATGCAAATACAGATAAAAAGGGAGAAGCTTGCCTCGATAAAGCATGAAGCTGAGTAATATTGTGGTTGAGTGGCGTTAGTTCCTGCCGAAGAACCGTCAAGGCAGCACCCAAATCCCGAGCCTCAAGTAATTCCATGAATTTCTGCTGCCGTAGAAGGAAAAGCATTTCATTCTTGTCTGCGGTCTCGGCAAGAGCCAGCTTGCCCCAATGGGACGGGGAATCATATTCTCCATCTATTCCGTCATCGCCGTCATCATCATCATCGGCACTATTATCATCTTCGAATGACTCTAGTAATATGCTTTCCGCCTCGGACCACCGTCCGTCGAGCACGGCATTGCGGAACGCTACCACTGATGGACTCTCCAATTCATAGCCGCTTTCCCTCGTCAGTGCAGCCGCAGCACCAGTATACCCTAGATCAAATAAACCCTGAATCAAAATTCTGGTAACCTCTTCCCGATCATGACCAAAATATGTGGACGACGACGCTACTGAATGTTTTGCGGCACCGTTCGTAGCCGAGTGCCCATTAGCGCCGTTGGATGATACGCTACCATTCAAGGAATTTGCCAGAGCCGCCTTCCTCCGCGGCGACGTGGCCAGCAGTCCATTCGCTGTACTCGGAGATTGGTCATCTTTGGGCCGCATGTTTGCCAAACGCCTGCGTTTGGGAGACGGCGGTAGGCCTTCTGCTCGGCCTAATCGGTGGGCTCCACGGGTGCCCTCAGAAGAAAGGTGGTTGCTGCTTAGTCCCCGTCCAGAGTTTCCTTCCGACGGCTCTGGCGAGGGGATATCAGACCGGCGACGACGGCGGCGGTTGCGGGAGTCTGACAACAGTGTTTGATCAATACTGCGGGGACGATCGAGCGAAGAACCGGTATGGTGTGTAGATGCTGAGTCGTATACGAGAGACTCTTCGGCCGGAGCTAGGGAACCAAAATCGGCAGCGGCGGACAGCGTGGTAGAAACAGCAGTAGTAGTAGTGTAAGGGGATTCGGGGTGGTCGGAGGCGATAAGGGGAGGTGATCCTCGCGGAGAATGGCCTGCCAGGTCGAAGATGAACGGGATGCCTTCGGCCTGGCTCCGGAGAAGAACCAGGTGAGTAGGCTTTGGGGTATTGGGAGCAGAGTTCGGCAGAGCAACAGAGGGTGGAGGTTGATAGACCGGACCGGGCGGACGCTTTGTCTGATGCTGATGCTGAGTATGGAAGGACAAGCACGACAGGCTCGGAGTAGGGAGGAGGAGGACGGATAGGTGAAGGCGAGGTGAGCTAGGGATTGCAGGAACAGGAGGAGTCGTAACGATAGCTGGAGTGAGCTGGAGGAAGAGGAGGAGGTGAGGTTGTCGACGGTGGGATACCTCCCAACGGTCAGATTAGGTTAGCTTATCGGCAGCTCCACCACGGCTTAGTCTTAGTCTCAGTCCTTAGTACGTGCGCACCTGCTGACTGGTGGTCATCTGCTTCACTACTAACTTAACTACAGCAATGCATGGGCCTTGGGTACCTACGACCACGACGTGGCCTGCGATGGCAAAAGGCACAGCATCCACAGCGAGTGAGATGGCATTCCATAACCGGGCTCTGACTGGCAATGACATTTCCTCCCCATTCATGACGCCATGATGATCGACGGCTGGTTGCCACGCACGGCGGAGTAGCATTATAAAGGCTTCCTTCACCCATTGTCTCCTCGCCCAGGCAAAAAACAACCATCCTCGAAGAGTACTATATCTGTCTCGATCCGCTATCACAAACGTCCCACCATGGCCTGCACCTGCGGAACCAATAGCTGCCCTTGCTCCGGCGTCGACAACTGCACCTGCGACAACAACTGTGCCTGCAAAGGCTGTAAAGTATGCTATTCCTAACTGCTGTCACCGTGATGAAACTGGTGATGTCTCCCATTTGATGAAGGTATGACGGGTGCTGATTGGCATGCTTGCTTGTCTTGTACAGAAGTGAATTATATATCCGACAGTCCTGGCCTATATCTCTCTGGCGAGCCAGGAAGAAGCGTTGATTATTTGATTAATGCGTGAAATGTGTGTTTCATGGAAATATCATGGATGATAATGTGTGAATAGTCTAATAATATATAGTTTTTGGACGAAAAAAAAAAAAATTCAAAATGCAGACTTGATTGCATTGGATTACTACAATATCTCCCATATATGCCCGTATCTATTCGTAAACATCGTTCAGTGTCGTTGGGTTTTCGTCAAAAAAGAAAAAAAAAAGAAAATCATCAGAAATCCGCCCTTTTCATTCCGAGCTGACGTCGGTAGGCCCATAGTACATATAAAATCAAAAACTTTTCTTTGATCAAGTCACATCGACACCCGCCATTAAGCTTGCCGACTTCGGCCTGAATTCAGAAAACCAAGATGCACGTAGAATACGACGAATAGTAAACACGCAAGTTCATATCCTTATTTCGACGAGCCGCCAGATACGATAACTTTCCGAGCCTGTTCACGGCTCATGCCAAAGACGTTGACCAGATACTCAACACTGATCATTCGAAATGGTCAGATACGTTCCAAAAGAAAGTGTGTTAGGAAGTAAGCAACTTACCTAGAATCACACGCCAGCCTTTTCTTCTCCTTCGAAAACTCTTTTTGGCACGTCTCCCAAGCAGCTGCCCTTTCCTTTGGCAATATGCTTTTGATGCGCATTTTGAACGACGCGCTGACTGGTCGATGATCAGATGCTCGTACTTCATGTCGTCGATATTCCGTCTGCTTGATCTTGCCAACTCCACGATATAAAACCCTATCACACCATGCAGGGGATCGCTTCTTGTCACTTGTATCGTATTCATCTGAGTTGACATCGTATTTGTAGGTGGGTGGAAACGTGATCGGCGCTTCATTGAATGTCCGGAGCCGAAAGCTTGGGTTCTTCCGTTTAGATGCAAGCAGTTGATCCCGTTCAAGCAGTTTAGGTAGGTTATTCTGCCGTACTGCGTCAATAACGACGTTGCGAGACATCGAGTCAATTCGGTAATTGAGATCCCCATTGAGTATGCATATTTCGTGATCCAGGATCATGGTTCCGTCTCCACCGTTCACAAAGAGATCAGTGCGGGTATCAATGCTATGTTCGGCAGGGAGAGACTCTGTCTCGAGGATCGCTGCGATGTCATTATTCCGGTGCGCTGTGTGTGTCTGGCCAGCCGCCAAATGGCAGTTGATAAAACACAATGAGCTATCATCAAGCACAAACCGGAATATTAGTGCCCCCTAAGTCATGTTAGAAACTTCACTACATCATTATCCCCTCATAAATACACCCAGATGAGTTCGTACCTTATTGCCATGCAGACCGCCCATTCCACGCTTGACTTCTGCGCCGCTGATGTTGCGGACTCTTTCGCGCTCCCTCTGTTTGATAAAGACACACGTGAATAGTCCCACGAGATTGGCAGAATGAAGAAGCACGTATGATTCTTCAAGAGGCATTGCATCATTGATGCAAGCCGCTAAATGGTCTCGCCACACCCGGTACTGCCGGCTCATGTGCTCTTTTTCGTTATTATCCTTCTTTTTGCTTCCCATAAGTAAGCTTTCTATTGGACGCGAGAAGGTCAGCTGTGTCCTGAAATTCAAGTGGAATGGGAATGATAGATACTACGTACTAGCCGTAATTTTCTTGTCCTCCAAATCTACCAATTCCTGGAATCCAAACACTAATATCTCTGGAGGCTGCTCAGGATGAATTGCATCTTGAATAAAGCCACTATGATGCAAGTCACGTGGCACAGAAGCCCCAGCATTCCAAGTCACAATAGCAGCTCGTATCTCCCTGAAATTACAATACTCGACATCTTTGCTTTGCATGCGTGTTTCTGTAATTGAATTAGTAAGGGCTTGCTGGAAATCTTGAAAAAGCCACTCACCCAACCAGTCATCTTCCAACATGCCATCCCACAATCGTAAGAAATTATCCGTTCCAAGTGAAACAACTTGAAGACGGTTCATAACCCACAGTGAACTTGGATCAAGTACAAGTCCACAGACAGGACTGCCGTGGGCATGCCAGTCCTTCTTGACGATCCAGGGATTAGTTGAAACGTCATACACGTAAACCATTCCAGTCTTGTACGCGGCCCATAGGTAGTCCCCAACCATCGCCAGCGAGTTGATCTTGTAGACACTGACATTCACCGAGGCCAAACAACTAAAATCAATGGAGGAGTACACTGTGACCTTTCCATCCGCATGACCCAGATAAACCCGTCCTCCGTTCTTGGTAGTATGGGCTCCTGCAGTTACTTCGCCGGAATGATTGGCCCCTAACGGCTTCCTCAAAACATGGAACGCATCACCTTGAGCATTTGGCCGGTAGACTCGTACTTCCTTGCCGGTGGCGAGCCAGAGATCGTCTCCCACTACCATTGAGAATGTATGCCCCTTGGCAACTCGGTCCTGTGGATGGTCATAGCTGTATTGAAGATTCGGGACACCCGTTTCATCTGGTGGCCAGACCAATAAGTTTCCTTCGTCATCCAGAGTCCACATTTCTTTCTTGTGGCGGTATATTTTGATAACCTCACGCCTTGAGGGATATAGTCGCGAGGTCACGATTGATTGCGTTTCAATATCTATCTCATGTAGTTCTCCAATACTAGTGCCAACCCACAGGCGGGTTCCTTCATCTCCGAGCCCGGTTCCCGGCTTGAAAGCGACAGAGTGGGCTTTCACAGTCTCTCCATGGCTAATGCTCAGTTTCTGCTCCCCTGTAGTAAGATCCCAGGCACGCGTCAGATAGCCGGTGGTGCAGACGTGTTTACCACACACGTCAAACTCACGCGTGTCATATCGGGTTGGAATCGAAAGAGGACCCGTTTTGATAACCGGAGGGCGACGGTTGACTTGGGAAGAGTCGGGGTAGTCTGTTCGTGAAACCGGTGTCTGTTCTGGATAACCTTCGTCTTCTGAATCGTTGGCGTCGTTGCGCGATGACTGATTCAACATGGCGTTGTCTGTGCTGTGTGAGGAAACTTGCCGGATTTTTGGTGTTTGCGGCGTGCGTGACCCAGACTTGCCACTGACGATAGAAGCCTGCCTGCGAGGCGGGGGGGCAAAATGTGTATTCGTTTCAAGCATCGAAAGACGATGTGAGCTGGAGATCCTGGTTGATCGTGAGGCCAAATCGACAGACGGCCTTGGGGGAAGGTCAGGATTCTTCGAATCATTTGCTCCGATACTTCGAGACTGCCGTCCTGGAAGGCCATCGCGAGGTGGTAAAGCAGGGCGAATCTCGGTGTGACTACTTTCTGCGGACTTATTTGAATCTGCTTGGTCCGACTTTTTGAGATCGCGAATGGTTGAAACAGCTTGGCTTGGTGACCTAGAATGGCCCGTCGGTGAAGCGGTTGCCGTCCGCCTCGTAAACCCGAGCTCTCTCGCATCTGTAGAATTTGATGTAATTATAGATGGACGAAGATTTATATCAACAGATGTCAGTAAAGTAAGTGGCTCAGGTGTCGTGGAGGATGATTGTAGAATGTTGGGCGGTTTTCGTTGTTGTATGTCTCCCTTAGGTAGGGTCTTCTCTGGACTGCCCGGAGGGGTGCTGAATGGCGAAACATGGTCATGAATTACGGGAGAAGGCTTTGGACTCGGCGTTGGCGCTAGGTGGTGGACGTCTAAATGGGAGATGTTTGCCGGTTTGGCAGGGATCTTCGGCTTTTCTGCTCTCGCAACGGGTGGTGGCACAGAAGTGCTCTTTTTTGTGCCATTGGGAGAACGCGAGCGAGATATCTGAGGGGTACCGACTGGACTCGCCGTAGGCGACCTTGAGCTCCTTGCGCCTAGTGCGCCAGGAGGACTGCGTTGTCGTGGTCTTGCAATTTCCCTCAGATCAAGGTCTCCTCGACTCAAAGAATGAAAGTGCCCGTTACTGAGCCCATCAGTGCCACGCGGAGGAGAACGAGGCGAATCAACTGTCAAAGTCGGTGTTATTGCCGGTGTGGGTTTGACGTTCATGGATTTAAGACGAAAGTGTCCTCGAGACGCAGGGGATCTCTCACGGCTGGTGTCGCTTCGTCTTGGGATTTTTAAATCAGAAGCAGACGCTGTGCCATTTTGCGATCGATCAGCAACGGCCCAAGGCGAAAGAGGGCGGGGCAAGTCGAGAGATGCTCGAACGAGTGGTTTCGTAGTTTCTGGCTCATTCAATCTCTGTTGGTATGCATGCTCGCCATTGGTTCCGGATCCAGCCGGCGTGTCCTTAGAATATGAAAGATGCTCGAAATGCGAAAGCAGAGATGATACCGGTCTCTGGAAACTCAAAAAGTCAGGTCATCCAGGTCACTGACAAGCATTTTAAATCTTTAACAGCAGCGAAGGATTTAACCCACAAGAGATGCCTCATCGGTGCCTTCCACCTCCTTGTTATCTTCAGCCATGTCCCCGGGGCCCTATTTGACTCAAATAGAGCCCTGACATATGTTCCCTGTCCTCCTTTAGACTTTCACGCTCCAGAATGTTGCTTTGCAGCTCAAGAGAGCGAGTCGACGACAATGCGGCGGGGTGGTGTTTCACGTAGGTTTGGTCGCAAAGCAGAAAAAAACCCGGAGGAAACGCGCTTCCGCCGGACTAAGCTATCGTATGCGACTGTATTTGAAAGATGTTAATCCAGGGAATCCAGTATTATTAGGGAGAGAAGATGTCCCGCGGACCGACGTCCATGATCCTGGCGGTGGAGGAGGGTAAGCTCTTGATTAATTACCTCTGCGCTAGAAGTCAGCTTAGGGCTATGCCGTCGTCATTATGTGAAACAAGTACAGTGCGGGCAAGCAAGACACAGGAACCAAAAAAATCTGGCAGGTCTGGTTCGAACGCTATAAGAAAACGAAGAAGAGGGAAAGAAAAGGATGTGAAAAGAAGGGATGATCAAAGGGCTTGCGCATTACAAACGGGGCTGCAATTATAGAAAGAACGGCCAGGCTAAGAGCGTAGATCCCCCCGGCGGAAAGAAGTTGGGCGAGGCCTCAGGCAACCACGAAAAGGCACGGGCGGGCTTCCCCGCCGGCCGCGGTAGATGCAGGAACGACCCAAGATTCCGCTCGCGTTACTTGATGCATCTATAACCACCAGGCTTTTCGAGTAGTGACTCTCATCCTCGACTGCTCTTGCTGTACATATCGTCTTTTCCTCTGAATTGTCCAAGGCTTACTTCAACATGTGGTGCGCATTTCCCTTCCCCTTTTCTGCAAGAAAAAAAAAAAAACTATTAGGGATAAACACTAATTTCTTCGCAGCAAGCACATCCTCAACGCCCAGGTAGCCATTCGTTCGCCCTGCTGTACGTTATTCCAGATTGTCCTTAATCCACTCTCATCTCGAGAAAGCTTCCGCAATTTCTTACAAAATCTATCAGGCCGGAAATGGTTCGATTGCGCCGAGTGTCATAGGGAGCAGGAGAAGCATCCTCTTTTACAGTCATTTGACATGGTATGTGGAGTCCCAGTTGCGCGGTTTCCCTACTCAATTTCCCCCGAGTCAATGGACATGCTTTGAGTGGCTCCACTGAATGCTCTCCATCTGAGCAGACGTTCGCTTGCAAGAAGTGCAAGAAATGTTTTCGCAAAGACACATCCGAATTCGAGGAAAGGTAAGCCACTGCGCCTTATGTTGATATTTAGAGTTATTTGAACAGAATAGCTGAAATTCTATGGTGTTTCCTTTCCAGTGACGAATATTGCCCGCATTGTGACAATCATTTCGTGATAGAAGCCAAGACCCCTCAGGCTTCGTTGCAAGTAGAGAGTGACGATGTCCGTATGGACGCGAGGTTCGTTTAACCTCCCCCAACGACGGTAATATACTTCTTTTTGTTATAAATCTAACTGCTCTTGGTGTGTCAGAATGCTCAAGGACGATCGCGTTCGCGGCGATACAGAACGATCTATTTTCAATATTCGAGATGCGGCAGACAGATTGGGATAATTCAAAACTTCACCAATGTGTACAACAATAACGACGAGACGAACCATCAGATACTCCGCATTAGCCCATATTTCGTTTTTTAAGATACATTACTTTTTACTCCATGTACTGGATTCAGTCTATCAGCAAAAGAAAAATAATCTTTCTGTGTATGATCTGACCAATAAAATCAAGAGTTTCATTTGTAGTAATTTTTCCCTTTCTCTATTACATGTGACCTTTAGATACTCCTCGTCACTACTCTAGCTCTCAGAGCCCTCACCAGTAGTGCCTGCCCGCGTCAAGATGGCTGCGGTGCCAGTACCCGGTGTTCGGCCGGTCTTCTTCTTGGCCGCCTCTTCCTGTTTCTCGGCTTCGATACTCTTGACGTATGACTCGATGTCCTCTGTAGGAAGCATCTCGACGGGCTTGCCAGGGGCCATTATAGCAATTTCAATGTTTTTTGCTCCTGTCTGCACAACTTCCAATAAAGACTTGATGGTGAGTTGAAGGGTGGCTTCGCGATCCATGTCATCTTTATGATTTCTTTCGAGGAATTCACGAACAGTCTTGCTGGAGCGGCCGATAGCGTTGGCTTTCCTATAACACAAAGATGGACACCGGTTAGCTTTCGTTGTTTTTCGGTTTTAGTCAGCGGATATGCTTCTCCTAACCATGCAGAGTAGATTCCAGAAGGCTCAGTCTGGTACAGCCTAGGGACATTATCGCCCTTGTCGAAGCCGACAATCAGAGTACTGATTCCAAAGGGGCGTACACCACCACTTTGCGTGTATCGTTGTTGCACCCCAGCGACATATTTCGTAATGTATTCAATGGTCACGGGATCTTCGACGGTCAAGCGGTGTGACTGAGCTTCTAGTCGAGCTTTATCGATGAGAATTCGAGCATCGGCATTCAGGCCGGCGAAGGCAAGGCAAACGTGGCGATCAATTAAACCGATCTTCGAGGGGGTGATGCGAGTATCTTGAAGTTTCATGGCTGATCGCTTTTCACAGCCGAGCACGACAATATCTTTCCCCTTGACACCGACAGCACAGGTACCTTTATTATTGCCATGATTTTCATTAATCCATGTTTGAGGTATGGCATTTTGACGATGATAAAGTATAGTTCTTACCTCGTTTGACAGCCTCTAGAGCATATTCCACTTGGAAAACGTGTCCATCGGGACTAGGAGCGGTTAGGAAACGGCAGCTATTGAAGCAAACTCGACTGATTTACCTGAAAACTGTTTTGGGGGTCAGCAAGTGATTCAAGCCATCGGTGGTAAAGCTATCGTACCTGAAAGCGCTCTATCATAACCGGACGCCATCTTGTAGCTAAATAGAGCTCTTTATATGGAAAAAGAAGTCAGGGGAGGAATCGGCAATAACAGCAAAAGGTTATTCGTGATCGAATGTGTAAATGCCGAGAGCAAAAGCGATGTTAGCAAGCTTGAAAATGATGGGGACAGGAGATGCGGACAGCTGCGATGACGGCAGGCACCACCTGGACGCGAAGGCAGGTAGGCAGCCGCTGCCTGAGGGAGCTCCCGAGGCGCGCGTCTAGCGTCTATCGCGGTTGGCTACGCGCGCTCTGCCGACCAAGTGTTGCTACTTATTGCAAGCGCTTCCATTATTTGCGCATCTCAAAATCTCTGTCGCTGAGTATGGACGAAAAATGTGAATATATAACAAGTAATGAGCAGGCTATCTCTTGTTGTCTCGGACATTGAAGCATTCTCTGCGTCGATGACAGATCGGGTCGTATTACAGTCTAATATATACCTAGCTATAGTTTGTTAACAAATGATTACGATCTATCACTAAGCATACTAATAAGCCCGTATAGCGAAAGCGAATTTATACGACACGTTGGCGATATCGTAAGTGCCAGCCTCTAGGGATGTCAGGGCAACCTGGCAGAACCCTGACTCCATGGCACAGCTCTACCCAGACGCCCAACCGATCTCTGGCCAAACCTTATGAAACGAGATATGCATTACCGTATCTACAGTTATGTATAACTATGCTGTAGTTAGTGTTAACTAACTAACTAGTTAGTTATATACCAATGATTATAATTTATATCAGCTGTCACTGCCATGCTGGAGCCAATCAGAGCGCGGATTCCGTCTGGAATTTCCACGTGGGGAAAGCCGGGAAAGAGCTTGGGCCACTCGGACAGTCTCTCTTTCTCTCCTTCTCCTCCTCCTCCTTTCTCTTCCAAGGTTCCTTCTTCGTATCCTTATCCTTATCATTCTGCTATGGCATACTCTTAAACGTGGGCTACTCTGCTGCATGTCTGGCTCATGCCCTGAGAACACGCTGAATGGCGACCGGTGTGGAATCCCCCTGAACAAGGTGAACAAGGATGCAAAAAAAGACCACAGGCCGCGTCATCCCGGCTACAATCCCATTGACTCTCCACGAAAGCTTTGCTACAGTCTAGTTGATCGTCCAGGGCCAGCTTATTATGTGTGCTCATTCAGGACTGAGGAAACATTCTCCCGGACGACTGCGGTAGTCTCCCGCCGGCCGATGTCAAAAAAGCAAAGCGGGACCCTTCAAATCCACATTCTTTTTTTGCTCCAAAACGTCCCCCTCGGTCGAATAAACGCCGGCCTCGATTAGGCATAAGCCTTCTTTCTCTTCCAATAGCATTGACAGACCAATCGTTATCTAGAGACTGGCTCCTTGTCTCTCGAACGGCCGTGGATGGACACGTCTCTTTAAATTCTTGCGTCTTGACACCCAATGCTGAGGGAATCCCCCAGGAACAACTACAAATGCGTATTTAAATAAGTCATAAATATTAGTTAGATTTGATGCTATGGCAGTCGTAAATATCAATGCATTCGTGGACTCCATATTTTTTGCACCCGGGCCTAGGAGGCTAGTAGTTGGCTGTGGTCACCTCAACGCTCCACCAGCTCTCACGGAGGCAGCTTTCTTTTTTTTCCCTTCTCCCGCCGGGCCTCTCGCACTCCTCCTCCTCCTTCTCCTCCTCTTTCTCTTTTTGTATTTATTTATCGCCCGATCACGACTGCTCTCGTCGTGATCGATAATACAGCAAGCTTGTTTTTCTGGGCTGGGGCGTTTGCAGTTTCTTTCGTCTTTTTTTTTTCTTCTTTCCCTCCACACCCCCCCCTGGCGCCTCGCCCCGACTCTGCGAGAGATGGCCGCCGTTCCGTCCCCCGTCCCCAAGCTGGACCGCTACATTGTCATTCATGTCGCTACGACATGCGACGAGCATGGCGTCTACGTGACCAAGGACTCTGCCGAGGTCATTGAGTTGGGATGGATTTTGCTCGACACCAAAAACTGCGATGAGGTACGCTGCTTAGTTGCCTGCTGTTGATGTTTTCCCTTTTCTCTCTTCTACCCGGCCTCGGCTCTTTTTCCTTCGCCCACTGACTCGTCGTGCAGTTGCATCGAGAAAGCATTCTCGTCAAACCAGTCAACACGCCAATTACTCCGCTGTGCAGTAAGTTTGGAGCCCCAATGCCTCGTGTCGGCCTTGCCAATTGCCTTCTTTTTTTTCCTATTTTTTTTTTTGGTTAATTTTCACGGGCTGACGGATTCTGTAACTAGCGAGTCTGACCACTCTGACGTGGGAGAACGTACGCAATGCAGGAACGTTTCGGGATGCCATCAACCGGTTTGATGCTTTCGCTCAGGAGCACCTCATTTCAAAAAACCTCGAGTTTTCTTTCGTGACTCTCGATTCATGGGACCTTCGTGTACAATTGCCCCGAGAAGCCCGTGACAAAGCCGTCGTCCTCCCGCCGTATTTGCAACACTCACGTACCTTCGATCTTCGCACTGAATATCAGAGATGGCAGACACACCATCCGGAGTCTTTGCCATTTGGCCCTAGCTCCCTTGCTAATATCTGCGCTGCTCTAGAGGTTGAGCCTGTGCAATCGTCGGCCCCGATCAAGCACAACTTGCCTTTCCACCTGCAAGCTCTTGCTCCAGCCTCGCCTCGGCGGGCCATGGAGGAGTCCATCACTTTAGCTCGCGTTCTCAAAGGACTCATTCGCAAATCCCAGCCTGCTCATGAGCATCCTGAAATTCTCACTCGTCCCATGGATGCCAGGGCCGATGTCCGCGCCTTCCTGGCTGAGCGCAGCAAGGTGCTTCACATGAGTGGCCTACCACATGATACCACGCAGTCAGAATTGGAAAGCTGGTTCACTCAATTTGGTGGTCGTCCCATTGCCTTTTGGACGCTGCGTACTCCGGATCAACACAAACCTACTGGAACCGGATTTGCTGTATTTTCGTCCCACGAAGAGGTAAGATTAAACTTGAGCTTCCCCAAATATATCATATGCATCAGACATAGACGACGTACGTTTTAGTTATTCAGGGGCTAATCCAATATCACAATTTTTTAGGCAGCAGAGAGTCTTTGTATGAATGGCCGAGCTCTTAACGAAAAGGCCATTGAGGTTTCTCCCTCTTCCAGCCGTGTTCTCGACCGAGCCGCTGAGATCCTGACTCCATTCCCACCATCCAAAAATAGACCTCGTCCTGGTGACTGGACTTGCCCGTCTTGCGGGTTCTCCAACTTTCAGCGCAGGACTGCTTGCTTCCGCTGCTCATTCCCAGCCGTGGGAGCAACCCCTGACCCTTACGGCTACCCATATGCTCCACCATCTATGATGCCTCCCATGAACCCCCATGGGGGTCACGGAATGGGCCACTCGCGTGTTGGTAATGGCGTTGTTCCATTCCGCGCCGGTGACTGGAAGTGCGGCTCAGAGGGCTGCGGCTACCACAACTTTGCAAAGAATACCAATTGCCTTCGCTGCGGGGCCCCGCGCTCTGGTGCAGCGGTTGTAGCTGATTCCGCTTTCCCCTCTCCTATGGATCCGCCCTCTGGTTTTGGAATTGGACCAGGCTCTATGTCAGGCACACCTGCTCCAGCACCATTCCCGTCCACGGGTGGTGGCGGCTTCGGAGGCTTTGGACAGCAATTCGCGGCTCCCCCGACCAACTACGGCTTGCCGTCTGGTTTGGGAAACACTCCTGGTCCTTATCCACCAATGGGCCAAATCAATACGGGTTATGGCTCAGCCACTGCGGCTCACTCGGCGACTTCATTCGGCAATCCTGCGACACAGGCGGCTTTCACTGGAGCTGACCACAGCTCCCACTCGCATGCCTCAAACGGCAATCTCTATACGACCGACGGTGCTAGTGACCCATTTGCATTCCTTTCGACGGGCTTGGGCGGGCTAACCGTCAATGATGACAACCATGGCCGTCGAAACGGCGCTACTACCAGCAAGTCACCCGCATAAGCGGATTGTGTTTTGATAATCAATTTCTCTTCGCCCTTTACATTGTTAATTATGTTTGCCTCAAGTGTCAAATATCGCAATCTGTGTGTCTGCTCTTTTTCGTTGGCATAAGAGCGGGATATGTATCACCTTGTTTGATGCGTCAATTTTTATCAGGAAGTTTGGTTCCGGTGCATTTTGGCAGGATGGAGCTGGCTGGGCTGGTCACTGATCTCGTGGTCTCTTTTTTTTTCGTCTCTTTTGGAATTCCTCGTTCATTTTCGCCACAAGTCATTATATTTTTTTTTTGGTTGGACTTTGGTCGTGTTTCCGGGGACCTGGAGTGTATGTATGCATCGAGGGATCAGTCATACACACAAACACACACACTTTCGCTCGCACAAAGATCAGAAGGAGGACTCGCAAATCCATGTCCTCCCAAGTGGGAGCTGGTATATATGCAAATTTTTTGGTTGGTCTCGGTGGGACAAATATTTTGTGTTTAATTTTTTGAGCGATGCATGGCATTAGGTTGGAAAGAAATGGGTTCTGGGTTACAGCAAAAGAGTTGCTGACAATGTCATAGAGTGGAACATGACGTACCTTGTTTACAAGAAAAAAGAAGATGCTTTGTTCTCTTTTCTCTCTTTCAACTATTGCAGCCATGGAGCGGATGAAAAGTGAGCGAGTGCGCGCACACACACACATATACAGCAAATGAGGTTTGTTCTTTACCATGGCAGGGGGGAAAGAGGAAAAAGGGGGTAGGTGAGGTGTTGGGGCATTTTATTTCTGTATCTTTTTTATTTTTTCTTTTTTGTTCTGCTTCCTCTCGAGCGATGGATGATGGATGGGTCTTGAAATTAATTTCTTTTTTTTGGACAAATAACTTTGAACTCTTTTTTCACTTTTGGGACATAATGCAGGAGAAGAGACAGAATTAGCACAGCTTTAGGAAAATGTGTAAAGGCAGCTTTGTTTTTCTTTTTCTCTCTGGATCTTCTTCTACTTTTTGAGTACCTAACGTTCTCTAAATCTGCATCTCTCAATATCTCGCCCCCATAAACCCTCGCTAATAAGTTTCGATTTGACAGCACCCTCCTCCTCACATGAAAACCGATAGATAACATCCTGAAACGATCCCGTTGGGAAAACATAGAACCACCTCAGGGGGACCAATCCAGTATTAGCAATCCCATGCTCTGCATTCCCCGGGATGAATGCAATCGTGTCCTTCGACACGGGATACACATTCCCATCAATTGTGACTTCCCCGGAGCCATCTAGGATGTAGTAGATTTCGGATTGTGTATGTCGATGGCGGCAAAGATGGCCGGTTCCAACGGGGCAGACGCTCACGCCCGCACTCATATCGTCAGATGGAGTTTGCGGCTTGGAAAGAAGCGTGTGCCATGTTAAGTCTCCTCGTGAACGGTCCCCGAAAGATTCGGCTTTCGTGGTCGCTGTGTATGATGGAGGGATGATGGTTGGTTGGGGCTTTTGGCTTCATGGTGATGCTTGATGGTTTTGGGACCAAGATGATGAATGGATGCTATGTAATATCCATCTGATGAGCGAGCGGACTTCCAAAGCTTTTTGTATCTCAGGTTTGTCCAGGAATACCCATCCTAAAAAGGCAAAATATTGCCCACCAACGGTCAACCATATTGCCAGACCTCACGTGACTCATTAACTAGTACACAACTAAACAAGAGACTTGACTCCTGGGATGTTTCACTTCAGCAGTTGATCTGTTCCTGCCATATACTACAGGTCCGAGGATGAGAGCTCAAAAATAACCTTGGAAAAAATGACTGAATATCATTATGCATACCAACAACACCCAACCCTCCCTCGAATCCAATTAGCTACAGCCTGTAGCTTGATACAAAGTCAACTAAGAAAAACCCAACCCCAACCTAATAAAGAACAGTTTCCCCTCCTATATATAACCATGCAAGAGTAGAAATGAAAAAAAAAAAAGAAAAAAAACCGGGAGGGGATTGATCTAAATCATCGTGGACTCTTCGGGTTCCTCGCTATTCCTCTCATTCTTGATCACCGTAGCTCGACTATCGTCATGGTCATCTTCTTCATCGATTTCCATTATTGTCTCGTCGACTGCAACTTCTACGGTGCCAGCACGATGGCCGCCGTATCCCGACGATTCAACGGATGTTTGCCGTGATCCGGCGTTGGTGTATTCACTTTCGACAGTGCTAGCTCGGGTGCTGCGACCAGTTTCTCTGTTGATGTTGCTAGCTTGTTGCTGGGCGGCATAGGCGAGAATCTTAAGGATTGTATTCTTGACTTTGACGATAGCGTTGCGACTAGCTGCATCCGTGGCCGCTTCCTCTAGAGCATCGTTGAGAAGTTCCTTGACTTTCTCGGCGAGTTCAATGTGCTCAGGGTCGATTTCTTCACGGAAGCTGTTGCTTCGGTTGCTAGAACGGAATGCGTCTTCGGTTTCGGTGGGAGCGCGAGATCCCGCTCGCGATCCAGGAGCTGTTGATGGTGATGATGGAGCGGATATGTATACTTTGCTGAGCATGGAGATTAGGAGCTTCTTCTCTTCTTTGGAGCATCTGTTGGGTGCCTGGCTGATTCCGAGAATTCGTTCAAGAATATCATTAACTAGCGCTAAGTGCACGTATCCGTGGGCACTCGAGCTGGCAGTGCCGCCCGCAAGGATGTTCTCTCCACCAAGTCCGACAACCCTGCGCTCGTCGGTCCATTCGACGAGCATGCCGGTGACTTGAGTCATGAGAGCTTTAGTTTCTCGTTCGCCAATGCTCTCGTCAATGTCGCCATCACTGTCTTCTTCCGCTTCGAGAGAAAAGTGCTCTTCTGCTGCGTTCAGCGTAGCTCGCACCACTGGAACAGCGATTCTACGCATGCGCTGCGTGTTTGCAAGACGAGAATGACAGAACACGGGAAAGAAATATGTCAGAGCTTGTCTCAGAACCGGGTTTTCTCGAGTGCGAGGATGGAAAAATGACACAATGAGAGACTGAAGTAAGGTTTCGATGGATGTTTCATTCATGTCTTTTATGGCCTGCGGTACGTTGGAGCCTGACGGTGAGAATATATCGACGAGAAGGAGCTTGGATAAGGAAACCGCCGCAGCCGATTGCACATCAGCTGGTGAGGTTGATTTAAGTGCCTTAGCGAATATCTTGAAAAGGGACTTCTGGAATGCAGGCGGCGTCACTGTCTCGCTGTCGGGTTGTACGACTGGAAGTAGAAGCGTTGGATGCGCGGTGAGCATGTCGGCTAAAATGTGCAGTGCTGTGACCTGAAGTGCCTCATGACCCTTGGTAAAACAGTGAATGAAAAGGGTCATATTTTCTTCCGCGAGGGTCTGGATATCAGCGTTAGCGGGAAAGACAAGCTACCTCTTTAAAATTTCTTTTTTTCTGTTGTCATTTCAAAACTTACCTTGTCAAGCAAACAGCACAGCCCGAGACATTCCAGACCCTTCTCCCGGATAGGAGCTTCGTGGCTTCGCACAGCAGGGACCACAAGATTGTTCAACATCGTGACCAGATGCATGTTTTGCTGAAGGTTGCCTTCCACGTTTTGTAGCATGCATTGTGCAATATGAAGACACTTCATGTTGATCATAATTTCACGAAGGATCTTAGCTTTTGCTTTCTCTTTGTCAAATGGGACGTCGCTTGCTGGCGTCATAGATCGATCACGGCTTGCTCGAGAGCTGCCATCGTCACTCAGCTCAGACCGAGCCGACACAAAGCTGTCCTCCGTAGCGATGGCATCGTGAACTTCAGCGACAGCTTCCAGAACCACACTGCAAAACTCGGACTCGCCAGCAGCGTCTGGGCCACAGACGCTTCTCAGGACTTCGACGTGCAACTTGGTAGATAGCTCTGGAAGCTCGGGTATAGCCAGATTTTCTCTGAGCAAGGCAAACATCTTCCTTCGTCCAACCTCATCAGAGTAGTCTAGTGTCAAAGCAATTTGTAGGAGCTGCTCGACCACGAACTCGAGCTCCATTGTCTCTTCCTCGTTGTTTTCGCCACTAGCAGCGGCTTGCTTCAGCCTTGCGAGCAAGGCTCCGGAGTATTTTTGAAGAAAATATGCAAGTGCAGTGACTTCGGGCAATTTATCATCTGCCAGATCGCCATATTTGCCCTCGTTCTCTACGCGAGAGAACTGATTGAAACTGCGGGCCAAGAATGCAGATTCTGCTGTAAGGCCCTGCCAAAAATCTTCATCGAAAGTGACCGCTTCACGATAATCTGGGCGTCCTTCCCAGAAAGCCCTCATTGCTTCATGAGCCACGCCGCCTTCCATACCAGAGTTCACAGCATCTATACGCTCCAAAAGTTCCAAAAGAGCAGAGATATTGGGCGCTGAGATTTGTCCCACGGGCCCTCCCTCATTGGACGGTTTGTTGCCAGCACAGTCTTCAATCCATCGTTCGTAAAATAACTTGCCTGTGGCTTTTCGTACATTTTCATCTCGATCGCGTAGACCCCACCGAAGAAGCTTCTCACGCATGGACAGAGACAGGTGACGGAAATCGCCCAAGGTCGGTAGCAGACGGGAATAAAGTGCACGTCGAGTGGCAGCATCTAAGTCTCGAGCTCTTTCAAGAAGGTATGGAAGCGTTGACGGAATCAATGGTAGGTTTATTAGCAACGTTTTGCGCACATCAGCAGCTGCATCGTTTTGCAAAATGTCTATGAGCTTCTCCAGTAGAGCCGCTGTCGAGTCATCGAGTACTTCTTCACCATCATTGCCAACTAGACGCGCAAGGCCCTGCACAGCCTGGACTCTGACTGTGGTTTCTTTATCCCGAATTCGCCTTAGCAAACCGGTCCTCACTAAGCGGAATACCTCGTCGTCTATCGAATCTAACGAGTTCACGAGATGCGAAAGAAGCTGTGCTGAGCGATACCTGACCACCCTATCCTTCGATCCCAGCAATGGTACCACCATGTTAGCGATGGCCAGAGTCAGTCGTGTGGTGGGAGTCTCCGGGAACATTTGTGTTTCGTCAACATCCGCCGGATTGAATACCTCGCCATCTACACGACACACATTAGATTTCAGTATTTACGAAGCGTTAAGGATATTGGGTGCCTACCCTTTTCTGAAGCATGGTTCAAGAACAGACCGAGAAACCGAATAACCCGGTCCCCAACAGACTCTGCTTTCTTGATAGGTAATATGCGAAGAATGCAGCGAGTGATTTCCACATTGAATTCCCGCTCACCAAAGGTCTCGTCACTAGATGGTATCTCTCTTTCTTCATCCGGTTGGCCGTCCTTGGACTTCTTAGGTGGTATTATGCCGCAGCATACCTCCTGGACTTTTCGCAAGCGAACGACGAGTTTTCTATGTCCGGTAGTAGAACGTTGGGAATCTGCGAAAATTGCGCAAATGTCTGCGCGAAGGTGTGTCGATGTTGTAGGAAGCGGCGGCTCTGGGGGCACCGCTACAGAAGGCGTTGCAGAAGATGCTCGTTTTGAAGAAGCGCTCTGCCCTGACGTTTTTCGAGAGCCGGTGGACGCTGGGCCGCTCGTTGCGCGAGCGGGCATGGTGGCTGAGGCGTATGGTCTCTGCTGCGGAAATGTCAAAGTAGTGTGGTCTCCAGGTTGTAGGGACGGACAAGCGAGCGGTCGTCCAAGCCTCCGAAATGGCTTTGCGATTGTCGACGACTTGACTGACGAAGACGTTGCGTGGAGTAAACAAGAAAGTGTTGAGCGGGTGTAAACAAAGACTAACCCAATGCGGGAGTCACGCCTCGATAAGATAAGGGTTAGTGCTAGCAGTGCCCGCCTTGCTGACTAACGCCGGTTATTGGCCGATGCCGGATTGCGCGATCTGCTTCTTTTTCACAAGCAAATGCTTTACTTTACACCTCTTCGCGTTGTCTGCTTTTAAGATAAACCCACCTCTGTTGGGCAAGCTGGAAGATGTTCAAGCACGGCCTACGCACCTTTGCGACGGCGGCTCTGCGCAGTGCAGAAGCCTCAACAGCATACAATACCAAGGTCTCCCAAGCCCAAGGGTGGGTCAATGGCCTGACAGAAGGTAAAAAACAATCTGACATTGAATAGACCCAATTGAGTCAATCAAAGTGCTAACCAGCATTGATGGTATAGCAATTGGCAACACTCCTTTAATCAGGCTCAAGCGTCTTTCTGAGGAGACTGGCTGTAATGTTCTTGGCAAGGCCGAGTTCCAAAACCCAGGTGGCAGTGTCAAGGATCGGGCTGCGCTATACGTCGTGAAAGATGCCGAAGAGAAAGGACTGTTGCGGCCAGGCGGTACTGTTGTAGAAGGAACGGCCGGAAACACCGGTATTGGGCTTGCGCATGTCTGTCGGTCGAAGGGATACAAACTCGTAATCTACATGCCCAACACGCAATCACAAGGGAAGATCGATTTATTGCGGCTCTTGGGTGCTGAAGTCTATCCGGTCCCCGCAGTCGCGTTCGACAACCCACAGAACTATAATCACCAAGCACGGCGCCATGCCGAGTCTCTTGATAATGCCGTCTGGACCAACCAGTTCGACAACATTGCAAACCGCCAGGCCCACATCGAGACGACTGGGCCAGAGATATGGGCGCAAACTGAGGGCAAAATTGATGCTTTCACATGCGCAACGGGGACAGCTGGCACATTGGCAGGAATCACTCGGTATCTGAAGACAGTTAGTGACGGACGCGTAAAAAGCTTCCTTGCCGATCCGCCGGGCAGCGTGCTGCACAGCTACATCCAGAGCGGAGGCAAGCTCGCTGAGCGGGCCGGAGGAAGTATAACAGAGGGCATTGGCCAGGGTCGTGTTACAGAGAACTTGAAACCGGACATTGATCTGGTCGATGGCTCGCTGCACATCAGCGACGAGAAGAGCATCGAGATGGTGTACCGCTGTTTGGACGAAGAGGGTCTGTACCTTGGTGCAAGCTCCGCATTGAATGTTGTCGCTGCCAAGGAGGTCGCTGAGAAGCTGGGTAAAGGCCATACCGTCGTTACGATTCTGTGTGACGGTGCCTATCGGTATGCAGACCGTCTTTTCTCCGACAAGTGGCTGAAGAGCAAAAACCTTCGACATGTCATTCCCAAACATTTAGAAAAGTACATTGTACTACCATAGGGCTTGTAACCAAGCGAGCCAAACCCCATGTACAGATATAGGCAGATTTACTTTTGGTTGTGAATATAGCAGAATTTGAACCCCATTTTTTAGCCCGTGCCATCACACATATAATGGATTTCAACTATTCGATCAAAATATTTCATGCCCGGAACCTTGGAACTTTATACAACAGTCAGGCCTTTCGACATTCCATATCCGTTATATGCCACGCCACGCAGATTCCAAGGTGTTGTTTCCTGCTGAACGTGTCCTCCAGCATCAGTAGCCCGACTGAGAATAATCTTCCCAGGACCTTTCTCTAAAGGCACGGACGCTTTCCACAGCTTCCAGCACCATTTATCACTCGCAGATCTTATTTCCTCACTCTGCGGTGCTTCCAGATGAGCATCAACCCAAGTTTTACCTCCATCCCACGAGACCTCCACACGCGTGACTGGACCATAGTGACCCTGTGGAACGGCATATCCCTTTGCTTCCACTCTGCCTGACGTCGGTAATCTGATTGTCTCATTATCGTCTGGGGCGGCTACAACAGAGTTGATAGGCATATCCAACAGCGGCGGCACCTGATCCCAGTATCCCTTTGCTTTGTCAGAACTGTCGACTTCTGGCGGGAGTACTTTGTAATCATATCGCTGGTAATGATTCTGCGAATGTTCGCCTTGAATCGTAATACGATCTAGCCATTTGACCCATCTCGCGCCCGCGACCCCCGGTATGACTACTCGCACTGGGAATCCATGATTAGGGCTTAGTGGCTTGTTGTTCATCTAGGGGGGGTATTTGGTTTAGCACAAACCCTCGCGGTGGAGGTTAAAGAAGAAGAGAAAGACTTACCTCCAACGCAAGAATCACCTCGTCCGACTCATTCATACATCTTTCTAGCTCCACGCTCCCTCCATACCACTTCTCGTCCTGGCACTCGACCTGCTTACACTCAAAAGCGGCAAACAGCCCCGGTCCACGGGCAAATCGCTCTTGATCCACGCCCGCTGCTATCAGCACATCCCTTAAGCGCGGACCCTTCCATGTGCAATTCATCACTGCGCCATCAAGCCAATCTATCCCCTGGACTTCTTTGAGTTCCGTGCGCATGGTGTGGCGGCGGTTTCCAGCGCATTGGAGAGCGCAGAGAACTTTATGCTGTGGGAACTTTGAGCGCAGGTCGCTTATTGAGAGAGTTAGCGGTCTAGTCACTTGTCCATCAATTGTGACCGTGTGGCCCTCGGCAGCGATGTGAGGGATTGGACCATGGTTGCGGTCGTAGGTGGCATTGTTTTCAGTGATGAAGCTGCACAGCAAGTAGGAAACTAGGCGTTATTGAGATTGCACACAATATCTTTTGATATGGAATTGAGCTCCACTGACCTTGACACAAGCTTCTTTATTGGAGGTTCGCGATTAAGAGGCTTTTCTTTCGAGTACTCGATACGTCCTTCCTAATCAGGTCAGTTGTCTGGTAGATGCGGGTGATGGTGAGAACATACAGTTGAAGTAGTACTCACACTCATGGCATTATCTCTTCGTTTACGGTCTGATACCTGGTGTACATTCAATCATTCCGTTTTGTGCAGTTTGTGAAACATGTTTGTGGAATGGATGAATTCTGAAAGATTTGACGTCATTTGCCTCCATCGCCAGCCTCCATTCTAGAATGCCACGTGATACATATCGCCTGAGGCAACTAAACTATATCCTATGCCAATTCAACCCATCTTGATTGGTGCAATAAACTCTATATATTGTTAATGTACATGTTTCAAATAGACGATGAGTGGACAGGGGCCGAAAAGCAGGACCAGACAAGAACCCAAACTGTAATGAAAACGCCCAGTAATGCTTGCTCATATGTATTGTATCATGAAAAGGAGGCCAACTTCCAAAAAAAAGCCTGTACAGAACCCTAGGGAAAATGAAAACAAAAAGGACAATATTCACACAGATGTCGAGAAGTGAATAACGATATAACAGTCTATCCCCGCGGAGAAGGTTTCCCATGATGCCTGACAGTACAGCACCATCTAACTCTCCCCAGGCATACGCATATAAGCTTCAACGGCAGTGCTGAACGCCGAGAATCCGACACAGCCCACGAGAGCAGCCTGCGGGCCGGAATTTCGAGCAAGCCATGCGCCAGTCACACATCCTGCGGCAGTATGGTTTATCAGATCGTTCTTGGCGCGGAGGCCCTCGATAGCGCATTCTGTTGCAGCGTAAACACCACCGATGTATCCAAAGTTCTTTGCAGAGCTCCATGATCGGGTGGCAATATCTTTGAATCCAACTCGGAGCTGTTCGCGCCATGGCAGATTGTAGATTTCGGCGCCTTTGGGTGTGAGCGGGGTATCATATGACATCTATAATGCTCAATAATTAGTTTTTGGTTTCTGCATAACAAGGGACAGCGGTCCCAAAAAAAAAAGAAAGAGAGAGAACGTACAGAGGCACCAAGAAAACCGAATGCACCACCCAGCACAAATCCACCACCAGCAGACAGCACTACTTTGAACGGACAGGATTCGGCGAATGTATTTATCTATTTGTCCCCATTGGAGGGAGTAGTTAGCGCAGTGTTCTTTCTGTGCTTTCTTTTCTTGAAAGAAGATAGCTATAGCTCACCAACTTGACCGCGTTCTGTTCTTGTTCACTCATGCCGGCAGTCGCTGGGTTCGCACCGGCGCCGCCCATCGGGGGAAAGCCAGGGAAACTCATGTTGCTGGGAAAGTAATAGTATGTGTTTTGATCGAGTGAGGATATCCGGACGGAGGTAGGTATATTGCAAAGGGTATGAGTTTGTTTTCGACCGAGGGAGATTATAGAGCAGATATCAATGAATTAATTAACAAATATCTCGACACTTCCTGGACTCAGGCCGAAAATAAGCCGAGACTTGTTTGGCGGATATCTTCCGCGCAGGTTGATCGCGGGAGTCTTGAGTGTTTGCCGCGGAGGAGGAAAAATCTTTATAAACGTACGGGTAGCAGAGAGACCAGTTGTGCACTTTCTTTCGCCGAATACACTACGATACGAATTCTGATAGACTTCATATTTGTTGATATTCTAATGGCTTTTACATCAAAATGGCTATGTAGTTATTGCGTTTAGTCTGACTATACAATGCTACCCGAGTGTACTCCTCGGAGGTGCGCGGTGTTGAGTTGATTTGATTTTTGATTCTCTATGACTTATGTAAGGAGTAATAAAGCCTATAACTAGTTAATATGCTCAGGGTTACATGTTGAAAGACCTGCTGGTCAGATCAAACATCTCGATAATATGTAAAAATCGCCTCTCCTAACGGTTGGCCCGCAGATCATTGCAAGAATTGGGTCTTTCAAGAAATTGAAGAATGCGGTCGAATCCCTCAGGCTCTGAGATCCAGTGACCATCATTCTCTGCGCCAGTGAACTCGTTCCATTCGACACGGACCAGGATCTTCCGTAAAACCTGAGATGCCTGTCGCCCAAGATTCACTGGTACCCACGCATCGTCTGCTCCATGGCATAGAGATACGGGAGTTGATAGAACCGAGACGTCGGCATATTCTTGGGACAGAGACCCTTCATGACCGATAATTTCACCAAGTACAAATCGTGAAACTAAGTCCCGTATCTGAGGAGAACCAGGGGTTTGATAAGCAGCCGTTGGGTCACATAGCGAAACCTCCAGTTGCCGTGCGAAAGGCAGCCATCCACAGAAGCCCAGCAGACCAGCCAATGGCCCGTAGATACGGCGTGTCCCAACTGCAGCAAAAAACGCCCATAAGGCAGTCGCCATGCCCTGGCTAATACCTCCAAGATAGATGCGGCTAAGATCCTCTCCTAACAATCTGGCTTCTGATTCCAAGATACCAAGAATTTGGAAAATTGATTCTTGCAACCCATCTTTCTGCAATTCTTGCCGTGCTTGTATATCGCTTAAGGAGTAAGCGTCGAACCACGAACACATCTCTTCCTGAAATATGGTGCTCCATCGGTCACGGGAGGTTGGAAAAACCCAACGATAGGTTGGTAGACAAGATAGCAGGCTTTTACCGTTGGACGCGGTTGATGAGAAAAGTTCTTCGGCGAACTCAGGGCCATCGCTGCTGCGCCCATGTAGGAGGATAACAGTATGGGTGTGAGAGCCTTGGGGATGAAGGATGTGAGGAGCGGGGAATTCCATAGCGTTGATAAGTCAAAGTGATGATGTATATTCAAGTAGCAACAGATCCCAGGAATCAATATTCAAAAGCTGCCCCTTGCAGGTGATATAACCTTACCGCCAGCTGAATGCTATACGTTTCTGAAGTTGCTGACACGGGGGTTTTGAGGTGGTTTGACGTGGGGGACTAGATGACTGCGTTGTAATGGATGTTCATAAGTATGTACCGCTAGAAACAATCCAATTCCACACCATTATTGGGGAGGGATTTGGATTTCGCGTTGATGTCACTGATAATCAGTGTGTTAACCTGGACAAGAGCCTCCTCCTCCGGTAGGCTGCACTTGAAGCCACCGACTGGTTGATAACCAAGGCCGTAAGGCACCAACCACCGCGCCAAAAGGTAAGTTGATATATAAGCTTGCACGCATGTGTGCCTGAATGCTTCAACTCTCTCTGTTGACACAGATAAGAGAGGGTTATGGGTTTCTGTCAGAAATTACAAAAAGCCAAAGTGAAAACGACATTCCAGCGCATCTGTTGAAAGGCGATTTGGAAAATATCAGTTATTCGGTTCTCCCTCGTCATTGAAATCAATCAAATCTTCTCATATTGATTGTTTTCAAGAGAGCCCTCACTCGACGAACTTATGCCTGCGGTCATAGGCTCGGTAGTGTTGGAGACGCGATCCCCGCTGACGGATGTAACGGCTGCGGTATCGAGATAGGCACGAATGCTAGCATTGCCAGCTCTGTTAGTCCGGTTCCATAGGATGATTGCATAGCTGCTGGATTATGGGTGCAGAACAAAGATGGAAAGTGGTATGAGAAGAGCAAGGGCGAGCCTCCTGCGTTGTCACCTGGATACAAATTTCCCTGAATGAATACGAATTAACCTGACTTGGGACTGAGCACCGACAAATCTACTACGGGGATTATTCCTTTTTGTTGGATGTGTAGTGCATGACAACTAGACAAATGTTATACATGTATGCATCCCCAGGGCTGTTTGGAAATGCAGAGGTGTGTCTATTTTGCTTAGTCATTGTTCAAATTTAAGCAACTAAAGTGAACTATTATTTTGTTATATAATTTGTAATCTTGTATCAATTCGGCGAAGATCAATCCTAAGATGGTATAGCGCAACCCGATGAGCTTCTAACAACGGATTCGGAACGCTGTATTAGCTAGTATTGGGAATACTATATAATCTGCATATCTAACTAAAGAGAATATTCAGGGGGTTACTTGAGGCCATATTTATGATCAGAATAGGGGTCAACTAAGACACGTATCCGATGCCTATTCTGGCCAATTAGGTGCACCTCTGTGAAATACGGTGTTGGTTGTGGATTACATGCTGTATTCGGAATAGCGGTCATAATCCGCTGTCAGCTTCACTTTCCTTTCGACTCTTACGATCATTGAACATCTATCACTTCTGTCTCTCAATGACTACGCGCGATGATATCCGACACTCTCAAAAAGAATGATTGTGTTGGCTTTGGAAACAAGTCTATTGTGCACAAAGTCGGTCCAACTATCGTTTGTGAAAACTGTTCGGATCCAAAGCCATAACGCAGAGGAGCATGCGTTCCTCCAAGAGCTCAAGTTCTACGGATGCCTAAATATGCCCCAATGGTTTTCCTGGGCGTCTGATACGTGTGAACAATTATGAGGACCCCGCTCTTATCGCTCGATGGATAATACAACTCGCCTCAGCCCTCTAGTATGTGGAGAAGATGGGCTTCGCTCATAATGACCTGCACCCACGCAACTGTCTTCTGGACCAGAACCGCAATTTGAAACTATGTGATTTTGATCGTGCTACAACTATTGGGCAATGCCTTGAGGGCGTTTTCGCCCCATGGGCCAGAACATTAATCGCTGGGCCATTAAAAGGCAGTTACGGTCTCTGTTCTGCTAGAACCGAGCAGTTTGCAGTTGGGACACTTCTTTACTTTATGGTATACGGTCATGAACCCTACGAAGAGATCGACCTTGCAACACAAAGCCCGGAGGAATTAAGTCGCCGATATGGTTACATGGAGTTCCCAGAACTCAACCGACACGAAGTATTTGATGAGTTTATTTCTGCTTGTTGGCATAATGTCTATCCTACCATGGCCGTGGTAGCATATGATATCAAGCGCAAGACCAAAGATATTGCATTAGATGCAGAATATGAGATCCTTGAGTTCCTAAAGGAGAGGAAGGCTTGCGAAACAATGATCCAAAGAGGTTTACTTGGACCTGACTTGGCTCTTCGCTTTCAACCAGCTTGGCAAAGGTATCTACATGTTGTTGTGAGGAAAAGTATGTTCATCTGGCAAAGGTCGGTCAGCTTACCGAGAAGATTCTGGATCTGGTCTTGATCAACTCAAATTGGTCCAAATGTACTTGGCACGCCCTTTATCCCCACAGCTGTGCATCTCACCTTTCGTTCTTCTCTACAGTGGTGAATGGCGGTTCCACGACACACCTGGAGCAAAGGGGGCCCGGTTTCTCTTTGTGTTGCTATGAACACTGCTGTGCATCCTTCATCCCGCATTCGTCACGGCCTTAAGAGGGCGGGATTCTCTTTAGAGCGGAGTTCATCGACCAGCCAGCTGACCTGAAAGACTCGCGCATGAAGGCTATACCGGCGTCGGCAAGGCATGTTATTACTATTATTGCCTTATGCGAAGAGCGAGCACGAATAAGTGGTATCCGACATCGTCTTCTCGCAGAGCTACGACGACAATAGTTTCGCTGAGAAGATCACCTTTAACGGCACCCCGTGCAAACCCCGATTGCACTGAAGAAGCTGGAGTGGCAGGCACTCAGATCATCAATCCTCTAGACACATATTGGACGACTGAGAACTGCTGTAGAAGTGGCGGGATCTGCAATGATAGAGTTGCAGGAATTAATACATGGACAGTAGGAGACTCGACCCTAGGAACTGCACGTCTGAGCGTACAATAGCACTCCTCGGTCTGATTGACGCATGAAATGATAGGTAAACGTGAGATAGAGCCATTTCAAGCGCAAACTGGTTACATCTGAGTCTCTTGTATACAACGACGCAGTGCCACCTTGGCTTACCCCGCAACTACGCCCCAGAAGAACGCTGGAGAACTCATGCTACAAGAGTGCCATTTCAAAGGCAAGATCTGCTGCTTTCCAGACCTCATTGGCAAAGAGTGTGCACTTGAAGCATGTTCGGTTCGTGGCAGTACCTAGGTACGCTGCAGTGTCAGCACAGCCCAACGTAACCCAAGGCTCTGTGAGGTAAAGCCAGCCACCTGAACATGCACCATCACAAATCACATAGGTATTGTGCGTCTTAATCGAACAAGCCTACCGTCAATTTCCGGCCCGTAGTCTCATGAAAGGAGTATATACCGTACGAGGTAGAGCCTCTCCGGCTCTTGTTGCCTCCAAAGTATATAATTGCAACCACACTAGTCATTGGCGGTGTTAGGATTAAGCCTCATAACTATCTATGTATCTATAATCAATCAATAGTTTAATACTTTAATTAGCGACCCACTGCAAGGACAGAGCATAACCATATATTGGCCAATCCTACAGGAAGACGCCAAGGAGGCTAATGCTTTCTCTTCGCTATTTGGAGCGTAAGATCTTAGTGAACGTCAAGCGGACAATTGGCGAGGGAGATATACGACCCAAGAATGCTACATTAAAACGCCTCAATCTCTAAAATTCGAGAGCACACCTGCTGATTCCTTCAAGCCTTCTCTTCCGTGCTGTACCGGGGACTCGAGATGGGGAAAAAAAAAGAAAAGTATAAGAACACATCGTGCTCTCGCCGTGGATGTAGATAAAATACGAGTAGAGTCATCAATTCCTAATTGTGCCCTAAACCTCCTCCTGGAGGAACACACTCAAGATGAAAGTCTCCAGTGCCTTCGCGGCGACGCTGTCCGCAATTATAGCTGCGTGCTCAGCTCTTCCTTCTGACTCAATGGTTTCGAGGCGAAGCACATCGGACCGTCTCGTGTTCGCGCATTTCATGGTAAACATCCATCTCGAATATGAGGCACATAGTCAGTGACGATAGATTGGCTGACTTCATCAGGTTGGTATCGTCAGTGACCGGACCAGTGCTAGCGATTATGACGCCGACATGCAGCGTGCTAAAGCTTATGGAATTGACGCCTTTGCATTGAATATCGGTACCGATACCTTCAGCGACCAGCAACTGGGGTATGCCTACGAGTCTGCGGCAAACAATGACATGAAAGTGTTCATTTCATTCGATTTCAACTGGTGGTCCACCAGCCAGGCCACCGAAATTGGCCAAAAGATTGCCCAGTACGGTAGCCTAGCAGGCCAGCTCATGTATGATGACAAGATTTTCGTCTCGTCGTTTGCTGGCGACGGTGTAGACGTGGCAGCATTGAAGTCAGCTGCTGGCGGCAATGTGTTCTTCGCTCCAAACTTCCATCCATCGTATGGTACAGACCTGTCGGATGTCGATGGTCTTCTCAACTGGATGGGCTGGCCTAGCAATGGTAATAACAAGGCTCCAACTGCCGGTGCCAACGTTACCGTTGAGGAAGGGGACGAGGAATATATAACTGCTTTGGATGGCAAGCCCTACATTGCTCGTCAGTCGCCTAACCCTACCTCCTAGCCTTGGAGCAAAACGATTCAGTTTGGCTGACCTTTTCTTTTTTCTTCTTCACTAGCGGCCTCACCATGGTTCTCTACGCATTTTGGGCCAGAGGTGACATACAGCAAGAACTGGGTTTTCCCATCTGATTTGCTTTTCTACCAGCGTTGGAATGATCTATTGACTTTGGGCCCTCAATTCATTGAAGTGGTCACCTGGAATGACTATGGTGAATCGCACTATGTCGGACCTCTGAACTCTCCTCATACAGACGATGGCTCCTCTCGATGGGCGAATGACATGTAAGCCATCTTGTGTAGGTATCGGTGTTTTGTTTCTATGCTAACATCAAGAAACTAGGCCTCACGATGGCTGGCTGGATCTGGCAAAGCCCTACATCGCGGCATTCCACGACGGGGCCACTTCGCTATCATCATCCTACATCACCGAAGACCAGCTCATCTACTGGTATCGGCCTCAACCACGACTCATGGACTGCGACGCAACTGATACCTGCATGGTTGCTGCCAACAATGACACGGGCAACTATTTCGAGGGCAGACCCAATGGGTGGGAAAGCATGGAGGACGCTGTCTTCGTGGTTGCTTTGCTCCAGTCTGCTGGAACGGTTCAGGTCACTTCAGGCCCTAATACCGAGACATTTGATGCTCCTGCTGGTGCAAGCGCCTTCCAGGTTCCCATGGGCTTCGGCCCCCAGAGCTTCTCCCTGTCGCGGGATGGCGAGACAGTATTGTCTGGAACAAGCTTGAAGGATATCATTGATGGATGCGTGTGCGGAATCTACAACTTCAACGCCTATGGTAAGAACTGCCGTGTCTTTTGTATATCTGAATATGTTTCCAAGGTTATTGACATGGGAAAAAAAAAAAAAAATTCAGTGGGCTCTCTGCCAGCAACTTTCTCCGATCCACTCGAGCCACCTTCTCTCAACGCCTTCAGCGAAGGCTTGAAGGTTTCGACATGCAGCGCGACACCATCTTTGGGATTGACATCGACCACTCCACCAGAGACCATTCCTACAGGCACGATTACTCCAGGATCAGCTATTACAGGTGCTGCAACAACTACCTCTACCATCTCGACCACCTCCACGATTTCCACGACCTCAACTTTTATCTCAACTACCACCACCACCACGTCCAGTGCTGCTACCTCCACCACCACCGGAACTTGCATCGCCGGCACTGGCCCTGACAACTATTCTGGCCTGTGTTCCTTCTGCTGTAACTACGGCTACTGTCCGGGCTCCGATGGTTCGGCCGGCCCGTGTACATGCACGGCCTATGGAGATCCAGTTCCTACGCCTCCAGTAACAGGAACAGTTGGCGTTCCGCTTGATGGCGAGGGTGACAGTTACTTGGGTCTGTGTAGTTTTGCCTGCAACCACGGCTATTGCCCGTCTACTGCTTGTCAAGTAGAGAGCTGAGAGGTGCCACTATCTAGGTAATACCATGTTAAAGTAATACCTAGGTACTCTGTGTCTAGCTTGAGAGATGGCAGGGTATCTAGTTCTATCTTAAATATAAGATTTCTCCAACTTACATGATTTTGATGCACATGGATAGGTAGACCTGGACAGTGAAGGGCAATACTTAAATAATGCAAACAGACACTGGATCTATATCGTTCAACTCAGTTGGCCAAAGACTAGTCGTGAAAAAAACACCCTTTCGAACAAAAACCTTCTTCGCTGCATCAACGCAGTCCAAAATAAGTCCAATCCCCTCCACCATGAGAAGACACCAAACTCTCTCGGGCCTTTCGTCGTCTTCGCTGAGATCCAGCTGCACAGCACCTATCGGTACGTTTTCCCACCTGGTTTCAATGTCTGCATTGCCACCCACCACAGAATGGAGAATCATGTAAGGCCTTGATCTCCAGTTCCCACGTCCTATTCGCTGATCAAACCCCTTCCACCTTTCGTCATCCTTGTATACTATATCCATCGTATATAGCGGAGCAGAAATGCGTAGAGTTGCATCCTCTTCGAGCTCCCCCAGGCCTCTCAAGTCACTTTCTCCACCAAGTGTATGCGGTATTCGTTCGAACTTGGCAAAGACTCGTCGCTTAATGCTGCTCGTATACCGTTTTGAATCAAGGGCATATCTCTGCGCAATTGATGGATGATGGGTGCCTCCATCCAATGCTGCCCAGGACCACGAGGGGGCTCTCTGTTGCTGCTGCTTATAATCCTCTGGACGAGTCATCGACATCCCCGTAGGCCTGTCCAAGTAGCCGGTAGCCCTCAGAACCTCGGGGCCCAAGACCTGGTTCGTCATGCCGCGACGACACTGCCATAACAAGCCCCATGGCAAATCCACCTGCCACAACCCAGCAATATAAGGGCCAGGAATGCATTCTAGCAGCTGTCGCACAATACCGCCGATAGCAAGTAAACGATCGCCAGACTTCGTCAGTAGACGAGGCGTGTAATTCATATCCAGCATCCAATACCAGAGCTTCAATTTATCCAATACCGGATCCTTGGACCTCGCTGCCCTCGGCACAGAAGTATTTTCATACCATGGCTTGGGTCTCCAGAACGACGCCGGACCCTGCGTTGTGAAATTGGACACCCGCCCAAAATCGTCGTATCGGGAATTGATGCATCGAAACTCGAGCGTCTTGTCACCGTAGACAAGGACTCGGCGCGGCAGGATCCTCTCCTCGTAGCACCACGCTCTCGCATCTCCCGGTCCATATGTCGTGCCCATGGGCCTCGTGTGCAGGAACACCCGATCCGGGGCCCTGATGAGAGGGTACGGGATCTCCGGTGCCGTACTGGGGCTTTTGATCGGCCCCAGAAACCCGTCATGTACGGACCCGGCTCGAGTAGCCTGAATGGTGAGATAGGAATTCCCAAAGATCCGATCCATGCGGGCTATTTCTTTCATTTTGTCCTCCTTGTTGCCATCCTGGATGATGCACAGCGCATCGATCCAGAGATAGCGTATACCCAGCCAGCGCGCAACCTGGATTGCGTCGCGGTGAGTTTGGGGTAGGCTGGTTTCGGGGATGCTTTCCATTAGACTGGTCTTGGTGGCTTGGGTTAGCATTACGGGCTGCGCTGCTACGCCCCAGACGTAGCTTAGAGTGATGTATTTTCGATCGGGTTGGTCTGCACTTGTCTGGATCACACGCAGGTTTCTTCTTCCCCTGCTTCCTCCTTCCAGGTCAACCAGGTAGGTGGGCAGCGCGAAGTCGCCTGTTGAGATGCACTCCGGGTGGGTATTTTGACAGCGCGCAGCCCAGGATTTGACAAGGTTGATTGCGTCGTTGGACGATGAGTCACGCTCAATAATCCGGCCGCTGATGTACTCGGCCGCTGGGTTTTCTGAACATCATTCATCAGCAGAGGTAGAGGAAAAGGCGTGGGAAACACACACTTACCTGGCCGTGCGAGCACAAACAGCTCAGCGCCATAAGTGTCCATCCTGACACTGAGAGCTGGCAACTCGAAATTCGAGGCTTGGTCCAGAGACGCGTACAACTCAACAGGCGAGTCGGAGGCAGCCATTCTGTCGTAGTCGAGTTTGACATCTTCCAGAAGCACTCTGTAGAGCCAGCTGCAGAACGAACAGCGGCATGACTGGAATTCGTGAAAGGTCTCGTGCAGAGTGTAGGTGTCTCTGAGTTCTCGAAGGGTTGGCAGGGTCTTGCACTGCGCGCAGAGGCTGTCGTCTGTTTTATCCATTGTGTAGGTAGATGGGAGTGCCTCGAGTCTCAACAGGCTGCCTGGCGCTAATCAGTAAGTGGGTAGCACCAATCACTCGGCACTATTTCTCGTATTCATGTACAAGTTTGAAGGTTAATCAAGTATTGCAAAGCACTGTGCATGCATGACTTTATGTTCTTGTTGTAGATCCAGCATCTATTCTTTCCTAGCCAATGTATACATACATTTCATTCACATTTGTCCAGATACACTTTTGAAATAACCCACAATCAAATAATAGCCACCGACTGAGTCACCGGTCTGTAGAGAAAAGAAGCGAAGAAGAAAAGATAGTTCGTAAGAAAAGCCTTGTCGCGTAAATCGTGTTGTGTTGTCTGCAGTAAAACGCAAAACATCCGTCAAAAGCGAGAAAAACGGTCAATAATACCAACCAAAATCGGGGTGTCTGTTTCGTCAAAGGCAAAAGAAAAAAGAATATACTATGAAACATATATATGTGCAAGAGATTTCGAGTGCATCATGCCATGATAGACTGTTTCGAGATATCAAAATGCCTCCCATTCGTCCTGCTCCTTCTGTGGAGCTGCTTTGGTGGTATCGGCTTTGTTATTGTTGGAGGAGGAGGATGAGGAAGAAGCAGAAGATGAAGTCAGGCTCTTTTCCCATTCATCCATCAGGCTGGACGCCGTGCGTGTGAGTTGAGAAGCGGTGAATTTGCTCAAGGCTGGCCATGGAATGCCATTATTGTCCGTGCGATGACGTCCTCCTTCATCGGTATTTTGGTCCCCAAAGCTATACAAGTGTCGCTCCGGTTAGTTAAGATACACTCGCTACTCATAGAGAGGAAGAACGTTTATACGACCAAGCAAATCAATCAAAGCAATACCCAATAAGCAACGGAACTTACCTTGCGCTGGTCCTGGGACTGCTGAGCTGGGTGGAAGGGGACTGATCGTTCTTGGAGGTAACCGTCGATTGGCTGGAAGAGGGTGTGTGCGATTTTTTGACCGGCTGCGGTGTATCCCAATTGCCCCAAGCATCAACATCATCATCCTCCTCCTCCGCGTCGAGATGGGTCGATTGCGAGTCCTCGGACTCTTTCCGTGCGTTTAGGGTATTGTCGGCGGCTGGATTCGTTTTTCGTTCGAGCTTCTGCCCGGGGGTATCAACTCCGAATTCACTCAAAAATGATACCTCAATGTCGGCCGGAGAAGAAATATTATTACCAGATTTCTTTGCTGCCTCTTTAGACAAAGAGGACGATGAGCTTGTCCGCCCAAAAGCTCCATTCTGCTGCTGATCACGGTTCCGAACTGGCGTCACACTCCGCTCGCTTCGTTGGCCACTGCGAGAACGCTGTGTGGTCGAAGCTGGGGCCTGCAACGTCCGCGTTCGAGTGGCGCTGATAGCTTCCTCGCCGACTGTAGCCTGCCGGATGTCTTCCAAAAATGTCCATAGTCCTTCTCTCAAGTCGGATGCCATCTGTCTACCTGTTCGCAGGAGAGCTTCGCTAGATGGCGGAGGCAGAGACCGCCGCCACTGATTGCCCGAAGCATCTTGATGCGTCGTCGGGTCGTCCGATTCCTCTGCCGACTTTGCAGAATCCTTAGCTCGTTCCACGGAAGGCAGTGTCGCCGATCGTGGATGTCTGGTTGCCTGCGCCTCAGGGCTCGTCGCTTGCCCCGACTCGGACTTCATTGGGAAGGGTGGTTTGATGACGCCCATGTCGGGGGAGAGTAACGAGAGCGTACGGGTATGTTTAGAGCCGGCAAAGACTCGCCGACCATTGGCAGAAACCGAAATATCGCCTTTGGGCGTACTTCGAATACTGTTTCGTCTCTCTAGTTCTTTGCTTCTTCTGATCTGCGCGGATACCGTATCTATGGGGGTAAGAATGGGAGTGGTATTGGCAGTGGTAGTGCCTGCTGAACTTGGGGTATCGGAAGCCCTTGGGGATTCCTCCGCAGCCAGTTCATCGGTTGAGGGTCGCAAGGGCCGCATGGCCTCGGCGCGATGGCTGATTTCCGTCTGCTTCTTGTGCCTCTCGCTCAGCACCCATTGCTTCTTGAGACTGGCCAGCTCGACTTCGGCTTTTTGTAGCTCCTCGCGGAGTTCGAGGACTTTGCGCTCCTGGGAGGCGATGGCAGTCAGAAGATCGGCGGGCTCGCATGGCTCGTCGCCTGCAGGAAGGGCTTCTGGGATGGACTGTCCTGGTGCTATCATGCGGGGAGACTCAGTCGCAGGAGTGCCGGCGACGACGACAACAGAGGGAGAGGCTTGCTGCTGGTCTGATCGAAGGGTGAGTGGTGGAGCGACGGGGAAGCTGAGCGTCAAGCGTTTCGCATGGCGAGCAGCAGCAGCAGTGCTGGGACGCGAGGGAGCAGCCGGGCGGTTCTCCTCTGCTGCTTCCGGCGGTGGTAACTCTGGGGTAGTTCCATGGTCCATGGCGAGAGAAATGCACGGTCAAAGCAAAGCTTCAACAAGTGAATGTCATGGCTGCAAACAGCACAGCCGAGAGAATAAATACGCAGTACTCTGTAGACGAGCGCTAGTTAAGGAGCGACGAAGCATAAAATCAAAGGGGCAAAAACAAGCGCAGCGTCAGCATGTTTAACGCAGCGATCGGCCGAGGCTGGCAGTTTCAGGTCTGCGCTAGCTCTGCTAGTAGCTTAGTGCTCAGACTCCACGAGGACGTTGCTGCACGGTTCCACTGAGAGTGAGAGAGTGAGAGAGAGCTCAGGGGGAAATGAGAGTCTGGACTCTGCTGCACTCGCGTCTGTCGGTGTGGTTGGCCGCTTCGTCCCGGCGTGGCTGATTATCCGGGCGGGTGCCTTGCAGCCTTAGTTTACCAGAATCCGTACGGAGTAAATAATAATATATATATGCATGGAAAAGCATAGGCATGTCGGTATTGTTGTTGAATCTCTGCATCATTAAGTACATACAGTCCCCGTAAAATATATGAACATCCACGTCACGCATAGAGTACAAGGTAAGCGTCGAAAACTATCTATCAGAAAGATTTGAAGAGCGAGAAGAAGAAAAGCAATCGATCGAGAAGTGAAGAAGAATACACCATGGGAATCAAGCGAAGGCAAATCAAGTGTACAGAAAATCAAGGGCAATCGATGCCACACGAAATGTCGGCATTAAAGAAGAGAAAAGCGCAAAATATGAATGACATATCCAAGTCAAGAAAAACTTCAAAAAAAAAAACTCCAGTGCTGTGCAGAGAGAGAGAGAGCCAATGATGGCAGAAGAGAAGAGAAATCTACAAAAGAACACATTAGAAGCGTGTCCGTCGAAGAAAAAACAAAGGAGGGTATAAATTGTCGGAGAATGACGGTGCGAAGAACATAAAGAGTAAATCCGCCGGAATTGTAACGAGCATAGATAGAGTGAAAAAGAAGGAAAGGATTCCGGCGGACGAGGCGGGTTAGGTGCGATATGATGATGGCAAATGTTGTACAAAGAACGTATTTTCTCGGATCGTTGGTAGGAAATAATCAGAAGGACGACGAATTCACGATAGCGGGACGGTTTCCACGGGTTATATCCTAGATGGCCGGCCATCGATTACGGAGACCTTCGCTCCATCGTTGATAGAGAACATCGGCAAGCTGCTTGGTGTGCTCCATCCCCGGGACATGCTGTCCTGGCATGTTAGCCAATTGCGGGCTGCTCTTCTGCTCCATTTGGAGCTGTTCTGATTGTCGACGACGGTGGCTTTTGAGGTGTGGGTTGTTCTGGGCTAGGACAAGTTTGGGTTTCTGAGGTGTAGTCTGCGCTGGTTCAGGAAGCATAGCGGCGAGTTTGGAATCACTGGGAATGTCGGTTAGAAAGACAAAAATAGAATAATACGGCTAGTACTCACGCCCTCATTTTCTCGTTGGATAGCTTCAAGATATGATAAAGCCCTTCCGGATCAATCATTTCAAGATCACTGAATGCCTCAGCCAGTCGAGAAATCGCCTCTCTTTTCTCTTGGTCTCCTGTATTTGCCAGGATCTCCTGGCAAGCGAGCCCAATACCTCTGCTATATGCCCTCCGTCCTAGTTGAGCTTCCTTGCTGTTAGGAACCGGGTCGGTAAACAGAGTCTTGGCCACCACATTTTCATCCAACCCAGGTGGGTAGTTATAATACTGGGCCTGATCGCTAGTCGCCTTGTCAGAAACTCGGCGAAATTGGCGTACCGTAGATGGACTGTTTCCGTAGCTCAGATTCAGGCCGAGCGGCTGTTTCACGCCGCTGGATCGTCGCTTCGTGTTGCTCCGTTTGATAGAAGGCGATCGCTCCGCCGCAGGCGTCCGCCGGACAGTAGAGTTGGCAACAGGCTTCAGCACACCGTGCGGAGTCATTGACTGAAGCTCTTCGGATTTGACAAATGGGTCCTCACAGAAATCCTCTGCAATTATTGGTTTCTTGATTGTAGGTGCTTTGACCGTGTCAAACACCCATCCGTCGTCGTCTTCGTCCTTCGGAGTAAATGTAGTCCTTGTTAACAGGTTAGCTTTTTCTTCAATGAACAGCGGCTTTCAGGTTTTTTTTTTTTTCTTACAGAGTTTCTGCATAGTATTTTGCATCGCCTCCATGTTCCTTGCCGTTATCCCAGTCCTCTTTCCGTTGGATCAGCTCCTGTAGAGTTTCGGTCTTCCCTGCATTGCGCACAAACTTGTGCTTTAACAGCTCTTTCGCTGTGTATCGCCTATCGGGATCTTTCACCAGACACTGGGCAACAAAATCCTTGAATGTTTGACTGAATTCGTTGCCTTCGAGGCGTGGTGCCGGGGCCTTTGGAATATGAAACAGTACCTTCATTGGATGAGTGCTGGCATGTGGCGGCTCTCCGTTTGCAAGTTCCATTGCCGTTATGCCCAATGACCAAATGTCGGCCTTGAAGTCGTATCCAGCCTGCTGGATCACTTCAGGCGCCATCCAAAAAGGAGTGCCAACGAACGTGTTCCTCTGCGATTTGATATTCGACAGTTGAGCAGCCACACCGAAATCCGCCAGCTTGACCTTTCCGGATTGGGACAGAAGAACGTTTGCTGCTTTGATATCCCGGTGGATCTTGCCCTCCCGATGGAGATAATCCAGTCCCAGTAATAGCTCGCGACAAACGATGGCAATGTGTGCCTCGGTGAAGACTCCTGGTTTCATCTAAGAACGGTTAGCTCCCTTGCTACCTGGCTGCTTTGCGAATGAGTTCCTACGAGATCCAAACAAGAACCACCACCCAGGAATTCCATGACAATCCATAGTTTGTGACCACGCAGAAAGCTCGCCTTGTACTGGGTGACGTAGGGGCTCGCACACGCTGCCAGCACGGATATTTCTTGCTGGATCTCGGCGATGTCGTCCTCGCTCGACTCGAGATCGATCTAGTGCACAATCGATATCAGCAACTGGCAGTCAGGCTTATGAAGCGCAACATACATGTTTGATGGCGACTATCTCCCCAGTCGCCTTCTCGATGCCCTTGTAGACAGTGCCAAAGCTCCCACCTGCATTGATCATTTTCCATTAGCAAGTGCACTGCTCGATCGCGGGGCATATATATGACCACTCACAGCCCAACTCCTCCATCACCTGATAGCGACTCGCCATGTCGCCGTCGGCCGCCATTTTCTGCACACAAATGCACAATTGCGCTGCAAACTGCCAATGCGACTTTCCTTGCGAGCACGACACTGGAGAACAGTGGCCGTCCAAACAACGAACGGAATGTGAGGCACGAAAGGTGAAGCAGAAGAAGAAAAGGGGAACTTTGCTCTCTTTTACTTTACTCCGCGAGCCCAAAAGCTCAGCAGCAGCGCTCGCCGTTCGGCAGGCGCCCACTTGCCCGCCGAGTCTGTCGCCAGGAGCAACCGGCAGCGCTAAGCCAATCACGGCCAAGACGACCTCCCTTGCCTTGTTGCCCTTAATCTCTACTCCGTATCTATTATTGCTCGAATGCGAACTACGTGCTGCATACAACTAGCACTGCCTTGGACGATCTGCAATCAATGGACGAACTTGGTCGATATATGCTTGATTATTGCGGCTGCCCATACCCCTTCCTACTCGAGCAGGGACACAGTCGGCACGGGGGATGTAAACAGGGGCAATCCTCCATCCAGCGCCATGACGTTTGTCAGTCCTGAAAGTCACTCGCGCACAACCACGCAGTCGACTGGAATGCGGGGGATTCTGAGCGTGGGATCACATGGCCAGGCTGTGGACAGTCCTTTTCCTTCTTATATCCCTTGGAAGGGGGTGGATGATCTGGGGTAAACAGAGGGTCTGGACAGAGATGAAAAGAAGGCCTACAAGGGGAGAAATGGAAGCAATTCCTCTACTACGTACTTCGAATATCGGTGGTTATACTATTCCATTTCGGAGTTAATGAAGAGATCTATGCTATCTGTGTAGAAAGTAGCTCCGAAAGCATTGTTCTTAGCGGTTGGGAGAGTCTGTAGATAAGTCGTGCTTAATATGCCCGGGCCGGAACGCCTCACGATTGGCTGGCTGGCGCCGCGGCTTCTCCGCAATCGGCCTTGCGCAAAATCAAGGATAAATCGCCAAAGTCTACTGCTTGGTCCAATTTCTTCAACTATCAGGCGCCGACATCCCATCATGTCCGCTCCGCGCAGTGTTGCCGCGGTTCTGCGAAGGACAAGGCTGTCCCACTGCCGCCCTGCACCGCAGACGCAGACATTGTTCGCCGTCAACGCCCGCCGTCCGTTCAGCGTCACCGCCGCTCCCCGGACAGCAGGCGCCTCCAGAAAAGTCCAATTGACCGCAGCGGCCTACCCGCAACTGAAAAGAGACCCCAAGTTCGCACAAGTCACGAAAGAACATGTCCAATACTTCAAAGAGCTCCTCGGCACGGAATCCGCGCTCATCGACGGCATCAACGCCGACGCCGAGGACGATCTTGCCCCCTTCAACGGCGACTGGATGCGCAAGTACGGAGGCCAGACAAAACTAGTCCTCAAACCGCAGACCACGGAGGAAGTGAGCAAGATCTTGGCTTACTGCAACGAGCACAAGTTGGCCGTCGTACCGCAGGGAGGAAACACGGGCCTCGTTGGCGGCTCGGTGCCCGTGTTTGACGAGATTATCATAAACACAGCGCGCATGAACAAAATTCGCTCCTTTGACGATGAATCTGGCGTTCTCGTCGCCGATGCAGGCGTTATTCTCGAGGTGGCTGACTCGCACGTGGGCAAGCACGGTTATCTCTTCCCGTTGGACCTGGGAGCGAAGGGATCGTGCCACATTGGAGGAAACGTGTCGACCAATGCCGGCGGTCTTCGTCTCCTGCGTTACGGCAGTCTGCATGGGAGCGTTCTCGGTCTGGAAGCCGTCTTGCCAGACGGAACCATTGTAAATGCTCTGTCTACGCTCCGGAAGAACAACACGGGCTACGACTTCAAGCAGCTGTTCATCGGGTCCGAAGGAACCATCGGCATTATCACGGGAGTCTCCATTCTCTGCCCGCCTCGCGCCAAAGCTGTTAATGTGGCGTATTTTGGATTGGAAAGCTTCGAGCACGTCCGCAGGGCCTTCCGCGAAGCCAAGGGTCAGCTGTCCGAGATCCTTTCCGCCTTTGAATTGATGGACGGCCGAAGTCAAAGCTTGGTGCGGGAGTCTACTGGCAACAAGCAACCTCTGGAAGGCGACTACCCGTTCTACTGTCTGATCGAAACCAGCGGCTCTAATGCCGAACACGACATCGCTAAATTGGAGACATTCCTGGAACATGTCATGGGCGAAGGCATCGTCGCCGATGGCGTACTTGCGCAAGACGAAACACAGATCCAGTCGCTCTGGCGCTGGCGTGAAGGCATCACGGAGTCGCTCAGCCATCTCGGCGGCACCTACAAGTACGATGTGTCTATTCCGCTACCAGAGCTCTATCAGCTCGTGGAGGACTGCAAGAGCCGCCTTACCGAGAAGGGACTTGTGGGCGACGATGACTCGTTCCCCGTTCGCGCCGTTGTTGGATATGGACACATGGGCGACTCTAACTTGCATTTGAACGTGGCTGTCCGGCAGTACAACAAGGAGGTCGAGAAGGCAATTGAGCCCTGGGTGTATGAATGGATCGCCAAGCGCAATGGCAGCATCAGCGCAGAGCATGGACTGGGAGTTGCGAAGAAAGATTTTATTGGATACAGCCAGAACGACACGAACATCAAGCTTATGAAGCAGTTGAAGGATCTGTATGACCCGGTGAGTCTATCCTATCTCCATCGCCTCTTCACTCGAGAAATGGAAAATTTCTAATTCAGGTTTTTGCATACAGAACGGGATCATGAACCCATACAAGTATATATAAATGCCATGTGAATAAATTTTTTTTTTTTCTGTTTTGAAACTAAAAAAGGAAAAAAAAAACGTCATCCGTAGACATAAACCGTCGACGTCATCAGGAAAGAGCTTTGCAAGCGTTTCCCCACACTGCCGGAGTTTGACTTCCTCTCCTTCCAGACTTCTGAGAACATCTTCTATCCCTAGCGGATATCGCACAGGGCAATCAGGAAAACATGTCTCATACCGCGCTGATCACCGGTGCAACAGGCCTGCTCGGCCGCGAAGTCACCAAGTCCTTCAAGCAGGCGGGATGGCTGACCGTTGGCCAAGGGTTCAATCGAGCCGCCCCGCCGACGATTCTGAAGGCCAATTTGGAGGATGCCAGCGATGTGAAGAGGATAATCGATGAAGCCAAGTATGTGGTTTGTGTCCTGTGCTGTACTTGATCAGAGTACAGACTTTGGCGGGCATTGGGCTAATTGGAGTACAACACATAGGCCGCAGGTAGTTGTTCACTGTATAATCCTTCCCCCCCCCCCCAACCGGCTTTCCTCCTTTCTATGCTAGTGAGCATGAAGAAGCAAAAGAGAGCATGGCTAATAGAGATTGATAGGTGCCGCAAACCGACAGCCAGATGCCTGCGAAAACAACCCGGAGCAGGCACGCAGACTCAACATCGAAGCCACCCGCATCCTAGCCGAAGAGACCTCCTCGCGAGGCATTCTTCTCATCTACATCTCGACAGATTACGTATTTCCAGGCACCGAAGGCGAAGCACCCTACGAAGCCGACTCGGCGACCAACCCGCCGAATATCTATGGCGAAATGAAGCGTGCTGGCGAAGTGGCCGTGTTGGAAGCCACCAAGGAGAGTGGCTTCGGACTTGTATTACGCCTCCCTCTTCTATACGGACATGCAGAATACAACGGCGAAAGCGCGGTGAATACCATCCTCGACGCGGTCGAGAAGAGCAGCAAGGACGCCGCGGCAGGCATCAAGATGGACGACTGGGCGCTTCGGTATCCGACAAACACGCAAGACGTGGGACGCGTCTGCAACGACATTGCAGTACGCTACATCAGGGCCAAGGACAATATCAAGTCGCTGCCGAAGATCCTACAATTCTCCGCCGAGGAGGACATGACCAAGTATGACATGGCGCAACGATTTGCGAAGATCCTCAACATCGAGATCCCAGGCATGATTGCGAATAAGGAAGGGAATGATCCCAATGCAGCTGTTAAGAGGCCGTACAATACGCACCTGTCGACCAAGGTGCTCCGAGAAGTGGGCGTCAATGTGCAAACGGTGAAGTTTGATGACTGGTGGTACGTCTTTTTATAATTTCTATCCCTCTTTTTTTTTTCCTTTCTTTCTTCTTCTTTTCCCACCCGCTTCCTAGTGATAGTTCATGGTAATTCTGTGGCTAATTGTTTGGCACAGGCGAGCATACTTGAGAAAGCCGTGAACTATCCAGCCTGGCGATGATCAGTCAGACACTAAAAATGTGTGGTTACATTCCAGGATCCTCTCAGCAGTGGATGAATCCGACGGTAGAGAGAAAGAGATGGCACTGTGTAGCCAGACTACTGCAGAATTTTAATTCCTCCTTTTTGCTATGCGACGCTCTGCATTGGAAAAACAAGGCAGGACATGCAAGGCATCTCGCTAGCTCCAAGTCGAAAGGTGACCAGTCGAGGCTAACTATGGAAATAGATGGGGAATAGATAAAAATAACTAAAATGGCGTGTTTCATCAAATAAATTTCAGGCGCTCAAAGGCTCAGAGACTAAATAGTAAAGTAAAGGCTAAATAAAGCGGCGGGCGGGCGGAGCGCGTGCCGCGACATAAAAGTTGGAATGCCCGCTTCGTAGAGAAGAATCCATACATACAATTCATTGCACACGACCAAAAGCAGCAGAAATACAATGGGGAAAGACGACATTTTGCTTCTGTTTATCTCCCTCATCCAGCGTCCATTGCACGACAGGATGCCCGCGCTTTGAAGTGAGCCTCAAAACTACAAGACCGCGATTTCGCCCCGGGACGTGGAAACAAAGCAGCGCACGATCTGTCGGATTCGTGCATTGCGAATTGGCCCATACGAACGAACGAACGAACGAGGCGAGCGAAGCATTTGACCGATTTCCTTTATACCTTTATATCACGGAAGCTGTCTTGCGGTGCTCTCCCAAAGCACGTTCAATCAAATGTGATCCCGTTCCAATAGCATTCTGGCGGACGGCACACAAATCATTAACTATCGCCCATCTACCCAGAGCCCCTGCTATATCTGTGCTGCGGTGCCCTCCTGAGAAGCAGAAGCCTCTTTCTTTCTTTTTTGTTTTTGGCTGCTGCATTTCTGTCTGCTATATCTCACCCACAATGGGAACCCAGCTGGAGACATCGTCGGCCGTAGGGACTACGACTCCCAAGTTCTCGCGTTATCGATCCGTGCGCCGTGCTGCAGCTGAGGAGCAGAAACAATGCGCGGGGGAAGGCGCCCCTGCCAAATCTCCCAGTGCAAGCATCGCTCGGAGCATGTCGCGCTATCGTCGACAAAAGCCCGCAACAGCAACGACGACGACGACGCCAGAGGCAGATCATCCTCCAGTGCCTGCGTTGCCGCCGTCGATCCAAGTGCCACAGCCAGTAGCGACACCCAATGTTAGCAGCGCCTCCAAATTCTCCGGACAGGCGCAAGATACACGAGCAGTCCAGAAGACGCGCCTCAATGGCACGCCGAATATCAATAAACCCACCAGCATAGATGATGACTCGTCAGACGACGAAGACAAGCTCTCAGAGGCCGAGAAATCTCGCATGAGAGAGGAAGCCATGAGGAAGCTGACAATGGCAGAACGGCCCAGGACAGCTTCAGCAATCCCACAGGCCAGCCAATCAAAGGCGGAACACAAACGGGCGTCTTGGAAGGACAAACTTGGCCTGCCAAATCACAAAAGCGCTGCACTTCCAACTGCAGATTCTGAAAACATGGACTCGGGGACACACACGCTTGCGCCTGGCATTGACGCGCCTGTGTCTGCCGTCAATGCTGGCGAGAGAAGAGTCCTGGTCAAGTACAGGTCTAGCTCTATCAAGCTGCCAGTGACGCCAACCACGCGCGTCAAAGAGATCATCTACTCTGCAGCCAACTGCTTCTCTGAGCGCGTCGATCCCAAGAGCGCCATCATCGTCGAGTCCTTTTCGCCTCTGGGTCTCGAGCGGCCTTTACGCCGTTACGAACACGTGCGAGATGTGCTCAACTCGTGGTCGGCAGACCATGCTAATGCTCTGGTCATTCCAGACTCTCCATTTGCAGGTGCCACTCAAAGGCTCGAGCTGAGCGCCGTCCTGGCCGCAGCACAGCCCAAGGACGCGAAATTTCAGCTCTACCATTCTTCCAAACCCGGGAAATGGGACAAACGCTACATCACCTTACGTGCTGACGGCCAGGTCGTGCTGTCGAAGAAATCAGATGCGAAGGAAAAGGACTTTGTAAACATTTGCCACATGTCTGATTTTGACATCTACACGCCGACTGCTCGCCAGATCTCCAAGAGCATCAGACCTCCCAAGAAGATTTGCTTTGCTATCAAGAGCCAACAGAAGTCGTCCATATTTATATCAACGGAGAACTTTGTGCATTTCTTCGCAACCAATGACTCGATGCTGGCAGAGGGTTTCCATGACGCAGTACATGGCTGGCGCAGCTGGTACCTTGTGCACGTCCTGGGAGTCGGGCAGAAACAGGCAGAAGCAGCCAATGCCAATGCCAATGCGAACGGAACTGCGAAAGAGTCGTCAACTCACCAACGCCATGTCTCCACCGATTCTGTCTCCTACCAGCTAGGCTCGTTTAAGCCATTGATCGAATTCGGGCGAAACATAGACCCGGCCATTGCGACAGCGCCAGAGAAAACAGACAGCACGTCGTCGACTCGAGACATGTTCTTGCGGAAGAAGAAAGCACGAGACCACGCGCCACCCCCCAGTTCCTTTCCTGTGAACGTTCCCACACTCGACACAAACACAAAACCCGAGCCTCTATCTCCTACGCACGATGATGACTCTCCCTTTTCCCCAGACAGTCTTCTCGGCCGAACATACAGCCAGCGCCAGACAGCTCAGCGCGAGCGAGAGGCCAAAGAAGCGGAGGAAACCGGCCCATTTCTGGCCCAAGGCCTGCTCAAGAATCTGAGTCCAACCAATTCCGAACCGCCATTCAGCAACCCCTCATCATCTAGTCGACAAAACAGTCGATCAAACACGATACGCTCACATCAGGAAGGCGGCCTTTCGCAGAGTCGCTCGAACTCTGTGCGTCAAAAGGCCAAGCCACTCGTTGATCTCACGCCCACTTACAGAGAGCCCCCTCAACATGTACGCAAGGGACACGGCGTCAAGATCGACGCAGGAATCCCGCTTGTCGAAGCAGCCACTGGTCTAGAACCCGTTCCCGGCATGCCTGCGATTCCCTCGGCTACAACGTGGCGACGCGAAGAGACCGCGGCTCGCCCAACCACTGCCTCTGCCTCTGCAGCAGCAGCAGCAGCAAATGAATCTTCGTCCGCTTCGATCTCGAGTCGTCGTCGCGCCAACACGGTGAAAGGCCAGCAGCAGCATCATCATCACTATCCCCAAAATGGCTATGCGAGTGTATCAGATGTTGCTATGCCGTTCATGCCCAACGGTCTCATAGCACTTTCCAGCGGCAATAATAATACAGCTAACGCGCAGGCAAATAGTACGAGCATTGGCCGGGGCGTTGCTACTGGCGATCGCCATGCGACTCGTCCGCTGCTGGATTTGAATCCTCATAGCCAGTTTGTGGAGGGCAGTTTGTTGCGAAACATAGAGCGAAATCAATGATGATCATAATACAAGAAGAATATATGATATATGTCTTCTGGAGTTTTGGGGGTTCTTTACTTGTGCATTCATGCTCAAGGAGTTATGGATGTTTTCTACTATACCCTTGGTTTGGAGGAGTCTTTTCTATCACAAGTAGCTTAGATGGAATATCTATCTATTCACAAGAAGACTGTATTGAAGGATAATTTGTTAGTTGTACTCAACGCGACACATGACGTCGCCGAAGGCGGGACAACAGCGTCCCCACCATTCGACTGCCTTTCTTGACATTTTCAACCCGGCTGTTTCCAGCTCCCAACAAACTTGGAAGCCCTCCAAATAACCAAAAAAAAAGACAAAAGAGACAACATGTCCTGGTTCCAGAAACAATTCACGCTCCCCTCGCGCTCGCGAGGCAGCTACCTCATCACAGACACCGTGGTCAACGAACTGCCCGAGATCAAAAACTACAAAGTCGGCCTCCTCAACCTCTTCATCCAACACACCTCCTGCGCGCTGTCACTAAACGAGAACTGGGACGAGGACGTGCGCGCCGATATGAGCGATGCTCTCGATCGGATTGCCCCGTATGATAAGAAAGGCAATTTGTATAGGCATAGTGCTGAGGGGGAGGATGATATGCCTGTATGCTTTTTCCCCGTCTGCTTATACACAAGAGTAAATGAAGAGGAAAGTCGGGTTTTTTATTGATAATATGTGTGTGTATACAGGCTCATATCAAATCTGCTCTTGTTGGCGCAAGCGTCACAATTCCCATCTCTAATGGCCGACTTGCTACGGGCACATGGCAGGGTATTTGGTATTTGGAATTCCGGGCGAGTCGGCATTCGAGGAAGGTGGTTGCAACGATACAGGGTGAAAAGGCGTGACTTTGACAATGGTCTTGATAAACAGAGGCTTTGATGGAATCGAATAATAGTCATTAAAGCTAGATATGCCTCACGCTTTAAACATAAGCTGCCGTTTCACTTCTGAACAGCACAGCCTGCCTAACAAAGAGCTGTCTGTGATTTTCATGACTATTCTTCGAGTAAATGTACATAATGAAGATAGAACTTCAATGAATCAGAGACGAGGGAGGAAAGAAAAAAAAAAAAAAAGTCAACGCCAAGGACAAAAACGAAAAGAAAAATAAAAGAAGACTCAAATGTATTCAAGACTCCAACAATCATCGTTGTTCATAGCCTCCTTCAGTGATTCGTTGGGCCTCTTCCACCTCAGCGACATGTCCAGTTGGTTCGAGAGGGTATGACGTGCTGGGCAGGGACTTGAGATACGCTTTATTTTTCTCGTGCGCCTGTTGTGACACGCATCGTTAGTTATAACAGAGCATATAGTTTGTATACACTATAGAGTCGACTTACAAATGGTAAACCACAGTATCCACATGTGGCAATCTCGGGCTTGTCAGTGTTGATGAAAATTCGAGGGTGGCCCAGAGGACCACCGCCGCCATCGCAAGAGACGACTCTTTCCTTCGTCCATCGGACGGGCTGTTTGTGAATCAACTCAATGGCCGCGTAGGGTTGGGGCTGTTGCCAAGGTTGTTAGCATCGTTGATGGTAAGTTTCAAAACGAAAAGAAAAGATTGAGAAATCTACCTGAAGTTCCATGATTGTTTGCTCAAAGCGAGGGCCGGTCATGGCCTCCGCTCTTGGTCGCTGGTTCTTCGCCCAGGTCGAAGCACGGTTCGGAGCCTGCAGGTGGCGATTCTGCTCCGCCTCTGCAGGGGTTTCGACGAGTTTGTCGTCAAAGGCGCCCATTGAGTCCACAGGCACGGCATTGGTAGCAGAGACATTGGGAACGGGCTTCTTGGGCGAGGGGTCGTTGGCCTGGAGAGTGTTGTCGGTCCATCGAGGGGCGCTCACGGAATAAGAGGCCCGCGAAGTCAATCGTGCCGAGCGCGATGCCGACAGAGCGGCCGAGGCAACTCTACTACCCCTGGCTGAGAAGAGCATTGCGTTTTCAAATATATGCGGACTGTGCTGTTGGTCGTGTTCAAGGTTGATGTTGCAGAAGCGGCGGGAATTTGGAGAGGTTTGGGCCAAGCTCGGGTTTCCACAGCCGACGGGACGCAGCGGGACCAATCAGCAGCCGCGCATTTAGCTCTGTCTCTTTTTTTCTTCTTGTCTACGCTTGTCGCTGCATAAAAATCTGGAGCCGACTTTGATAGACTACTGTCCGCTCTCAACGACGCAAATATTTCATTACGACAATTCTGTTTTCCTTTCAGGCGACCAACGACACGCCCTAACAATGTCTGGCAGCTCAGCTCGGCCGGCGAAGACCATGTCTTCCCGGCTTCTCACCATGAAGGTACGAAAGTTGTCAACACACGTAACAGACACACTCACGCACGCCTCATGCTCATCATGTATATATAGTTCATGCAACGCGCAGCTGCCTCAGCCGCCGACGAACCAGAGACCCCCTCGCCCAAACGCCAACGCCTATCTTCATCCAGTCGAGCAGAATCAACACCCAATTCGGACTTGGAAGCCGTCAATGCCGCTCTTGCAGCCGAAGAACAAAAACGCGCAGAAGCAGTTGCGCGCCAGGCTGCTGAAGCAGGCGAGACGAATTGGGTCTTGGATTTCTCTGCAAACCCTGCCGCCGCTGCACCTTCTTCGCAGCCTATGATTGTCGCTGCGGATTCGCTGGATGCTGAAAACCAGGCCATGGCGTATGGCGGTCGCACGAGTTACGGGAACTTTCAGCGCAAGAATAGACAGCCAAGTGTGGTGAGTTGAGAAAAGAAAAGAACGCTTTACTTAATCAGATCTATGATATGCTAATCATGCGGGTCTGCCTCAGCACGTCAATGACGACGAAACATCCGTAGACGCAGACCAGCAGCCATTAGAGGCCATGACGGAGAAGCAAAGGAGGAAAGCCAAAAGGAACAAAGAAGAGCCTCGGCTAGACAAGTTGACTAGTTTGTCTGGGGGACGCAGCTCCTCGATGGACGTACGAGGCCATGGACACGGTAAGAAGCATGGGAAACCGGGGAAGAAACGATCTAAATGAAGCGTTCCAACGACTCGGGGATTCACGCTGTCAAACTCGTCGAACTCTATGTTGCAATACATAGCTCATTATTTTATACGTCACTTGACTCGGAAACGCGTGGCATGCTCTCTAATCTACAATCTAAAGTGATCATTACATCATGAGAGCACCGAGCGACAACCAATCCTTCGGCTGTCGCGCCGTTGGCGAAGCATGCAACTACTCTCTTACGTGGCTATGCAGTCCGTACGCCTCCGAGTCTTCTTCTCCGTCGCCATCCCCAAAGACATCGGAATCATTATCGGTAAACTCATCTCGATACTGTTTCGGGCCGCGGGGCTCGTTTAGATCGTCTCCTTCGACAATCAAATCGATGTTGTCTTCATCGAAATCGTGAAATGCAAGCTGTTCTTCTTCATCGCGAGCCAAAGTCGACGCTGCCGCATTGACGTCTGGATCGTTTGAGAAGCTACGGTGGGGACGCCCTGCTGCGTGATCCTCTTGTATGGATTGTCGGATGCCCGCCCGTTCTTGAGCTTCGAGCTCTTTTGCGCGAGCCAATGTCCTTAGATGAGCGGATAGTTAGGCGGGCGCTTCATTCCATAAGAAAAGAGAAATCACTTACCTTCTATAGATATATATACCAGTGCCGACGCCAATAGAAATTGAAATTATGATGCTAATGATGTTGACGGCCTTGGAGCCAGCACTCATCTCTTCGTTCTTCTCCGATAACAAGCGAATTCGGCTTCCAATAAAAGCATTCATCATGAACTTGGGTGCTGTTAATGCCGTAGCAAGACCGTAATTGAGGGGTTGAACTGTGGGAAATGTCGATATTGCGCCGTTGCACAATGAGTACGGCAGTGGGCAGAGTCGGATCATGCATAAGAGTTTGAGACCATCGTATTTAAGAGTCAATGCAAGCGCAGCGAATCGCTTGTCATTCTCCAACATGCGATGGACAAAGCCCGAAAGCACTGTGCGGCAAATAATAAACGAAAGTGTCGAGCCGATTACAGTGGCCGTCGTGTAGACAATCCACCTATACATATATATAACAAGAACCGAATTAGCAAACATGTAGGGTGGCAGAAGATCCGCTAGCAAGCAAGGAAAGAAAAACGAACCCTTTCCAGAATCCAAAAAGAAAGCCGGCTATTGTTCCAAGTGTCGCCCAGCCCACGACTGGCGGGAAAGATACCAGGATAATCAACAGCCATACGACGATATAGGCCAACGGCGATCGTTCCCACCTGTCAGCCACTGGTCCGAGCCAGATAAAGATTTTACCTGCAAGGATCATGAACGCCACGCCACCAGCGAGTGAAAGAAGCGCAGCCAGGCCGGCCAGTGTCTTTTGAACGAGAGTCATCTTGTCCCATCGATTCCTCACTGCGCGATACGTGGATTCAGCCTGATTGATGATCCGATCCCGGAACGAGACGGCTTCCCCCATGGAAAGACGTCTTGACGAAAGCGGTGATTGGCTCCATGGTGGACGTATGCCGGCAAACAGGGAAGCCTCCTGCTCTTCAGATTCTGAAAGTGGAAGTGACAAGGCCCGCGCGGTAGACTGGTAATCGGCAGGCATTGCAAGCAAAATGGGCAGGACAGCCGATGCTATTTGTTTATCGGGTACGAGACCGAGGAGAGCAGAAATCAAATCTGCACAATGTATTCCACCCCGGTGGTGGTTTTGAGGATGGAGAGCTATTTCTTAGCCCTCGCTGGCAGTCCTGGTCATCTGCAGCCAAGAGTCGCGGATCGAGCAGTTCACTATATATTTTTGTTATTGGAGGCTTTCTTTTTTTCTTTCCGTTAGCTTGGACAGACTGCCTTTCTGGCAAGGAGCAGACGTGGCATGCTTACTTGGGAGATGCGGGTTTTGCTGTTCAATGTTCCTCATTGCATGCAGAGACGACGAAGCCGTTTTGATAACTGCCTGAGAGAGCCGTGCCAAGAGGGTCTGGTCCGATACGCGTCTTGTCACAGAGCGCTGTCCGTGCAAGCACATTAATTGGCCAGATGCGAATCAAGCGGGGGCTCCCGTTTGCGCGTTACCAGCTGCGTAAATTACGGGCTGAGAGACGTCATTCAGCTTGTTTGGACTGTTTACTTTTCTTCTCTTTTCCTTCCTCTTTGCCTCTCTTTGCCTCTCTTCTCTTCTCTTCCCTCTTCTCACCGCGCACCAGCTACCTTCCCGGCTGAATGTCAACTGGTGACGGCATGGCCAATGGCGACAGATCGCTACTAACTACTGCGCCGCAGCCACAGAGCAGAGATCTCCTCGGCGTTAGCTCAGGTTGGAGTGGACATTATCTCCGGAGTCCGTTCAAGACAGATGTCCTTCCTATCTGATGCTCTGATGATCAGAGTCATCCACTCTGTGCATCATGCCATTATGCTCCTCGCATCGTTGGTCTGATCCATGGCCTGCAGGTTGTATACTGAGTACGATGATGATTACGTGTAGTTAGTCAGTAGTTCTATGGTCCGACCAGTAAACAGGACATAACAAAACAAACACACCAGAGCAGAACAATAATCGATTATGTTTGTTTTTGATTATCAGTTTCAGTTTCAGTTTCATTTTCATTTCCCCCAAAAACAAGCGCACGACGTTGCTGGCGTATCGGAGGGAGCGCCTCATCGCAGAGCTAAACCGTGGATGGACAGCCTCCTTCCTCCTTAGGCGCTCTCTTCCCTCCTCCGCTTCCTCTCTCTTCCCCCGGCCATCTCCCGCTTCATTCATTCCTTATTTCCTCCACGCTCCTCAGCGTCTGCGCCCTGCCCTTTTGGCTCGATTTTGCCTTGTCGCTTGTTTGCCTCTGCCATCGCCGCCTTGTTTGGATCCTTGCGATACGATGTAACTCTCGTCCTGCCCCTCCGCGTTTGTTCAACACTGCATACAATAATACACAGGTAGCTAGCTGCCTTTGCGACACTGTTTCATCAACTCAACCCCATATTGCACACGCCGCCCTTCATCAAATCTGGCACGGCTCTGATTCCGCTTCTTTTTTTGAATTTGTTTTAAAGTCTGCTCCGCGTATCCAACATCATCAGCATGGTCTCCGACGAGCTGTTCGAGCTTTGTCAGCCAGTCTTGCAGAATGCCAGCCTGGACGAGGAGGAGCTGACAGAACAGTTGGAGGAATTACTGCGATCCAAAACTACATTAACTGGATCTTCCCTAGAGCATGCAGTGCTCGACGTTCTATGGCACCGGCACAACGAAACCAAGCCCGGTGCCTCACCTCCCCCCAGTCGACATACCGTTATCCGTCGTTCCTCTCCAGCGCCATGGCAAGTAACACGAGCCGCAACACCAATTTCCTCCCCTTCGATGACCGGTACGAGTCCCGCAGGGCCTTCCAGTTTCCATCTTGCACGAGCTGGTCTTTCCCGCGGTCCTCGCTCTTCTACCGCGTCTCCCTTCACCTCTCCACGCCCGTCCCCTCGTCTGGCTTTCGCACAGCCCATCCCCCATTCGCCGAATCTAAATGCTTATGAATTCTCCGACCAGAATAGCCAGACCTCCGAGTTCTACGGTGATTTTGGCAGCGAAAGCAACGTGGATTGGCTGGTGGCAGACGATGCGCTCAGTGTCACATCCTCCGTTGGAGGTCTCAGTGCATCTGCGCCAGAATTCGTCCCGGACATGAGCCCCCACGACATTCTTCGGTCTGTCCTGGGAGACAAAAAGACCAATGAGGAAATTGAGGCGGCTCTAGAGGTAAATGGCTATGATCTTGGCGCTACAATCGCAGCTCTTTCCGAGGAACCTATAAAAGATGAATCCCAGAGGCTAGACGAAGGTCGCGTCTTAGTAGGCAAGTCCATAATGGTAGAGCCGAGTCGTCCATTGACTCCCTCTAATCAAGCGCGCACGCCCGTTGTCTGCAAGTATTGGCTATCTACGGGGAGTTGCTTGCGCGCAGACTGCCGCTTCAGCCATGACTTGACCAGTCATATTTGCAAGTAAGAACATATCCATTAATTACAGCTCTTGGGGGGAAAAACCAAAAAAAAAAAAAACCATCGCTCACTAGTTGATAATAGGTACTGGATGATGGGTAATTGTCTTGCCGGTGATGGATGTCCCTTCTCGCACGATCCTACGAGTCTGATAGGCAATATGAATATCAATGATGCATCGAACCAACAATTAGCAAGTCCGCAAACCAATTTTCAGTTCGATAATAACCAAGAAGCATTTCCAGCCTTGCAGCCTGCCGGTGTTCCAGGCGAACAGTGGCCAGCTGCGTACATGCGCAAGTATCCAACTCATGTTCTGGTTACTGGCCCGAGTGGCAGTACGTCACCCTTGGCAGGGGGGAGGAGGAATGGTCCCAGTCGTCCCCAATCTCGACCGACAAGTCGCCATCAGCAACGCGACTTGAATCCGTCTCCGCTCTCCGTGGACGACCCCGAGGCTTTCCCAACGCTAGGGGCCATGCCAACAAAGAGCTCGAAAAAACATCATGGCAAGCGCGGAGGCCATAATAACACCAACAAGGATACTATTTCAAACTCCTTGGCTGACGTGGTACGCATTTCGTCTCCTGGGCCAGGTAGAGGGAAGAACGCAAAGTCCAACAAAGAAAATGTGAAAACCCGTGAACTCAGTGCCGAGGCCTTGGCTATCCAAGCACCAAAGCATATTCCCTGGCTGGAAACTGGACCCAGGGCCAACCAGCAGTACATCAAATATCGCACAGATGCCATTCGTCATGGCACTGTGCGAAACAAATTTCTGCAAAGGTAAGCCCCTTCTTTCCTGCGGGGGGTGGGGGTTTTTTTTTTGGATAGTCATCTAAAGTATGATTTAGTGCTGCACAGGCGTGGAATAGAAACGATGCCCGAGCAGCAAAGGCACTGTCACTACGGGGTCAGGCCGAAAACGAGGCGATGCGAAGGTGTCACAGGGAAGCTGCTCGACAACTCTACGAAGAGCGCAGCCAACATCTTGCAAATAGTGGCCTCGACGATGCTACTGAGGAGCTTTATGTAGATCTACATGGCCTTCACCCGGAAGAGGCTGTCAAATATCTTGACCAGATTCTCACGAAGCATTCAAGCGAAGACCGGATTCTTTATGCCATTACCGGAACTGGACATCACTCTAAGAACGGAAAAGATAAAGTGGGAAAGGCGGTAAAAGTGTGGCTGAACGAGCTGAAATATGTCTTTCGTGAGTTCAGCGTACCTGGCGAGCGCGGTGGCTATGTGGGCGGTGTTCTGGGCATTGACCCTACCAATTATGACAAGGAAGCTGTTGCAAGGTATCATAGTCAGGTTGACAGCCAGGCTGAGACTAATAACAGCCAGCCGGTGCTTTCGATGGGGAAAATCCAGCTCCTGAAGCGCGACGATGTCGCATCATGAACTAAGATTAACACTCCCATCAATGGGAGGCTTAGAATTATTTACTCCCAGTGGCGAGTTTTCTTTCCTGATGATAGGAAATATTCATTTTCTTTTCCCCCGAGATTGTTCCCTTCTTCCCATCTTCGTCACTATTTTCATGAGTCAACGAAAGCTATGATCTGGATGCCCCCCCCCTTGTGCCATGTGGAAGACTACTGCTATTTTCCTCTTGTGGTCATGCCCTTCGTGACAATAGATTCAAGTTGACTTATAAACATCTCATCTCATTCCTTTTTAAACCAGACATAGAAACCAAAAAATATATCAATATTTATAAACTAAATGATATACATGTACCCTATTACCTTCACTAGGATATACGACAATTCGAAAAGACTATTCCGGCTCTTGTCCCTGCCACTGCTCTCGTAATCTGGTGATGTCCAGTCCACAGGCCTCTGCTCGGCGCACAATGGCCTTCGCCTTTTCAGCTACAGGGACATCAATCATCTTGCCATCGAGAGTCCAAGCACCTCTGCCAGAATCAGCCGCTTTAGCATCTGCAATGACGACCCTAACAGCCCATTCCACCTCATCCTCTTCTGGACTGAAGACCCGCTGCACAGTCTGCACCTGCGTAGGGTGAATGCACTGTTTACCATTAAAGCCGAGCCTCTTCCCGGCCCTTGACTCCTCTTCCAGAACTGCTGGCGGTCGATTGGGTTCATCGGATTTATAGGCCGTACAGACCAAGTCGATGGTTGAGGGTAAGTCATGTGCTCGCGCAGCCGTTGCTATGGCCGATCTTGCAAACAGAAACTCTGTGAGTGATGGTGTCCGCGTGAGGCTCAAGTCGAGCGCAAAGTCCTCAGCGGCGAATACGAGACCCTGCAGCAAGGGGGTTGCTTTGCATATTTCATTCAGATTGGTGATTGATTTTGCTGATTCAATGAGTGCCAGGATTGAAATGGGACTGCGCGAGAGACTTGACTCGCCCAGCGTGTGAGTGATGACGTCGTTGATGAAGGTGAGGTCAGATGCTGAGTTGACTTTTGGGACAACGAGGGTTGTCAAGTTGGGGGATTGCAGCTGGAAGCTTTGGTCAGAAAACAAACATCAGTGGGCTATTTAAGGCGAGTTACGCACGACTTCGGTCAGGTCGCCCAGAGCCAGTCCGCTGTCCACAGAGTTGATTCTGACTGCTCGTTCACGGATCTGCAATGGAGCAGGCTGGTCGAGGGCTCTTCGCACGAGAGTGCGTGCTTCTGCTTTCTTGTGCGGAGTCACGCTGTCCTCAAGATCGTACGCGACACAGTCTGCTGCAAGAGAGCGCGATTTGTCGAGGAATCTTTGCGAGGATCCAGGGACTGTTCAGAATTGTCAGTCAGGCTTGTCTATCTATTATGTACCTATCTAGGTATCAATCGGAAGATTCTAACCGTAAAGCAGAGCGCGTCTCAAACTGTTTCTTGCCGCTGAAGCCATGGTAGCGGCCGCACGTAGAAAGCGAACTGTCAAGGAGAGAGAGAGGCAAAAATGGAGGTTTGATACGAGTTGATATCAGAATCTGCGTGGATGTAACTAGCACGAGTTGTATGTAGTTATGCCTGCGGGCCCAAGCCATATAGCCGTCGTTTAGCCGATATAAGCCATGGCATCCGACTGCTGCAACAGTCTATCTTCCTTGGTCCGAACTACTTTCTTTCTCGAACATGGATCTGCACAAGACTGCTCCTCTCTCCTCCGTCATGTGTATGAGTCGATATCGCCTACTTGTAGCTCAACGCGCGCTGGATGGTTCTGCCACGGCTTACCGCCCGGAGGTGACACGCAACATAACATCGATCAGCTTCCCCGACAGTCAACATTGTCTCCAAGACGCCAGAACAAGACACTGGGACTGCCATTCCGGTGAATTGCAACACCTCGTCAACCATGGATCCTGCACCCAGACAAGGCGACTTGAACTGGCGCCTAAGCGCCCATCCCATCACCCTTCTCTTCTTTCTAGGCTTCCGCATTGGTGAGCCCCTTCGGCCACACCATTGTATTCGTCCTCCAACTGACAATTGATCGATCTCAGGGAGTCTTCTTATGTACCTCTTTGGCGTTTTGTTCATTGACAACTTGTACGTCTTCTTCCCCCCAAAAACAAATATTGCGATGTTTCGTCCCCTCTGACATTGAATTTGATCTCAAGCGTGCTCGTATTTATCATCACTCTGCTCCTTCTATCCGCCGATTTCTACTACCTCAAAAACATCGCCGGTCGACGATTAGTCGGTCTCCGCTGGTGGAACGAAGTGAATACGGCCACTGGGGACTCGCACTGGGTATTCGAGAGCTCGGATCCGAATGTCCGCACCATCAACGCTACCGACAAGCGCTTTTTCTGGCTTAGTCTGTATGCCACGCCTGCCCTGTGGATTGCATTGGCTATATTGGCGATTGTGAGATTGCAAAATGTTATTTGGTTGAGTTTGGTTGGTATGTTCTATCCCATCTACCAGTTCACCTCCTTCCTGAACGCGGGTTATTGTCGAGATTATACTAACCCCTTTCTTTTCTTTATAGCCATTGCTTTGGTCCTGACTATTACAAACACCCTGGCCTTCTCACGCTGTGACCGTTTCAGCCAGGCAGGCTTCTTTGCGAATAGCGCGTTGTCCGGAGGTATTGCGGGCAACCTCGCCTCGGGACTTCTTGGAAGATTTTTCCGATAAATCAAATCTTCCTCTTCTTTTTCCTGGTATTATTTCGCTTCGTCCATCCACTTGTATTCTATTCATATTTACCAGACTTTTATTTTTTGTTTCCCCATGAATCAGAGGTGTTTAGGGTTAGCGAAGTGCTCTACCTGGCTGCATTAGCCTTGAGACTTTTACCAAATTGTATGTGTATATATCATATCTTTACAAAATGGATCGATGAATCATGACTTTTGTTTGTATGACTATGAAGTCAAACCATCTCACAGGGTGCAATTAATAGGACGTAGATATTTATTTCAGGGAAGGTTTATTTATTAAACATATCTATTAATATCCTAGAAAAAGGAGAAATCACAGTCCACGGTCTTCAATAAGTGCAGATATCGATGCCATGCTTCTTTAATAACTTTTCCTCAAGCCTGGGGTCTGCATGTGTTAATTCTTTTATTTTCACACACGCCCTCATAAGTGTGAACACCAAGGTATCTAGCGGGCCTTGCGATAAACCGTAGCCTCTTCTCCATGTTTCTTTTTCTATAATCTTTGCAAAGTCATGATAGGGCTCCCTAAAATTGTCATCACGAATATGCTTGTGATTGAAAGGTAGCAACCTGTCTGGGAAGAAATCAAGCCATTCATCAACAGACACATCTAGAAGACTGCTTTGACAGGCATCTGCAAAATATTCCCACATTCTTTCGCATACAAGATACCTAAGGGCATGCGCAAAACAGTATGAAAAGATCCGAATTCTGCTTTCCTTTCGTTTCTTCCCGGCGCCTTGCTTAGATTTACTTCTCTTATTGTTGACTGTTGTTTCTACAGTGTCCTTTCCTTGCAAGAAAAACAACATATCCCAGGAGAATTTGGTTTCATTCTTGCGACAGCCCAGGGTTGAGGCGATAGAAGAGTTATAGGTAGCTTTAGCTGTTCTTCAAAAACGTGTCAACGCTGATGTACGACTTGTAAACATTTTATTAAGCTTATCTATTCTAGGAAAGGTTAGTGCGTTTATTTTTGAGCATATTAATTAACATGTTCATTTTAGGAAAGGTTAATAACTATGCCCATTTTCGGAAAGACCTACTTTTTAAACATGTCAATTAAAGCATCGAGTTTTGGAAATGCTTGCTTTTGAACGTTTAAACTGGTTTACTAGAGGGGATGTAAGCCAACTGACATTGACCTAGACATTTGAGGAGCTATATGCGTCAGAAACTCCAGAGTTCGTAGAACGCAGACCTGTGTTCTCTTTCTTTTGTCTGAGATTGAGAAACTGTCTCCTATGTATCGGGCACTGCACTCGAAGTATGTATGTCAGTCTCGCCATCGAACCAACCATGCGAGAGGCAGAAAATGAAACAGGAAGACGGCGAGCGAGCCCGTTATGGACCATTACCCAAACGATGTACTGCATGGTGACGAAATATGGCAGATAAAGAACTTCTAGAACTTCAGCGATGCCTTTGGGTACTGATTGCCCGACGAAAATTATTGGCTGTTTTTCGCCCTTTCGCAACACGAGTAGTTTAATGCGGCGCAGCAATCCTACCTAACGACTCAATCAAAGAAATTAACTGTAAACATTGTCCTGGATGCGCCTGCTCGCAATCTGTTTCTTGTTTGTTTCTCTCAGCCCGCTCAGTCTAAAAGTTTCTAAGCATGCCGATCGTAGCCGGCCCAGTTTACCTGCTACAGTGATTGGAGAATTTTCAATCCCAAGCCCCGTTACGTGAAAAGCTGCGCTTAACGGTAATTAAACACTAACTCGTGCCGTGACGCCAAAACGGATACGGCGACACCAAAAGGTATCCCTGTCGCCAACTGGTGCCATATGGTATACTAAATGGGAACCCTGCTCCTAACTCACAACAGGTGTCCGTGTCCAAAGTACACATCCACTATGCAAAGGGCGTCGTTCTGGTGTTCAAATGTACGCAAAACGGTCCCAGACGAATGTGCTCAGACATTCACCTACTCGATTCCTCTCTGAATATCTTCAAAATTACTGCCTATAAATCTGCCCTTCTCGGTCGTACAAAGCCATGGCTTTCATCTCTTCGAACTACACAGCAGCCGAATTTTCCTCACGCCCGATTTCTCGCATATTTACTACGCCCACCTGCTAGCTTCTTTATACAATGACTGAACAACCCATGAACCAGCCCAATGGCATGGTAAACAGGAATTATACCATACTTGTATCCATCAAACTAGCACCCGAACTGACAAGTTCTTTGAAGGCTATTACCACCGAGGAATTTCTTCAACTGGAAAATTCACTGCAGAATGACCAACTACGAGTTCTCACCGACCGTATAAGCCACTTCGAGCAACAGATATCAGCATCAAGCAGGATCAACTATAAAATTATGAAGCTTACCACTGAAATATCGACGCTTACCGAAAGACTGATGGAGCTTAATGAGCTCCAGAAACTCATCGAACGAGGCATGTGTGATATTGCTAGTTTAGAAGGGCAATGAGTCGATAGGCTTGAGGGGAAGAAGAAATCACCGGACGTGGAGTTGATGGATGACCATGTGGATACTCAACCCTAAATTTCCTCTTTTGGTAGTACGTCTTCACCCCGCAAGTCCACGGCCTAGAAGGTGCCCATTTCATTTCATTCAATGGGATAAATATTTAAAACAATTCAAGCCAGCGACCGTGAGCTCAGGAAGAACCAGTATCTAATATTTAGAAGTATGTTTGGTGTGCTCAGGCGTACAGAGTAAATGTTTCCTTCACTTTCACCGAGCTCGGTATATACGAGAAATTTACTACCTAGTACCAAACCTCGGCATCCTTCTCCATCCCCCCGTTCCCCTGCAAGCGCTTCACAGTCTCTTTGATGCGATCGACCAAGGCCTGTCCGTACGCCGCGCCCAGAGGAGGCGTGGGCTTGGTGGTATCGGGCCGTAGCCAGGGCACTGATGAGACGCTGCCCGCCGCCTCGCGCAGCTGCTTGATGGCTTGATCGTCATACCCCGCACCCAGGATAATGGCACTCACGCCACGCTCATAGTTCTTGGTGCCTAATTCGCTCTGGGAAGGTCCTATCTTGTCACCGCGCAACAGAGCTGGGATTTGCACGACGCCAGTCTCGGGAACTCTTGATGAAGGGGATGACTGAACATTTTTTTGTTTTTGGTTGGCAACCGGCCTTGTCACATTGTGTGTTTTCCGCGGAATTTCAGATACACGAACCTTCAAACTCAGGCTTGAGGGCCGCAATGACGGCAGTGCCTATTTTCTCGGTCCTGCCGCACAGGATAACAGGGATGCGATGGGCCATTTTATGCGGCGGGATAAACAACAGTTTTGCTTGCGAGGGCGCAGGAAAAAAGCCGAGGAGGTCGTACTCCTCACTGGTTGCTTAATTTATACAATAAAATATGCAGGGTTTCCATATCCTTCCCCCTAGCTGGGTCTAAATCACCTGAACTATAATTATGGGTTTAATCTTAAAAGCCAACGAGGGCATTCAGCCTCACAGCCACAGCAGAGTCGATAACCTTAATGATAGAAAAGCAGTCTAACCCAATGAGGGAGGATACTACCGCAAGAGGAAAATTCTTAGGGTTAGGGCTATTTCATGTCAACGTTCGTCTAGACTTGCTTGAAGACGCAGGCAGAGGACTAGTTGGGTCATATTATGCATCTAGTCTCAATTTACCTAAATTAGTACCCATATAGGCTGCCAGATTGACAGATCTCTTCGCGATTCTATCTTCTCGAGTCCAATGCTTCGACCCTACCATTCTCCCCCCTACGGTTCTCGAGCGTAATATCCTGAGAGGCGAAAAGATATCCGAACCCTGATTGCTTTGCATGGTATACCCATCGCAAGACAGGCATCATTGTCATAGAATGACCTTTGAATCGATCTTCGATGAATTCTTTCAATGTGGCCACTTCCAATCGATAATCGCATTCGTGGTGCGAGAAACGCGCTGTCGAACTTCCCCTCCTTTCGTCATTACTACCCTTGAATAGAACTGCCTTCACAATGGCATCCGCAGCATTGCCAGCTTGCATTACGTCAAAATGGCCCTTCCAACCGCTAACGTCTGGAACGAGGTTGAGCTTAAGTATGAGCCGGGAGTATTCTTCTAGTACCTCCGTTGCAGCGTTGATTTTTCTACCTGGAATAAATCTGTGAATTGACGATGGTATGTTTAGACGCGCACTTGCTTCCTCCAGAAGCCGTTCGCTAGCCCAACGACTGGCGACGTATCCTTCTGAACCATCAGTTGGAGGTGAATAAGCAGCCACAGAGGCAGTTTCGTAAATGCTTTTGTTTGTGGGTACGACACCAGCAGATGATATATAATGAATGGGGATGCGTCGTGGAGCAGCAAGTTGAATCAATTGCTTTGTCGATGCAACATTTGTTGGGTACAATACATGGTAGTTGTCCCAGAAAGTATGAATAGCACCCATGTGAAGAATGACGTCGACCTCTTGGCTCAGCTCTAAGAAATTGTTCTCACTGAGCCCAAGCCGTGTCTGTGATAAATCACCAGAATATCCGATAATTTTATCTGACGACACGGTTAACCTAGATGGTCCTCCTTCGCCTCGAATCGCAACGCAGTAAACTCTGACCACACTGTCGTTTTCCACAAGCTGTTGTAGTATGTACTTAGCGAGATATCCAGTTGAGCCCGTGATTAATATAACTTTCTTATCTGATTTTTGGCCGCTGACTTGGGTCCCAACATTATTCCCTAATGCCTTAGGGAGCTGTATTTCAGAATCCCAGTCAATCTGCTGAACGTGAAGGCCTTCCTCAAGCTTTTTTGTCATGTCACCAAGTGTGTTGGCATCAAGGAGCTCAACAAGAGGAATAGCAACGTTGAATTTCTCCCGTATGCGGGATTGTAAACGTACGATAAGCAATGAATTGCCGCCAACTTCGAAAAAGCTCGCTCCAGACGTGATATTGAAGCCAAAATCCTTGTTGTGGAGGACATCTTCCCATATTATTTTGAGCTGAGACGAAATCCCATTGAGGATAACGCCATCATCTTCTTTGCCTTCCCGTTGTGGAAGTGGCAAAGCCTTAATAGCCCTTCGATCGACTTTTGAATGGTTAGTTAATGGGAGGCAGTTCAGAGGGATCATCATGACGGGAATCATATATTGCGGAAGCGGGAGGCGAATAAGCAATTGTCGGAGATACTCTTCTGAGTCAAATATCTGATGTTGCGGTGAAAATACGACGTGAGCGACAAGAAAACCTCCTGTATCACTATCGTGCAAAGAAACAACGGCTTCTTGGAGCACACCACCGGATGCTTGCACGATGTTTTTCTCAATATCACCCAGCTCAATGCGGATTCCTCGTATTTTTACTTGCGTATCATCAGCAATGCGACAATGAAAGACCAATGCCCCATCCTTCCGGAGATGGCCGATGTCTCCTGTACGATACATAGTCGTCCATCCCTGCTCGACGTACTCTGCTGGGGCATATGGGTTATGAATGAACAATTGATCCGTGAGATCTTCATTTGAAAGATATCCCAAAGATACACCGGCTCCGCCCAGATAAATTTCGCCAGGTACTCCCGGTGGGAGTGGCCTCAGTTGGTGATCTAGAATATAGGCTGCATAATTTGGTAACGAATATCCACAGGGTATCCGATAATCATTCTGCATATGCTCCTGGTATGGTACCTCCATCTTCGTTGAAGATATAGTAATTTCAGCAGGCCCGTACGAGTTGAAAAGTCTCAAATGAGGGATATTGAGAGCTGAGAATTTCGCAACCACCGTTTTTGTCAAGCTCTCCCCTCCTCCAAATGCGTATTGCCAATCTGTGACTCCCTGTAGATTTTCCAGTCCATATTCTAGCCATTGAAGATATTCTGATGGGGTTGCTTTGGTGTAGGTTATTTGTTGCTCGCGAATAAGTCTAGTGATCTCAATTGGATCGCCGCGCTTGTTCCAGGGCACTACATAGACCGAGCCACCGTTGACTAATCCAGTCCAGATCTGGTCTGACGAATGGTTGAAGGTGAATGCACTTTGTTGAATAACATTTTCTGCTCCCAGTTTCCAGGTCTTAGTGTATCCTTCTATCTCGTTGCGAAGACTGGAGTGCTTGATAATGACACCCTTGGGCATACCAGTGGACCCACTGGTATACAAGATTGCCCCAGCAGCATTTGCACGAGCCTTATTTGGCACTGAGGTTGAAGGCGCCTGACCGATGAGGGAGACGTTGACAATTTTTGCCTGAGCAACCTTTAACCCGTTAGTGTCACCGGCTGTTTCATTGTCAACAAGCACGGCATGCGGACCGCAACTGTGTAAGATGCTTGCTAGACGTTTCAATGGATTACGTAGATCTAGAGGAACGTAAAGAGCCCCCAGACGCATGATAGCAAGCAAAGAGCAGACCCAATCAGAAGTTGCTTGCTCAAAGACGGCAACTTTCGATCCAAAACCAATTCCTTTTGTTTGCAATGCTTCTGCAATCGCTTCAGCTCGTGCAGTCATTTTTCTATACGTCAGGACTCTACCATAGCCGTCCTTGAGCGATATTCTGTCCGGGTGTATTTGAGCGATTTGATCTACACGATGTGGTAGTGTTTCAGGCCAGTCAGACTTGACATGTGGTCCTATCAAAATACTTCTCATTAAAAGCATTCCAATTAGATAATATATATTTAGCGAACATACCGAGACCAATCTCGATACCTCGCTTCAGGTCACTTTTATCAAAGAGCGTTGTATTTTGCACAGAAGCCGTTACACCCGTCGTAAATTGACGCAGTAAATTGACATATGTTTTGATCAGGAGCTCAGTTTCCGCCGGTTCGTATAAGCTTTTCTGAGTTCGGACCATAATGAGAGTCTCTCCAGAACTTTCTGTCACATCCAGCGTGATATCGTACGCTGTTCTTCCAGGATGTACGTCTTCCACCTCGATTTGAAGATTTCCGAATTGTTGTTTCTCGCGAGCACCTTGGCGGTAATCAAAAAAAGCCTGAAAGATAGGGCTTCTCTCCGCAGAGCGCGGAATTACGAGTTCCTGGAGGAGGACATCGAATGGAATGCGCGAATGTTCAAGAGCAGCATAAGCTCTATCTCGAGCCTCGACAATTGCATCGCCAAAGCGTTCAGTAGGGTCATATTGAAACCGGAGTGCTAGAAGGTTGAGGAATAATCCAATGGTATTCATACTGTTGCTGTCGGTCCTGTTAGCATCCGCAATCCCGATGGTTAGGTCTTTTGGCTCCTCCATCAAACGGAAAAGCATCGTTTTAAAACAAGCTAGATGGAAATGAAATGTTGTTGACCCTTTTGAAGAAGACAGCTTCTTTATCTGTGTAGTTAACTCAGACCCCAATCTGTATTTCACCTGGTTAACCTCAAAAGTTTTCATGGGAACACGGCAGGTGGTTTTGGAAATCGGCAATAGGTCCATGGGCTGGGGAGGATCACGAAACACTTCCTTCCAGTATTTCAGATCGCCACTCCATTCACCTGACTTGTATTCCTGTAGCTGGATGTTGGAGAATTCAGAAAATTGACGTGGGATACTTCCCAAAGATTTTCCGTTATATGCCTTCTCAAGATCTGATAGAAAGATCTGATAGCTTACACCATCCATGATGGCGTGATGATAACTGAAGAGAAGGTAGTGCAAAGTTTGAGAAAGAGATAATAGTATCACGCGCATTAGACATCCTGATTTGAGATCGAATATATGTGATCGAAGCGTCTTGTACTCTGCCAATACTTCTTCGAAACTGTCGACCTTTCTCTGTTCTAAGTGAAGAGCGGAAGATGCGAGAATTCCTTGATAAGCGGTATCATTTAATTTATTTTCTGCTATGAAGCCTGTCCTCAGAGCTTCGTGTCTCTGCCCGACCATTCTAAGGGCTCTGTCAAGGTCCGATATTCGCACGTTTCCTGAAACACGATAATAGAAGGCCACATTAAACGCTGTCTGATCATCCAATAGAAGATGTAGAAACCAGAAACGAGACTGCGCAAAAGAGATTGGCTCAATGCGCATGGGGGTGGGAGGAGACGAGATTTCCTTGTCGGAAGGGATATCATCTAGAGCAGAAGCTTCTGACCGTGGAGTAGTCGCCCCCATTGCTAGCACCGGAGTCGTCGTTGTATTCGAGCCATTAATCTCTGTGGATGAGCTATCTAGACCCCTGTTGGTACTTTCAGTTGGCGTTTGAGACCAGTCATTGTCCCTGCGGACTTTTGGGATTAGTTTTTCTGGCAGTTTCTCCAGAATTTGCTGACAGAGGGTATTGACGGAACCACCAGCCATGATTTTAAGAACTGGCAGATCGGTCTTCAGCTCTTTGAAAAGCCAGGAACGTATTTCAACAGCCAACAAGGAGTCAACTCCAAGCTGTACAAGTGGGGTTTCATAGCCAATATCCCCGGATAGTCGCAATACTTGCTGCATGAATACGGCGAATGATCCTTTGAGGAATGTTAGTGTATGCAACCTGGTGATATACGCATATCTTAAAACTAGGCAACTTACGTGTTATAATGTCAAACACTTGCTGTAGTGATGTTGCTACAGCTAGTTGATCAATCGCCGAAGATGTATTCTTCTTCCGGTCGCCTGAAGTGCTAGTATTCGTCTCGTTCGCTTCAACAATGCAGTGGGAGAATCGGGGGTTATCAAACCACGGTACTCTCGCCTCCTCATCGGAGCTTACAGGGCGTATGCCAGTAACGATCTCCGGGTTTTCTTCGGATTCGGGTCGACCAGCAACAATCGCTTCCGCAAATATTTGGTGGAAATCAGATTCTGATATAGGCATGTAGCCAAATTTAGTGAGCTGATCCTGGACAACTTGGCCTGCTCGTTCCACATAACCTAGCCCAACTAATCGTCCAAGGTCAAAGGCTGATGCAGCGAGGCCACTTTTTCTACGCCTTGCTGCGAGACTAGCGAGATACGTACAGGCAGCAGCGTAGTTGGACTGTCCGGTGTTACCAACGACTGAAGAGAGAGATGAGAATAGTATAAAAAATTCCAAATCAGTGTGGGAAAAAATCTCATCGAGGTAATTAGTTCCGTTGATCTTAGGATCTAACACTTCCTTCATCATCTCGAAAGACATCTGGCTGAACAAGGTATCATGAAGAATCATTGCGCCATTTGCTACACCACCAATTGGTGGCATCGTTCTCTCGATATCATCGCAAACTTTTTGAACATCTTCCTTGACAGTGAGATCCCTAAACTGAAGTCAGTAATTAGAAATTGATACTCTACGTGATGCTACACATACATTGCAACGACTTGAACTATCGTTCCCAATCTTTCGATGGATCTCACCCATTCAATATCCACCTTGGGATGGCGACTAGTCAAACAAACACCTCCAGCTCCATTGCGAGCCATCCATTCACACAGCGACTGGCCTATTTCTCCCGACAATCCTGCTAGAAGGTATGTTTTATGCCTCGAAAATAGACTGTTTGTATCCAGGTGCTGGACTCGCACTCTCACTTTGCTTACAGCCGTCCAATCAAGAATAGTCAGGGGTGATGCGTGAATTGTGCTGTCAGCGAGGTCCCCCGCATCGATGCAACCGTCTGTGCAATCTAGTTGAGATTTCTGTGCTTCACGAACGGCGGCTTCCAAGATTTGAGGGAAGTCTATGCCTGGACTTGGGTGTCTAATGGACATTTCCTGAGCTAGAGAAGAAGAGTCCACAAACTTGCACCCTAAGGGTAATGATGCTAAGATTTGAGAACCGCTTCCTCTCTTTCCCGTCAATGCGGAGAGGTCAATAAAGTGTGTAAGACCTCTGGGAAATTGTGCTTGGAGGAGCCGCCGAGGAGACTGAGGGGAAAGCCGTATCCATCCAGGGACTATACAGTCTGTCTCGGCAGTTCCAAATCGGACGCTGATATGTCTCGCATTCGCTTTCTGGCTGATTCTCGAGGCTAATACCACCGAAAGCTCGTATACAAGTAACATGCTATTATTGGGTATTGCATGTAGCAGACTGTTGACTAGTAACTCGTGGAGCAAAGTGGATAGTAGGTTCACACATTGATCGTAAGAACAGTTTACCGGTACTGATGCCACTGGCTGTGTCTGGATGGATGAATTGGTTTCTGAGAGTATTGCAACTCGATTGCCTGACTTCTGTTCAAACCCAACGCTGACAAACAAGAAAGTTTGCGGCCCAAGCTTTATGGAGGAAATTCCAGCATGGGTTATATGAAATATAACGCCGTCTGTTTTCCGTGAGCTTTGATGGTGATAATCTTTCAAGTAGACACTGTTGTTCGTGGAAATAATCTCAACTGCAGAATTGCGATGATCCACAAACTGCGTACCTTGGCGTCTCAAAGAGTTTAGCCTTGCATTTTGTTTTGAGTGACGGAGGACGCGCGGTAGGAGAATCTGGTTTTTCTGCAAAATCAGCTCGGGTTCCTGAGACCAAAGTATCCCGTCCTGAAGGATATCCTGTTCCTCCCATTTGCTTGTAGTGTGAAGACGAAGGAGCATTTCTGCAATTACTCGAGATACATTTGGATTCTCCAAATTATCCAAATCGAGGAATTGTAACCGAATGTGAGGTGCCTCGTGCAAAATTGCTCTACCTAATCCTACACTCGCATTGTGATAGGGCTCTGAGTCTATACAACCCTGTGTGATCCATAGTAGGTTTCTGGATCTATCAAAGAGGCTTTTCAGCCCTCTCATTGTTTCTGTAGTCATATTCTTGAATATCGGCTCGTCGAGATCAACAAGATTGATAAAAGTGCTCATTGGAGGGATGTCATCGGAATCAGAGGGAAGACCTTCAAGGATAGTGATATTAGTGACATATCTGCTCAAAATATCATTTAAATCCTCAGCAAGCTTGGAAGTTGTTATTGTCTTGGAGCCGAGAATAACCAATTCTTCAATATTCTTCAAAATTGCAGATGGTGATAAAGGTCGCCTTAGCACGCTGATTCGATCATCCACAGCTTGACTCGCCATGACAGAGAATGGCCAGACCAATGAAGAACGATCAGGCGTTTTGGTATCAACACCAGAGAACCCACTATTGCGAAGCACATTATTCCAGACTGAGGGCGAAACAGTTGGTGTATACTGGCGATTGTCATTTGCACCAACCCACCAGCCGGCCAGCCCGCTAGTCATAGTGCCAATTCTTATTTGATCACTGTCTGTGATCTCCAATAACAAAAGGTACCCTCCAGGTTTAAGTAACGTCCTTACATTCGTAAGTGTATTGTGTAAGGACTTGGTGGCATGGAGCACGTTTGAAGCGATTATCAAGTCGTAGGAATATTCTTGATATCCTTGTAACACGGGTAACTCCTCTATATCCAGAGTCTTGAAACTCATCTTATGGCTGAATTCATTGAAAGCCACGGCAGCCTTGTCCATAAACCCTGATGAGATATCAGTGAAGGTATAGGATGAAAAACATCCGCCAGTAGCCTTCAGTACACTCTGAGTCGCACCTCCTGTACCAGCACCTATTGTATATTAGGCATTAGCTTGACAATTTCTTCTTCTATCCATGAGCTTTGGATACTTGCCAATTTCTAGAATATTCAAATGCGGATATCGGTGTACAATCTGTTTGACCATCTTAGCCAAGTACGCGTTGTACTTTTCAAGCCCTAAACCCTTTTTATAGAAATCGTCAAGAACATTATCTTTCATCATGTGCTCTATAATTACTGATTTGCCTCTGACGACGGCAGGCATGCTTTCACCCACCGCTGAGATGAGCTTGACATCTAAGCTATCTGGGTACCTGTAACCACTCAGTTAGTCTGTGGTAACGAGGGAACTAAGAGCACGTCAACTTACTTGCTAGATAATTCTTTTATTTTTGCATCAGTGTCATTGGACCATTCCTTTTTAACGGTAGGGTGCTTTCCTTTGTCAATGGTTGAAAGCAAATGCTCCATCGTGTCACGAAGGCGCCGGTGGTGCCATTCCCCGAGCTCCCATTCTTTAATGGATATATTTGCCTTCCACTTCCTCAGATAATAATAGGAGAGTCGCTCGCATATTCCGGCAAGGTCAACCTCTTTTTCGGATGGCCTATCATCGCCCATGACCAGAGCGCCGTTTGGAGCATCAACATCCCAGTGATTGTAAGAGAAGAGAACGCGGTCGTCAGATGGGTTTGCAGGTGAAAATGGAACAAGGAGAAGATCTTCGATCTGAAGCAGAACATGCTTTCCTTCACTGGTATGTATGTCAACATCTCCAAGGATTGCAACCGACTTTGCATCCCGCAGTGTTGCGTAGACTGGCAGTTTGGTCTGCGAGTGTGGCAGGAACTCGCAACAAGAAGGATTGACCCTCACGCATCGGATCGAGGTAGGCACGTGAAGTGCCCAAAGTCGGTTGTCGCCCGGTGACGACTGCGCCAAGAAGGCAGCGTGAAACGCCACGTCCAGCATCGTTGGATGTACCAAGAGGGGCTCGCGTTCATCTTCCTCATAAACGTACGTGGACAACAGTGCTGCTGAGTGATCCATTTTCCTCTTCATTTGGGACATCGATCTAAAGGAGCCAGTGTAGCCGTACCCGAGTTCTGACAGTGAATCATAGAAGTGTCCCTCGTCAATTGAAGTCATCCTGGATGGGTCTTGCTGGACGTTTGGAAGTGTTGAGAATGATGAATCTCCATACTGCACAGATATGCGTGCCTTGGCCATAAGCTCCATCTCACCAATCTCGGCATAACAGGTGAAACTTGCCTCATCAATGTCTTGACCTGGCTCCCGTATCGCTTTTATGTCGGTTAGGGTAACAATGGTTTCTACTGAGAAATCGGCGTCGTCTTCAAAAGTTATAGCACGCCTAACAACAATATCGTGAACTTCGAACAATTTGACTGATCGTCCCTTGACAAGACTGCGAGCTGACTCAAGTGCCATGACAACGTAGCCAGCTGCAGGGAAGACAGTCTGACCCTGGAGTTTGTGTCCACTGAGCCAGGGTATGTCAGACGGTTTTAGCTGGTTCGTCCATCGCATGTCCCAGTCAGTACTGTCAGGAGATTTGATACCAAGGACTTGGTTGAAAGGCTCAGGCTTAGTGCGGAATGTCCTTGAGCGCCTTGATTCATGCCAATAAAGTCTCGAATGATCCCACATATAGCTTGGAAGACCCGAGAGCAACGTTCGTTGGGGACTTCTAGTGACTGATCTTTCGAATGCTTCAAAGTCTAAGCCAGAAGTATCGAAGGTGGTCCAAAATGATCCGAGACAGTTGGAAAGAGCTTCAATATCATTATTGCCACGAGCGAGAGAGCTGAGATAAGGCAAGGATGCCCCTCGCGTTTCAAAAATGGTCTGACTAGCCGGACCTTTCAGTGCTGGATGAGGACCGACTTCGAGAACAATGTTTACATCGGACTGAGTAGCTATGGTTAAAGCATCTTTGAAATGCACTGGATTAACCATATTATCAACCCAGTAAGAGTTCTTCAAAATGACATCATACTCCATGGCTTTGCCTGGTAAAACAGTGGAGTACCACTGGCAGGAGGAAGACCGGTGTTCAGGAATCTTGATATTGAGGGCACCAAGAGACTTTGCATACGGTTCACTACAAGGGAACATATGGTGTGAATGGTATGCTATTTCAACTTTTAGGCGTCGTGCGAACACTTTCTCATCATCGAATATGACCTTTGCCTCTTCAATGGCGTCAGCATCCCCAGAGAGTGTCACACTTGCCGGAGCGTTATCAGCAGCAACAGTTAAACGGCCTTCAAAGGCAGGTAGCTCACAAAGTTCTTGGGCATCTTCTCTTGAAGTACCAACAGCCAGCATGGCTCCTTTTTGACCATCTGATCCATGTGCTAGTATACCGTGAAATCCACGATAGTAGGCGATCCGAATGGCGTCATTTGCGGAGATAAAGCCAGCAGCATAGGCCGCGGCAATCTCTCCAGACGAATGGCCTACTACAGCTGCGAATTTCAAGCCGGCACTTTTAAGTAGATCCACTAGTAGAACTTGTACTGCAGTACAAAGAGGTTGTGAGAACGCCGCTTCGCCGATACGAGATACTGCGGCATCTGCCAGTAATTCCTCCTTCAATGACCATGTTGGTCGGTCATTATCAGGCAATTCAGCCAGCGATTTTTCTAACTTTTTCACTCTTTCTCGCACAAAGTCTGATGATGTTATTAGATGACTACCCATAGTGGCCCATTGAGCTCCCTGTCCGGTGAAGATGCCCAAAATCCGAGGCGGTTGTCCGGGGCTCATACTCTTAGTCCCGATAGATTTTTCTGTATCATTCTCTACTTCTTCCAGGCCCTTTTCAATCTTAGATATGAGATTCTCTGTTGTTGTAGCATGGAAGGCCGCTCTGGTTGAAAGTATTGTTCGTCGAGACTGCAAGGTCCAAGCAAGATCTCGTAGATCAACTTCTGGGTTGCTTTTAAGATAGCTCACATATTCTCTTAGGGTGAGAGTCAAGGATTTCTCTGTGGCAGCAGAGAAAACAAATGGGGTAAAAGTGGGTGTCCTGGAACCAGACCGTTTTTTCAACTGCTTGATTTGCGGATAGCTCTCTAGTATAGCATGGCCGTTGGTTCCCCCGAATCCTATTTTCGTTGAGTGTTAGCACAAAGAGATTTCCAACTAATCTATAACATATCGTGCCAAAGATTGAGAGGCACATACCAAAACTGTTCACACTAACTCGACGAGGTGCACCCGGGGGCAAGGGTGGCCATTGCTTCTGCTCAAGAGGAATTCGAAGGCAGTCGTAGTATGGCTCCAGTTCTGGGTTCAATCGAGTGAAAAGCAAATTTTGAGGTATAATGCCATGCTGGACCGCGAGAGAGCCCTTAATAATGCCGGCAAGACCTGCTGTTCCTTCTGTATGTCCAATAACTGTCTTGATGGAGCCGACATAAAGCACGTCAAGATCCTGCTTCCCTACGGGGAAAAATGCCTCTTTGATAGCTGCGGCTTCGCGAGGGTCTCCCACTTTCGTGCCAGTGCCATGAGCTTCGAAGAATTGTGGACGGTCCTTGGGGTCCAGAATGTTCAGACCAGCTTTTTCATATGTTCGCTGGATGAGTTGCGCTTGTGCCTCTGTAGATGGTACTGTAAGGCCGCCCGTTCCTCGACCATCCTGATTGAGGCCGGTCTCTCGAATAACACACTCGATGTGATCACCGTCTGCTAAAGCATCTGAAAGCCTTTTGAGAATTGCTACTGCGACTCCATCTCCTCGAGCGTATCCATCTGCATCGCTATCCCACATACGGGAACGGCCGGTGGGAGAGAGCAAATTCATTTTGCTCTCTCCAATATAATTCTCTACGATTGCGCATTAGCCTCAAGAGATCTTCGACATTCAACTCGATATATCCAATATTGAAAGCGAACCTGGTCCAAGAATTATTTCTGCTCCGGCTGCAACTGCGACTTTCGACTCGTTTGAGCGTAGTGACTGCACAGCTTGGTGCACGGCGACCATACTTGACGAACAAGCTGTATCTATTGTCATCGAAGGGCCATGCCAGTCAAAGAAATATGAAATCCTGTTTGAAATGATACTGCGCGCGATTCCAGTGGCATAGTATGTTGGAATCGTACTAACATCGCGTGTTAGTACATCAAGATAATCAACAGCCATTACTCCCACATAAACGCCAGTATCCGAGCCCCGAAGTCCATCAATAGTATGTCCGCCAGACTCGAGAGCTTCATACACCGTTTCCATTAGGAAACGCTGCTGAGGATCAATTGATTCGGCTTCCTTAGGCTTGATGTTGAAAAACTGCGCATCAAAATGGCGAAGGTCCTCATGTAGCATATATGAATGTTGGACATTGGTGGTCCCGTGGTGAGAGCCATTGGGATGATAGAATGCTGCCGAGTTGAATCTCGAGTGAGGTATCTCCTTCAGGAGATCTCGTGGTGCTTTCAAGAGATCCCATAGTTTAGAGGGAGAGCTGGCTCCGCCTGGGAACCTGCAGGCACTACCCACAATAGCAATAGGTTCAGGACTGTCTGGATCCTTTCCAACATTGTTTGCAACCATTTCAAACACAAGAGTTTAGAATAAACTTAGTCGTGGCAACTAGTGAAAGACAAATTTCGGGAGAAGATTAAAAACTATCTAGTTCTATGATGGCTCTTTGCTTCTCTAAAAGACTTTTTTTCTCTTCTATAGTTCATTGAATTATGATCGCCATTGATCATCAACCAGTGAGTCCACGTCGAGAACGCAGCTAAAAGCACTCCTCTTCGTCTCTTCAATAACTGCTGCCGGCTTTTCAAAGTGAGTGACACGTCACCGAAGAAGCAAAACGCAAAGATCCCTGTACTTCTTTGCTGCACTGCTCATATCATCTGTAATCTATCCACTCACTGTCTCTCTCGACGACCAATAGTCGTCAGCTGCCATTGCAAGTCTGATATGCCATGATGCGGCATGACTACTTCGAGACTTAGGCGTCAATAGTCTAAGCGGGGCTTCTCAAAAGAAACAGATCTAATAATCATTTGGTACATGCCTGACTCGAGATACACAGGGGCCAAAAGTATTAGGGCGTATATGCCGGTACCCGGGAATACATCAAAGTACGCAAAACATACATGAAAAGAACAAGAAAGGCTTAGTGACCTACGTCCAGTCATCTAATAGCTCAGCGATGCCCTTGTTCGAGACTCCTCTCTCAAACAACAGTAACTTCTGCAACCCCGTAGTACGCGTGGCGGGAATGATACAACAACTACCGCTGCATTATTTTGTGAAGAGCTTCCGTTGAAAAATCAGCTAACCCATCAACTGTTGTGCTACATGCATGGCTCCACTACAAATGGAAGTTGTCCTCGCCCGTTGTTACCTATCTTCCGGAAATAGCGAGCCCTTACTCGCAGTTAACAATCTTTCAGGGTTATTACTTGTCCCAGGTAAATCTATATGCGATTATTTCTTTTTTCCGAGGTTCTCCGAATGAATGTTCCAACTCAATTGTCACTTTCTTCCGGCCTGTTCTGACTTCAACCCCGCAGATGCATATGTTGTATGTGGGTCTTTTTAATTTTCGAGCTGTATTCACTTTCTCAAATTGTTGCCTGGTATTATTAGACGTTGACTGTCATTGCTATGTCATAAAACTAATTTAGAATTGTATTTGCTCCAATTACCCCGGCCACACGTGGAAGAAAATATGTTTGTTCTATTGAGAGGAAATACGAAGCGTAGCCTGCAACTGTTGTATCTCAGCCTGAACGCGAGCTTCAAGAACCGCAGTTCCTGTTCCCAGATCGTTCCCGGTCAACTCCGGCAGCTCCACCTGGTCGTCCAATATAGATAAATACGCGGCTATAGACGTTCTTAGGCGATCAAGAAGACTGACGATCAGTCCAACAACGAGGACCAAGCGTAACTCCATCTTGAATGTCTCGGAGGGGAACCGATTCTCCTTGCAAGAAGTAGCGTCATTGCGCAACGCCTCAATTAGTCTCTGGTAGATATGCAATAGACGGATATAACACGCAATGCATAGATGAGGGGTAACACTATCGAAGCCGGCCTTGTCAAAGACGGAATTGATTTTGTCAGAATTATCAGCACTGGTCACAGGTGTTAACTCCGTCGTTAGTGACTGGGCCGGGAGCGTCACTGTTTCAACTGATGATTCTGATAAATTGCGCAGCGACTGCTTTGATTCGCCGAATGATGTTAGGTACTGGTGTAGAACATCAAGTAAATCGGCACTGGTCTGAAAAGTCTCAATCACAGCCTTGCATCCCCGCTCTGGCTGTTGCTCATTCTCGGAGCGCCGAACAGAAGTGTCACTTGCAAGAAAATTGCTTGCAGCATCAAAGGTGGCGTTTAGGATCAGAGCATCGGGGAATTCCTTTTGAGCATCTACGTACAGGCAGCTTGTCTTGTATACAGGATAAAGCCGTGTATTCAGATCTGATAGCCGCCGGTTGAGAACTTCTGTTTGGTCGGCTCGTCTGGGCCACAGACGCGGTAGGCGGCTAGTAGTGCTCGTGGATCCTATCCTAGCCTCTGATATACCTGTGTCGTGAGCATAACTGTTATTATCGACGAGAAGCCCGTCCGCGATGAAGTTGTCTACATCAACAGGAAACGATTCGAACTCGCGATTGTTAGAAACATTAACCTGATGAAGATCATAACCAAGAAAGGAAGTCCATTCGTGACTATCGTCAGCACCAGTTAGGGTCAAATCAGCCACAGTAACCATTGGGGATGAGAAATCCGGAGCCAAATTTGCTGCTGCTGCTGCCATCATTGGCGCATGCAGGGCTGGTAACGGCGGAAGCGGCACAGCGGCATCTTCCACGATAGGTTTGTCCATTGAACTCGGCTGTGTGGTGGCAGTTATCCGGGAGGAACCGCTGGCGGCTGTACTATTGCTGCTGCTGCTGCTGTCGCGTTGAGCTCTGTCCCTGGATATATGAGCCCTAGAATAATGCTTAGAACTCGGCCTTCCCGTCGGTTTTGGAGCGCTATATACACAAGAAGCTCCAATTTCAAGGCATCGCATGCAGCTCTCATTATCGTTGCTATTGTGACGGGGACAACGCAGCTTCTGGTTATGGCAGCGATCACATGCTCGCCGATTGGGTGGCATGTTTTTAACGATGCGTATGTGTCCGGTTAGGATACTCAAATCGTCTGCGACCAACTCTGAACGCAATGCCCGGGATGTTCCTGATTATTTTAATATATACATGAAAATCTGCCTGAATCTCTGTTGATCTGCGCATAAAGAGAAATGAGTCTCTTTTCGGGCGATGACTGATTAGGATTTGATGCTGTGTGATGGTTTGATGTTCGTTGGAACGGCGATAACGATCTGGCTCGGTCTAGGCTCGTTCTGGGCTAGCGCGCGGCCCCTCCAGCAAAATCGCGGACAAGTGTGGGTGTGTGGGCCTCATCCCGCAATGCTATTATTTTTATCCTGGTGGCTAAGTTTACTTCGACGTCTCGAAGTCGAACGCGTAGGACGAGAGGCAAACAATCCATGTCATCACGAGCTGTCATTCTGCGCACTTTTCGGTGATGCAGAAGGACATTTACTCACATCCTCCCACCTACCTTCCGAGCTTGCAGCTGCCAAGGCGGGACTTTACGACAGCGGTGGGTGGCCTTATGGCTATGTTGATGTATCCGTCTTGTCGCTTCCCCCCACCCAGCACAGTTAGTCACATACAGAGGTGAGGGCCAAAGAAGCCTATTATCCTGGGCTCTTTTCTCAGAGCGTATATTGCCAAGCCACTTGTGTGCTTCTGATTATTGTGGGAAGAACAGTATCTTGCTGAACAACTTGTAAGGTTCACAGTGTATACGCCGGACCTATTAAAACTCCTTGAGAACCTAGGTGGTGGGTGTGAGGCGTCACAGCCTAGGTCTAGTCTCATTCTTACCCTCTCTGGCTCCCTCTTTCCCCCATGCTCCTAAGCTCCGGAGAGATATGCAGTCCGAGTTCCTTGACAATGGATGTGATCTGCATGTGGTATGCACATCGCTACCACCAGAGTTAGGCCCAAGCTCTATGGACCTCAGCTTTATGCAATATCATACATGCATCAACTGATGGCTGCTCTGTGCCTCTCTTTTTTCTCCCTGTGCATTTGGGGGCGGTAAGTTTTGTGCTACGTGTGCTGCATAATACGATGCATTTTAGGTGTTACCTTCTTTGACTCAGCTCCTCTCCACTTAGTCTTCCTAATACTAAGACCGGATAAATTTATAATCTACCTTTTCACGAGCTGCAAGCCATATATGTGACGCCCAAGTTGCACGCATATTCTGTCAAACAATGATAGCCCCTCGCGAAAAATAATCATTTTCTTTTTTCTTTGTTTTTTCTTTCTCACTCTGAGGTATCCAAAGTTTATCCACCAGAGTAAATCAAATGCACGTCTGGTAGTATTAGAAGAAGACAAAGAAAATGCCGTCCCCATCTGAGGACCTAGGCCCAACATTAATAGCGGTTACCACGGTGCTCCTCGGCCTATCGATCATTTTTGTTTGCCTCCGTTGTTACGTTCGATTACGACTAGCTTGGGGGTTTTGGTGGGATGACGGGTTTATTCTTTTGTCTTTGGTAAGTAAAATATGCATGCGCACTTTTCTGGTTATTGCAAATATCTATTTCCTATCATAAGATTGAAAGCTGATGGCCATTGAATCTACTTCTGTAGGCATTTTTAATAGCTGGAGATGGCATGATTTACTACCAAATTCACCTAGGAGTAGGGAAACACAACACAGCGCTTTCCGACCCCGTTGCAACGGTGAAAGCAATTCTGGATTCCCTCAACGACTATAAAATCACCTATTTAATTGGATCGTTCCTTAATAAAATCTCTATTGGGCTCTTTCTGCGCCGTCTAAAATTTTCAAGCAGATGGTTCATCGCAACTATATGGATCCTGATGTTCCTACTCGGCGGCATCACGGTGGCTGCAATTGTCATTAATGTCATACAATGTAACAACACTACCATATTAGGCTCAGGATCGCACATTATGGTCGTCTGTCCTGCGAGAGAAGCGGCTACTATCATTGTATATATGCAATCTGGTTTCTCGATCTTGATGGATCTGTTCTTGAGTATATCGCCAATTGTCGTCCTATGGAATGCGCAATTAAGTTTGAGGAAGAAGATTCGTGTCTGTGGCTTGATTTCCCTTGGTCTAGTCGCTACAGTGGCGAATGCACTGAGAAACAAATATGTTTACACATTAGCTACTTTTGATCAAGCCTGTAAGTCACCGAACTTGTCTTACTTGGATCCGGCAACTAACAGTCTCATTTCACAGATACTTTTGTGGTTATAACCATCATTTCCGAACTTGAATTCTCGCTCGGAATAATTGCTGCATGCTTTCCTTCAATAATACCGCTATTCAAACGACGCAAGCAACCGGAAAGACCGTATTACGACAGCAGCAGCGCCCCTTCGAGTAGGAATCGCGGTGCAAAAACCTCGAAGCCTCGAGGATGGCTTGAGGCGGCTATAGGATTGGATAACACTCAGAAATCCCAAAATAGCGTTTATAATGACGAGCCTGGACGGGCCAGTGATCAGAGTGACTTTCCTCTTTCGCCGATTGAACCGGTTGATCAACAAATCCACAATCATCAGAGGAACGTTAACTATAACAGGTCCAATAATCATATAAAAGATGGGTACGCTGGTTATCCTAATACAGATATAGGTGATATCATGGATTTTTCATTGCATACAGATTGGCCAACAGAGCGAGGTTCCTAGAAGGGCAAGTCATTGACAGAATCAAGTATCCATTTTATTTTTCTACTGTACCATTTGCATTCAGATAGTCTCAATATCAAGGGATCAATCATGAATACTTACCTAATCTTCGTAATTCCGTTTCCTTCATTTGAGATCAGCAAAAGCTACGCGTACCTCCGAAGGGAATAAAGAACGAACTCGCAATGTCAACCAACCATTCGACTAAAATTGGCTGCCTCAAAAGTTGGGAAGGGAATCGATAAGGCATTGTCTAAACATCTCCAGCCATACCATTATCTTGAGTACGCCCATTTGCTGGATGAATCTGTTCCTCCTTCGAATCCCTCAAACCAGTCTTATGCTCATAAAGCCTGTTGGACAACTCTTGATGACCAATCTTCAAGCTAGCCAGTAAGCCAACAAACAGGAGTAGACAATACAAAATCCACATTCGGGAGAGACTAAGAGCGACCTTCTCACGAACTAGCTGGCGCTGCGAATCAGTCAAGTCACATTCGTCACAGAACTGCTTTCTGACAATCCTGCCAAGCTCAACATATTGATCATCAATGCCGGGATACCGGCCGCCTCGAATTGACTGGTGTAAGACAACATACGATTCTGTATTATCAGGCCACCAATAACAACACTCATAGCAGAGCTGAGATTCCGAACAAACCCGAAGGTCGCTGTTGCAGTCGCCATATCGGCTGGGTCGACCTGTGTTTGCAGGGCAATAAGCGGTGCCTGGAAGTTTGGCCCGAGGCCGATTGCTGCAATGACCTGGAAGATCATATTGCGTGGCCAGCTCTTTTCGGCGGGGAGATCTATAAAAAGACCAAGGCCCAAAGTTGCAAATGTCATACCTCCAATCACTAGTCCGAGGTATCGACCGGTCCACTTTATGATATTTCCGGTTAGGATTGAAAAGGCTGCTAAGATGAGAGCTGTAGGAAGAAACCATACTACTGATTCAATGGTGATGCACCGAGTGCTGTCTGGAAATATAGAGGAAGAAAGTAAGGGGCGCCGAGGAAAGCAAAGCCGTGCGAACTGGCTACAGCGAGAGATGCGAGCGCGGCACTCTTGCGAAACAATGGTAGCGGTATGACGGGGCTTTTGGCAAAACGCCATTCAATCAATAAAAACAAGAAGAAAGTGACCACCCCGAAGATAATCAAGCAAATCACCATTGCAGAGTTCCAAGGCGAGGACACGCCACCGAATTAAAGACCAAATAGAAGCATCAATGTGGCTCCCAAGATGAAAAAAGAACCAGCCTAATCTATGGCTCGGAGACCATCACTTAGTTTCGTATGTGGATTATGTACCTTGAGGAATAGGAGAAGCACGAGAAAGGCAGCACCATCGCCACGAGACCTTTTCAGCTAAAGCACCGCCAGTTATTGGGCCAACGGCAGATGTAACGGCCCAGACCATTCCAATAACCAAAGTATTTCCATCGCTCTCTGATTAAATAGGTCGAGGTCAGATCAACTCAATTTCTGCCACGAGAGGGGAACGATACTAACCGCATACTAACAATATCACTAATGGTGATGTTCACCAACAGTACCAGTCCACCTCCCCCTGCTCCTTGAACTGCACGACCTGCAATAAGCATAGCGGTACTATTCGATAAAGCGCAGACTAAACTTCCCACCAAAAAAAATCACCTTCACAAGGAGAAGGATCAGCTTGCGTCCGAATATATCGCTGCATTTGCCCCAGAACGGACCCAACGCGGCATAGGGTAGTAGATATGCGGATCTAATCTAAGAGTACGCCGCCTGAGAAGCAGAGAAATGGTCAGTAATCATGAGAAGTGCTGTCGTTACCACCGAGACGCCCAAGGCAGCTAGAAATGTAGCCATTGCCAGGACCATCATGATCATAATCGTGGATGCTTTGCTGTGTTCGGTCGCTGGGATTTCGGCACTATCGCTTTCAGCATTTGCAATATTCTGCTGATGATTGTTCTCCTCGGAGTCGCGAGGGCGGGAATTCAGTTCGACTTTCTCCTGTATGTTGGCAGTCCTCTCGAATGTGAGGATTTCTGTGATATGAAATTAGGAAAGAATCTGCTTCGAAGGAACACCATTGTATCTCCAGGTAAAGTAGGAGAAGGATGATTTCACGGCACTAAATTCAAGTAGCAGACAGAGTGGGAAAACGGTATTTTACCGTAATTACTGGGAGCTGAAGCATTGATCGACGGTTGCACAAGGCCTTTCGGCGGCTTTTAGTCGTCTCGGGGGCCGTTGGGGGGG